TTTAAACTCCTAACGGCCGGTTAAATCCTTAACCGGCCGTTAGGTAACCGAACGTTAAATATGTGTTGTTCAAAACATGGTTAGTCATGCCGTTAGCTAACGTCGCCGTCAAATTTAACAATATGGTTAACGTCACTGGTTAGCTTCCATATATCACATAGTTCCGTTTTCTGTTTACTTCCGGTTTACCAAAAATGGAAACGCAAAATGTCGCCTGCACCCCAAGGAAAAAGAGAAGTCGAAATTGCTCTGCTGACGAAGAGAATGTAATCCAGTCAATGGTTGAGGCCAACTCTATAGTTTATCATAGGCATGCGAATGTCGTAGCGCTACGAACGTTTTGTATTGGAACACAAGGTTCCAGCCGTTTGCATAATTTATCTTTCAAAGACATTGATATGATCCCAGCTCTGTGTAGGACGTACTTCAATTCCAGCAACAGAAAAACTATAGCACAGCTATAGATAAAATATAATGAATCCATGAAAATAATATTAATATTAGAAGCATGTTGTCCGTGGATAGAACATGTATAAATATTGCACACAGAGTTACGCTTAGACGGCTACAGTCTTAATGAATCTTTGAATTCCCACAAGAACTATCGCTCACTTTTCACTCCTTAAATTGTCATGACTGTATGGCCAAGTTGTGAAGATGCTATCAATATCATTTATTAATTATTTGCCAAGTCTGTCAAAACTTGTAATGTATGAACACACATTGCCAAATCTTTTAACATCAAACAATATAGATGTTGTGAAATTAATACTATAGCTTTTATCTTAAATATGCATTCAATGCCAATAGAAACTGAATATGTGACTAGCACAAAGTGCATGTAATCAAACTGTAATTGTACTATAGGCCCCAGGGCCAACACTGCTGAATAAAATCGATCTATTATCCGACCTTACTGTTGACAGGAATCTCATGAATAATACTGTGCAATGTCGTCATTATCTGAACGCCTTCACAGACGCATATTCCGGAAAGATGTCTTGAAAAACATGAAGCTGCGTCTAATTTATAGATGAACATAATTTCCTCGATACTCATGAATCAGATGAACCTTCATTTAGTTCAATTCACAAGTGACTGCAGAAAATGCATAATTCTTGTTAATGACATCACGGTCGGAAAACATGTATTATATTTCATAAGTGCATTATAGAACGCTGCAACGATTCGGCAGAGAAATACTATTGTGCCATAGTATTCCTTATATGAACCTATCAGTGTATAACATTAGCATTCAGATATTGTTATAAAATAAGTTAAAAATTCGAAATATTATCGTGTAATATGACAAGAGATAGTGTTGTGTTCGCTGTGACAAAAAGGTTTCGATATTCAAATATAATATTTAATCAAAGTGACTACGAAGTAGGCCTGCATATCACTCACAACAGAAATAGATACATAATAATGTTATGTTTATTTTCCTACACATCAGTTGCGAGAGCAATGTTTATGCTAACTAAGTTTTCATCAATTAATACAGCATTTTCAAAAGATGATTTGTTTCAATTAAAACATTCAAAGAATAAAAAAGAAATTAGGCCTATTGCTGAAATGATTAGTAAAAATATAATTAAAATCCAATGCCAAGGGATGCCAGACGGACATATCAAAACAAAATCGGATAATAACTTGGAGTATAGACTTTCAAAAATAGCATATTAATTAACAATGATATCAGGGTTTTTTAAAATCACTGATAATTCTGAAACGTTGCCGATAAGCCCGGAATCGTGTTCAGATGTTTTCATAAATACACTCACACGAACGCCCAAGTGCACTTTGCGCCCTATTGGATAGTGTTTACAAAATCACGTTTCGCGAAGGCCGATATTGAAACGCCAATTACATCACTTGTATTTCATATTCAGCGGCGACAAATGAATCACTGCATTCTCAGGCTGGGACGGGTACTCGGGTATTCGAATCCGGGTCGGGTACAGCTGGAATCGAGTCCTATTTCTGGGAATCGATTATCCGGAAAGGGAGAGAGCTCTGTAATGACAAGGGCAGACAATAACTGTTATTTTTCATTTTTGACGTAACACACATTTACATCATTGAGTGAGTGAGTGAGTGAGTTTAGTTTTACGCCGCACTCAACAATATACCAGCTATATGGCGGCGGTCTGTAAATAATCGAGTCTGAACCAGACAATCTAGTGATCAACAACATGAGCATCGACGTGCGCAATTGGGGACCTATGACATATGTCAACCAAGTCAGCGAGTCTGACCACCCGATCCCGTTAGTCGCCTCTTACGACAAGCATGGGTTACTGAAGATCAATATTCTAACCCGGTAATTCACGGGGTTTTACATCATTGGTATTGTCCGATTAATGGAGCATAGTTTTAATGACTAATTTATCTGTACATGAGCAGTGAGTAGTTAAGTTACAGTAGCAGCAGTAACCAAACGATCGTTGTTATAACGAGGAATGTAAGTAATGATGTTACTGTCTATATTGTTTAAACAGACGTAAATTAAATAGCTTGAGGTCAGTTTTAATGTCTTATTACCAACTGTTCAAGTTTTCTACAATAACCTGTCAAATCGTGATAGAATATTCAGAAAGTTGATACGAATGTATTTCTTACATTTTCGGGTACTCGATTCCGATTCGGGTACGTACCTGCGGGTACTCGATTCCATGATATAACTTTATTCAGTAGAAAGGCCACAGGCCCATGTACAATATATATTGCAATACAAAAGGTATGATGTGCACAATAACTAGAACATATTTTTATATATTCACAATAATAACGCGCTACGTCGCATAAACGCTTCCTTAATAGAATTTGCATACATATATAAATAATTGCTATTTTCATTTTGAAGAAGGCGAATGAGAGAGTTTCTATCTTTGCAGACAATATTTAACATGTATCCTGTTCTTAAATCATCATATTGTGGGCAAATAAACATAAAATGAACCTCATCTTCTAAAATGTTCTTACAAAATGGACAAAATTTTAATTCTCTTGGGATATTATTTCTTCTGCCTGTATTCTTCATAATATTTAATTCACCAAATCTTAAAAGTGATAAAAATCTTCTTAAATCTTTGTTGTATAATGTTGACAAGTATGATTCCATATTAAACGTACTTTTGACACATGACTAGAACTCTAAATTAGAATGTTCATTTAACATAGAAAATATACACTGGATGTTACAATCTTTAACTCGTTGAGAGAACTGTTTAAAAAATAAATCAGTGTTAACAATATTTTGAAACTCCCACGCATAGCTGAAACCATAAATATGAATTTATTTCCTCACTTCAGTTACCCATGACTTGCGGTTAATATCGTCCATTCTTTTTAACATAATATAGGTTTGTTTTGGATATCTAGTCTCTTCCATAATCAATAATTTACACCAGTACTTAACACATCTAATTATAGAATCACAACACATATGATGACGACCGCATTCAGATAAAACAGCTGCATTTGTTGTGGTAATACCAACACCAAGAACATATTTACAGTATTTTACGTGAAATCTTTCTAGAAGTAGCCACTCTTGAAAACCCCATATTTCCTAGCAATATAGTAAGATAGGCTTAATTTGTGTATCAAACATTTGAAATAAGATAGTAGGAGAAAGATTTTTCATTTTATGATGAAGCTGTTTAATTGGAAAAAGGGCTTTATTAGCTTTCAGAACGAAAGTTTCCTACTCGTCCCAGCCCTACTGAATTCCTCATACATTTTAGAATCTAATTACGACTGTTCTTTTTGGCACCAATACCAAGTGTCTAGATAAAGTGAAACGAAATATATTGGGGATGGAAACAACTGCTGTGCTCGAAAGACAACACCTGTTTGAAATGTAAACAAAGAAAATTTCAGACTTTACACTGTGTAGCATTTTCTCAAATTTTCAGACACCCATTTGAATGGAAAGAGCATAGTAGCAAGAAATAGGAAATTAAAAATAGATACAATACAGGAATGTGATGAGTTTACACGAAACTGTCAAGTTTCTGTGGTGCGTGACACCATGACTGACGCAAAATCACGCAGAACGACAACGGTAATAATCGGCATTTCTGGCTTCTTCTCTATCTTAAAATGGGAGTGTATTTGTCAGTTTCTCTGAGGTGAAGGTCGGTAGAATAAGAGTATACACAATCACCATATCCCGCCGATTACACTTTCAGTATCATAATGTAATCGTTCGGATTTTTTTTTCATGAAACTAATTTCATTATCTACATTTAGCCTTGTTCAATATCATATCATACGTGGGTATAGGGTGTACATGTTATATTCTTTGAAAGTGTTTGTTTGAATAATATTTACAGAAGAAATTCACACATTTAGTGTAGAAAAACATAAAAATATAAACCTTTCCACAAGTGTTAAAAAATGAAACGTTGGCATCATGTACTTGTACAACATGTATTTTAGTTCCTATGATGTGCATAGTTACAGTTTCGTACGTAACTCTTCGTCAGAATAATTTCCAATATCGAAGTCAAGTCCACGATACACCCTATCCTTTCTTTGCTGAACTGGCATCATGAAAGCAGTATTGGCCATGAACGCCATTTGCGAGTTGACCACACTGTTAAAAAGTTAGCGGCGGTTTTGAACAACAAGACAACCCTCTGTAATTAGGTAACAGTCAGTTAAATGTACTTAACGGCTGGTTAAAAGATAACCGAGTTTTGAACAACCGGGCCCTGATTGGTTACCCTTATAAACGTACCACATTCAAATCTGTCTGATTGTTGAAATGTCCCCAATATCTAGAAACCACGGGGGAAGGAAAAGGGCATCTTTGAGAGGCATTGCGTTAGAACAAACACCGAAACGTCGCTCCCACTGTAATAAAGAAGCTGTCCAGCATTTATTGTTATCATTCAAAAATGGCAAATGAGGGGATGAAGTATCACCTCACCTCACCTCACCTCACCTCACCTCACCTGTAGCAAACTGAATCAGACATCACTCTGTTGCAGGTGCTACCGGCGCCAACGTGGCCTTACACAAGGTGGCCTACCAGAGTTCTAAATACGTTTTCGACCACATCGACGCCAGTGCGGGAAATGCAGTTGACGGCAACACCAACAGTAGACTAGACGGCAACTCCTGCACACATACCATCACCGGCGACGTGAACACGTGGTGGTTGGTGGACTTACTAGATGTGTACGAGGTCACCAATGTAACACTGTGGAACAGAGACATTGTCGGTGAGCAGTGACTTAAGGACAGACCACATACTTTGAGCAGGGTGTTGGGGAAGGGGGACGAAGTTTGTAGATGTCTACGATGTCACCAATGTAACACTGTGGAACAGAGCCATTGTCGGTGAGCAGTGACTTAAGGACAGACCACATACTTTGAGCAGGGTGTTGGGGAAGGGGGACGAAGTTTGTAGATGTCTACGATGTCACCAATGTAACACTGTGGAACAGAGCCAATCTCGGTGAGCAGTGACTTAAGGACAGACCACATACTTTGAGCAGGGTGTTGGGGAAGGGGGACGAAGTTTGCAGATGTCTACGATGTCACCAATGTAACACTGTGGAACAGAGCCAATCTCGGTGAGCAGTGACTTAATGACAGACCACATACTTTGAGCAGGGTGTAGGGTAGGGGGACGAAGTTTGCAGATGTCTACGATGTCACCAATGTAACACTGTGGAACAGAGCGATTGTCGGTGAGCAGTGACGTAAGGACAGACCATATACTTTGAGCAGGGTGTTGGGGAAGGGGGACGAAGTTTGTAGATGTCTACGATGTCACCAATGTAACACTGTGGAACAGAGACATTGTCGGTGAGCAGTGACTTAAGGACAGACCACATACTTTGAGCAGGGTGTTGGGGAAGGGGGGCGAAGTTTGTAGATGTCTACGATGTCACCTATGTAACACTGTGGAACAGAGACATTGTCGGTGAGCAGTGCCTTAAGGACAGACCACATACTTTGAGCAGGGTGTTGGGGAAAGGGGGCGAAGTTTGTAGATGTCTACGATGTCACCAATGTAACACTGTGGAACAGAGACATGTTAGGTTAGCAGCGACTTAAGGGCAGACCATATACTTTGAGCAGGGTGGGGGTAGGGGGTACGAAGGTTGTAGATGTGTACGATGTCACCAATGTAACACTGTGGAACAGAGACAATGTCGGTGAGCAACGACTTAAGGGCAGACCATATACTTTGAGCAGGGTGGGGGGTAGGGGGACGAAGGTTGTAGATGTGTACGATGTCACCAATGTAACACTGTGGAACAGAGACATTGCCGGAGAGCAACGACTTAAGGGCAGACCACATACTTTGAGCATGGTGGGGGGTAGGGGGCCGAAGGTTGTAGATGTGTACGATGTCACCAATGTAACACTGTGGAACACGGGTGAGCAATGACTTAAATACAGACCACATACTTTTGAGCCTGGGGTGGGGTAAGGGGCGAAGGTGTGTGGGGCGCGGGGAGAGAAGGAGGGGTTGGGGGGGAGGAGGAGCAGCCCTAGATCTACTAAACTGCCGGGGTAAATAGAGCACATACCTATGTAAAACAAACTAGTGAGTGAGTTAGTTACGCCGCTTTTAGCAATATTCCAGCAATGTCACGACGGGGGACACCAGAAATGGGCTTCACACATTGTCCCCATGTAGGGGAATCGAACCCGGGGTTTGTGAAGATCACATGCGATTTAACCACTGTGTTAATGTACATCCCCAAAACAATCTGGAAATGAAATGAATATTCGATGGTGTTCTCGTGTATTTTACTATCTCAGTTGTGTTTTGGACATTTACCTTAAACTGTTAACGAACTGTTTTCAAACTATAGACTGTAGTATCGGTGGATTATGTTTTTTTCGAAATTTCTCTGTTTTTACATTCCAGTTTTCATTCCGTCTCAAACAAATTTTCGGGTCCAAATTCTGTTTCAGGACGTTTTTGTAAATATTCCAACCTTATCACGAATATTGAACTTATTTGGGGAATCTAACACTCAAGCGAACTCTTACGAACGACATTCGAATCACTAGCCTAGTTAACACCATACACATTTGCTTTGTGCGCCCTAATGTTACATAAAAAGTACTGTTGTGTTTGTTAAAAACAGGAATCTCTTTTATATGCATCTTTTCTTAAGCTCCGGAAATGGCCTTCACACATCGTACTGTGGGGTGTCGAACCCGGGTTTTCCTGCGCCCTGTTTCGAGTTAAAGTAGATGATATATTCTCTACTTTTAACGTATTTATTTCATCCCCAACAGCTGATCGTCTTCAAAACCTAATTCTTGAAGTGGGAAGCCAACTGCCGGTTGTTTTACCAATCCCTCAAGCGGAACGGTGTACGGCCTTTCCTGGAACAGTTGGTGTGCAGGTGACCTTGACCTGTGACGCACCTGTGATTGGTCGATTTTTCATAGTCCGAAAAGTCTATGTGCCCGGGACAATTGAATATTTGACAATGTGTGAAGTTGCTGTCAGAGGGAATTTGATAAAATCAGGTGTGTATTAATATGAGTGAGTGAGTGAGTGAGTGAGGTTTTACGCCACTTTTACCCTACATTTGTACAGAACAAATAGCCCCTTCTATCTTGCTAATTGTAGTTAGCCTCTATCTCAAGCTGAATTATTATTCGTGTCCTATGGTGCCCCTAAATGTACTGGGGTGGTGGGGTAGATTAGTGCTTAAATCGTTCGCTTGTCACGCCGAAGACCCGGGTTTGATTCCCCACATGGGTACAAATGTATGAAGGTCATTTCTGGAGTCCCCCGCCTTGGTAGTCCTGGAATATTGCTAAAAGCGGCGTAAAACTAAGCTCACTTTAAAATGTGCCAGTAAAATTTCGATTTTACTTTTTTATCCATGGCACTATGGTCTCCTTTTTTGAAGGTTTAAATGTTAATGTTTAAGCATTCTTGAATACCATTAAACAAATGTCTGATAGGATAATATTCCAGAAACAAGTCGTTGAGCTACATGAAAATTGTTTCTTACGACACAAAAACTATCTAAAGTTGGGCAAATAATAGGAGAAAAGAAAAGTGTAGATTCGATTAATTACTTATTTGTACAACACACAATGTTTCAGACTGTGGTCCACAGTGTCTCACAGCGGAAGTAGGAAAACGGTTCATGACTGACAACGCCAGCAAGTTCGTCACCGTACTTTCACCTGCTGAATGCGCGAGTGACTGCCACCGGAACATCCGGTGTCTCGGCTTGAACTACGAGATGTCAACGGGAACCTGCGAGATGATATATAAGCTAAAACCCTCTGTGGAGCAACTGACCAACGCTCCCGGCTGGAGATATTATGGATATAATATCTGTTGAAAACCATTTCCTGTCCTGGAGTGTGAATTACCTTACTCCATCACCACAGTCTGTTAGAATAACACCTGTGCAAAAGTAATAACTGATTTAGGTAGTGTCGGGCTTGAGGAGATATGGATACAGGTTAAATGCAAATCTAGAACATATTACGGATGAAAACACTCAATATTGGAATTGAATAAATCAATCAATGCGCAATTCAATTGATCTTAATGAATTAATTCATTATTGTTACTGGCGATTGACATACTCCAGGGCAACAATCAAAAGACCGCACATTTGCAATCTACCCCTCAAATAAATATGTACATACGCTATCAGAATAACACCTTACTCTAAAACATTGATGCAATTGCTTGCATCAAGTGTTACCGAGGTCAGAGATTCGGTAGTTGGTCCAGTATGTAGCGATCATTTGTAAAATTATTGTCCTCCAGTACGTAATTCCCAAAGCATTCCACCAAACTGAAACATACCACGATCTTTAACCGTAGGATATATGTTATTTTAATTTATGGCTAGATTTTCTAGACCTGCTAACAGCTGAAGGGATGGTGTATATCCAGGTAGGGTCCATGCAGGAAGCAAATGTATCCTAAGTCCCCATGGTTCCTAGAATGGTGATACACCGCCAGCTGTTGCAAACTATAGCCTGTTTTTACATTGTATCGTCTTCTATAGTTAAACTTTTATATTTACAAACTAATTTAATATTCATATATGTGATATTCTAGTTGTTTTAGTGTCCCTTGTTGACATCCTTTTATAATTTTGTACGTATTTATGATGAATTTCAAACTTGCTTTAGTCACGATAGGGCTGAAATATTGCCGATAAAACTGTAAATCTGAACTCACTCACTCTCTCAAATGTTGACAGGTTGACCAATTCCTTTTCAAAGTACAGAAAACACACCACCCCCAGTACCGCACAAAATGTCACCTACATGACAATATCTCTGCACAAGTTAAGTTATTTTGTTAAAAAAGAAAGACAGCACTTAATACCTAAAATGTGGTCATTTTTTATCACTGGATGAACATACATTTTCAAAAATCCACATAAATATCATACACAGTATCAATAAATTATCGGATGTCACATGCGTCGATCAGAACTGGTGCAAAGGATTTTTATTTAGTGTAGTAGAACCTGTATGTTACGTGCTGTGTCTCCCCACAAAAATAGGGTCCACTTCTCACGGTAGTGAATGGGGCCAGACAGGATGAGTGAGTGACTTTAGTTTTACGCCGCACTCAGCAATATTCCAGCTATATGGCGGCGGCCTCTAGATAATAGAGTCTATACCAGACAATCCAGTGCAGCACGAGCATCGATCTGCGCTATTGGGAACCGATGACATGTGTCAACCAAGCCAGCGAGCCTGACCACCCAATCCCTATAGTCGCCTCTTACGACTACAGCGTGTTCAGCTAGACCTGAGCTACTCTACATATGCATGACCCGGGAGGTCAAATGGCACAAACGGTTAACTTCATTAAATAGGGGAGCAGAGAATGTTATTAATGTTGCGTTTGTGCGAAGCATGCATACAGGATTCGTTACAGAACTTGTCCCGGAAAACAGCACTTCTGAAACAACAATCATTTCATGTTTTAATTGAATTGTTTAGACAGACAGACAGACAGATTTTATTGACGCAAGCCACATGGGCCTCTGGCCATACATATAATGCAATATAGATATACAGTCATATTTTGGTTTACTAACTTTACAACGTACAGACGTCAATTACTTTCACAATCCGATTCACTCTCGCCATCACTCTCTACACCCAGTTCAGTTATCACTTTTTCTATTTTTTATGTTCAACTGTACTATTTCTTCCCAGTAGTTAGGACATTGCTGACGATTTCTCGACACTGAGATGTCAAATGTCGACAATGGTACACCCCTTCACCCAACCAGTTGTGACACGGTCAAGGTTACTGAAGATCAATTCTATACCCGGATCTTCACGGGTACCACACAGGATGAAAGGGTGATGATTGTTTACCTCCTAAAGATTCACTGGCGGTTTCCCCCGGGGAGGTGAAAATGTGCCCTGAGTGGTAATAGTTTGTGGGCATTTTCTTTTTTAACTTGATGAAAGAATTGGGTACATGACGCCCCATGATCGTGCGAGGCCGGTACAGCAGCCTACACAGTGGACATGGATCATAGCGTTCGTGTTGGCCGACACAGTAACATCACTGAACACTGCTATTCTGTAACGCACACACGCACGCAGGCACATGCACGCACGCACGCACACACACGCGCACACACACGAACACAAACACACGCACACACGCACACACACACAAACACACACTATCAGTTGTTTTCCCAGAGCCTATACACCACCTACATGTGGACACAACATCCCCTCGTATATGTCCTCAACAAGTTTAGAAACTACTCATGTTTAAAGTATACTCTCCTCTTCTTAAGACGCACTTAACATCAGTGCATCACAATACTTCAGGTCCTCAGAGGCAAGTTCGCGATATATTTTACTGATTTTACTGACCGCTGTCCATATGCCGCTCCGAAATTATTTGAAGCGCCTTAAAATCACACAACATGTCAACACGTCAACTTGCCAGGTCTAAAAACTCTCTGTTCAAAATGGTATTCTCAGTAATAAATCATTAAAGCTCCGCATGTGCTCTGTGTGACTATGGATATGAAGGAATATTCTTCAACATGTGACGCGTCCATCTGAAGCCAAACATATCACCTCGAGAAGGGGAGGCGAGTGGCTGTTTCACTTGTTGTACACAGAGCATAACAAAAGGGTTGTCTTTTCCTGTACTTGACCATGTTTGACCTACAGGAAACACTTGGAGAAATAGTAAGTGTAAAGTCTTATGAACAGAAATGCAATACAAATAAAAAGTGTCGATTCAGGTACAATCACGCCCTCACATAAACATTTAATTTTTAAAGGTCCATGTTATAATGCAGGTTTCATTTACCAAGTTAATGCTTATGGCGTAAATTACGTTATCCTTTTTGTTTCCTTGTTTTGTGATTAACGCTGCATAATCAAGTCACGTGACTGTAGATTCCAGTGATTGACATCATGAGCATCAATCTGCGAAGTTGCGATGGCATCAAACAAGTAAGCGAATCAAACCACCCGATCCCGTGTGTAGCCCCTTACGACAAGTATGATTCTTCTTCTTTTTTAAATATTTTTTGTTCCCAAATTTACAAGCACGATACACACATCAGATACGTCAGAGAATGACAGGTATGGATTGCCATCGACCAATGCTACCCCCGGTTTTCAAGAGTCTCATACAAGCAGCGTACAACAATACCAACTCATTCATGCTTCATCAGAGCTAAGGAGGATCGGAGGATCACAATGAGTGAGAGAGAATGTGAACATTGTCTTTAATATCAAGCACACATTGTGAACCAACTCACGACCACAAGACCAGTCTCAGTTTTTCGAGAATGAAAATCTAAATAATCTCCAAATTCAGTTTTCATTTATCCAGCAATATAAATTACAATAAACGTGTTGATGTTTTAGAGTTATCGCCCTTGTTATCTGGCGACCTGCAGTTGGAAAGCTCATTATGAAACAACCAAAAAAAGACAAAAATCCGTACATTTAATATCAACTCATTTATTTTTGCTAACGTAGACTTAAGTCCGGGGAGGTCATTATAATAATGTGTGATAAGGATGTGTATGTTGGTTTGTCGCACTCAGCAACATTCCAGCTGGATAAGGGGCGGTGGGGTAGCCTAGTGGTTAAAGCGTTCGCTCGTCACGCCGAAGACCCGGGTTCGATTCCCCACATGGGCACAATGTGTGCATCCCATTTCTGGTGTCCCCCGCCGTGATATTGCTGGAATATTGCTAAAAGCGGCGTAAAACCATACTCACTTACTCCAGCTGGATAAGGATAATGGAGAGTAGGACAGGACTACTTAGCAATTTCTGATAAGGGCGATGTGTGGCCTGTTTTGACTAATGGTGTGTAAGAATGTGTAAAACGGCTATCCGCTTGCATATAGTAAATAGCCTCAACATGGTGAGGTGAGGTGAGGTGAAATTGGGTTTTACGTCGTGCTTGAGAATATTTCGCTCATATGACGACGTGCATGCGTGTGTGTATGCTTGTACTAGCCCAGACTTAAGCTGGTTTTATAGTGCTAGCCCACTGAGACACCATGCCGCAGTGAAGCATGAATACCCCACTCAGACACATTATACTCACTCCGAGCCGACCAGTCCTTGTTGTACCCAGTAATGCCGAGCGCCAGGCAGGGACCAACAAGTACCATATTTTAACGTCTTTTGGTATGACGCGGTCGGGGATCGAACCCGCGACCTTCCGCTCTCCAGGCGGACGCTCTAACCACTACACCACGGGGGCGGTCCCTCAACATGGTCAATCTGTAAAACGTATCAATGTATCACACACGGCTGTAACCTGGCTTGTCTCATATAAAACGTGTGATAATTTTTATTTTTTTTTTTTATTTTTTTTATTAATAGCGTAGATCGAACTATTTACTATGTGATAAGTTAACATTTATTAGTAGTATTGCTTACACAGTTGATCTTTGGCACTGTTATGGTGTCTCGTTTGGAAGTATGTATAACACATGGTATCCCATCCTGGGAGTCGACACCTGTCAGATATAACCAGTTCCTGATAAACACCTGGTCTCAGATCTTGTGGAATGATACGTGAAATAGTAACGGTGATTGTGCCGTGGGAGTGTAGTCTATTTAGTTTTTTCATGTATATAATGCTTACTGTATTTAAATGTATATAAATTCCTTACTAATAAAAGCGTGAATTTCCGGGTTAGAATTGGTCTTCAGCAACCCATGCTTGTCGTAGGTGGCGACAAACGGGATTGAGGGTCTCGCTCGCTGATTTGGTAATACATGCATCGCAGATCGATGTTCAAGATGTCAGCGACAAGACTATTTACAGACCGCCGTCATATAGCTTAACAGCTGAATGCGGCATTTAACAACAAAAGTATATCGGGTTTGTTTTCGCATGTAATGGGAAATGGAAAGAACTGTTGTTAAAATATGATTATGTCTAAACTTGCGGTGATAACTGGAGTAAAACGTGAACGACTGAAACATGGCAGCCACTTAGTTAAATGCTGTAAATATGTCTCTAAGAAAAGAAAAAATATTGATTTTTACAAAGATAACATGTTTAAGATACCGACCGACCTAGGTACACTATTCAAAAAAAGAAACGCATAACCCAGAAATCTGTTGCGAAAATGTTGTCTTTTCAAAAATGTATAACACGTCCACAAATAGATTTTAGTGTATGAATTTTTACATCAGTTTACAAGAGGGACATGTCTATACAACCAAGTGGATAATGTTAGATAACGGAGACGTTGAGCGCGGTGGTGTCGACGTAGCACGGCCAAAACGTCGGGTCTCCTGGCTCTCAGTCCAATTGTTTCACTGACAGACTGAGTTTGTTTTTACGCCGCTTTTAGCAATATTCCAGCAACATCACGGCGGGGGACACCAGAAATGGGCTTCACACATTGTACCAATGTGGGGATTCGAACCCAGTCTTCAGCGTGACGAGCCAACGCTTTAACCATTAGGCTACCCCACCGCCCCGCAATTGTTTGAACACAATAGTAATTAATAGATTTTTAAAAATACAAAACGCCTATGCGTTTCTATTTTCGATAGTATATTATTGATATTTTGTTTTTATTTTCAAATCATCATTATATTTGAAAGAAAATAGTAAAAATATATTTTACTGATTACTAATCCAACAATCAGCTGATGAATTTTAAAAAAAGAATTTGTAGTGTCCTTTGTTTCCCAACTTCAGTTACCGGTTGTGTTTGATCAAAGCTATACCTATGTATAGTGTTCTCTTAGCACAACGAAATGTGAAACTTTGAGCAGTCGTGTTCCTACCGTTACCTTGACCTTACACATGAGAAAAAGAAGCTGAAGATTAGTCAGGATATGATCATCCGTTTCGCCATTGCGTGTTGATCCCTGTGTACCTTTACAATGACTCTGAGTTCTTTAATGAGTAAACTGGTTTGAAAAAACTTCCTTGTCTTTCTGCGGAACATATTGTCTTAAACGTATCATTCACTTCATGCCGATTCAAACTGTTACAATTGAACAACCCTTTTCTTGCCGTGGGTAGAATGTTCCACGATTCTGAAATTCCCGAAGATGGCCGCCGATTCGCATTTCATCCGATCGCATATTCGTTGATTTCTTGCTTGTAGGTTTTAAGATTTTGAAACGGCAATTGTATCTCATATCTCATATTGAGTGGTTCTGTAATTTAACTGATGTTCTATGTTTATATGCAGTTAATATCATGTTCTACAGAAGTGAGACGTAAATAAACAATTGCCTGTTTGTCTGCTACTCGTCTTGCCAGATCAAACTGCCAAGGTTCAGAGAGACTGTATTTGTGCCTCTTATTATGCAAAGTGTTGTCATTTTGACATTGGAATAACAAATCTAAATTGAAGTATAGAAGAACACAAATACCAAAAACACAGCTCTGTGTGGTTATATCTTAAATAATTATCTTGAAAAACAATTATATTTTCGCTTTGTATTGAAGCCTGAATAGGTGACTTTCCGTCAGGGCTTAACCTGTATGTCACTCAGTAGAAATCGATGGACGATTTTGTTTGTATCTCTTGCTCTTTAAAAATTCAAACCAACATTTGACATCAATGAAAATGAAAGAATGTTATTGTGTGAACAATTAATCGCTACACTGAACTAGATACTTTAAATGGTTCTACTTCGTTTCGTGCAAACAGGAACAACTTCTTACGCATGATCGGAAGTTTCGAAGAAAGAAGTGCATTCTAAACGGCAAAATAACTGAGACTTTAAGGTATGATGTCGCTCACCTATCTGGGGCTCCTTTCACGAAGCAACCTTTACTAAGGTTAACCTTAACTCCCATTCTTTAACATTGCACTACGGTTACCTTAGTGACTTACGATCACTTTAGTGCTTTGTGAAAGGAGGCCCAGGACTTCACTACGGCCATCCGGCACATTGTGGCCATTCATTATTCAATATGTTGTACATAGTTTCATTTTTGACAACTCAAAACATCGAGATAGATACACTAAACGCCAAAAGAAACGTTACCCTCCTACCTTTATGAATTACTTATAAAACTATCAAAGATATGTTAGAAGGTATTAGTTTACAAGAAAGCTTAACAACACAGCTTTACGCAAATCACGAAAGAAAATTTCAAGTACAAGAAATATGCCACGATTAACAACAGCTGACGAGAGAGAAAGAGCCATTGCGATGGTGCAGATGGGGTCGACATACAATGCTGTTGCCAACTCCCTCGGATGTCATCGTATCACGGTTATAAGACTTATTCAGGGCTTCGGATAGACTGGGGTCACCGTAGACAGACCAAGAAGTGGACGTCCATGCTTGGTACGTCTGTCATTAGGAAGGAGGGTAACGTTTCTTTTGGCTTTCAGAGTATATGTGCTTGAAAGGTTAACTTTCATTAAAAATATCCTAAGAAATACAGAAACCTATATCCATTTCTGTAGTTATTGTGTGTTTATATCGGTTTTACAGCTCCACCTGTTACAGAAGACCTACAGAGAGCTAGTGATATAGCCACGATGATGCATAATTATATACTCATGGAAACAAATAAGGGAACATATGAAAGTACGAGTATTGCTTTATTCGTTTCGAGGTTTCTTCACAAGGTATGTATTGCTGGGTGAAATTCTATAAATAAATAAAGGAACACTTGTACTTTCATGTGCTCCCTTATTTGTTTCTATCAGTATATAATGTCATGTTCCTTGCGGTCGAAAAATATCTACACAATTATGTAAAACAATATCTAAAGCTCACTGGAAGGCTGGCATTTCGCCCGTTTGTTCTGATTTCAGAATATGCCCGTTTGCATATAAACATGAGAAAAGTCGGATAACGTGATATGCAAATTAGCATCAGTGCAATGATACGTGATAACTGCGTCGATGTGTAGGAATAAGTCTGTCGTGATAAATTCCCTGCATCCAGTGTTGCCTTTGCCTTCGTTTTAACACGGAGCCAATTTAAACCACGCGTTTTACTGTTGAAATAATCGTCGATGTCACCAATAGTCCACTCTTCTTGCAACGTCTCGAAGAGAACTCAAATCGGTTCGTGATGAAATGGTATTGACACAGTTCCGTCCAAGTCTCGGAATTATGTACATATGAACCTTCCTGATAACATCAGCTGCAACTGTGGCACACATGCATACAATAAGAAAAAAGTTTCATCACTGTTGTCTAATGTCAAGGTGATCTTGGGTGACGTCAGCACGTGACGATCGCGACTAATTGACTTGCCTTTGCAAACTTTCTGACAGGTGCCCGTGATGAAGGATTCAGCAAGAATTTGGTAGTGATTCATGAACTCATGATCATAATATGCCCCCTCTGTGGATCGGATTTTGCTACTTTTATTTCAAATCATTTTTTTTCGGGAGTTGATGAGTCAGTGCGGGCATAATGGGTGAGTGAGTGAGTTCAGTTTTACGCCGCACTCAGCATTCAGCTACATGGCGACGGTCTGTAAATAATCGAGTCTGGATCAGACAATCCAGTGATCAACATCTTGAGCATCGTTCTACGCGAGTGGGATACGATGACATGTGTCAACCAATTCAGCGAGTCTGACTACCCGATCCCGTAAGTCGCCTCTTACGACAAATATGGGTTACTGAAGATCAATTCTAATCCGGATCTTCACAGATCTCATTTTTCTACAGAGTTGGTGAGTCAGTATGTGCATATTGGAGTGAGTGCGTGCATACATGCGTGATAGAGCGTTTGTTTGTCTGCGGCTTAACGCCGCAGTCATCATTATTTCAGCTATGTCTACGCAGTTGGGATACGATGACATGTGCCAACCAAGTCAGCGAGCCTGACCACCCGATCCTGTTAGCCCTATGCAAGTAAATCGCACAGCGGAACATTAATCAGACTATAATAGCCCCCGAGAGAACGTTCATGGTTTGATATCCTTCATGTTTCATGGGATTTTGTTGTCAAGCACCATTTGGGATGTATAGTCCGTTTGGCTCAAAAGCGGACCGATGAATTGCAATCTAACTCGAAAACTAATATACATAAAATACTCAATGAAACACTGATCATAATCAAAACGTCAGACCAACTCTGTGAGTTTTTTGCAGAATTTATGTCCTAAAAATAAAAAAGTTGTTTAACAAACTATCATTAAAATATTGACACAGTTCACTATTTGTTACGAGGGAGGAGTGAAGAGAAAGGGACAGCCAGGTGTGCGAGAAAGGATGGAGACGGCACAGCACAGGTTAATGAATCAATAACTTTGTGGGCACTTGTGCACGTGCTTCTCTAACATCTGGCTGTCCCTTTCTCTGCACTCCTCCCTCGTAAGAAATGGTGAACTGTGTCAATATTTTAATGATTGTTTGTTAAACAACTTTTTTAATTTTAGGACATAAAATCTGCAAATAAATGACAGAGTTGGTCTGATGTTTTGATTAGGATCAGTGTTTCATTGAGTATATTATGTTTATAAGTTTTCGAGTTAGATTGCAATTCATCGGTCCGCTTTTGAGCCAAACGCACTATAGTTCACGGTCTTCGACATATAACGAAGACATACAAAACGGCATATTTAATCATTTTTCGCCAATAGCTACGTACATATTCTTATATGAGTGCGTATCAGAATGGAAGTCCTCATGTCGCTCAACATACCCTTCCGTGTCAGTTCCGGTTTTCGACATTGTTACACGGAATTGTGGGTGCGTGAGATGCGTGTCTCCGTGTGTCATTGTATCCTTCCGCGCATCGAACAAGCTAGCTGCCACGCGCAGAAACTCTGTTTTCCGATCATGGCTCCCCTCCCCGTAGAAGATGTCGTCAGATGTTAGGGCGTGGTCATAGCCTTCGTTTCCACGCAACGGTGTCTTGGAAGGGGAGAAGGTGATGTTGCGAGTTTTCATGTTGATGGTGTCGCCCTCTGTCAGGTAGGATACAAACACGTTGCGCAAGCTGTAGTATCTCTCTGCGGGGTCGCTGTAGGATTTGGAGACGTCGACAACTGTAACGCCGAGCTCGCCAAATACCTAATAATTATGAAGAAATAAAAAATAATACCCATTGAACTAAATGAAGAGGTAGAGAGAAGGGTAGGTAAAGGGGGTGGGTAGAGACGTGATAGAGTTGATGGCTGTTTTACGCCGTGCCCAGCAACATTACCACGAGCACATAAAGTTCACAATAGCACTCAGTTGCAAGCACTACATGTAGATATGTTTTGTAAACGGCCTAAATGCAAGTAACACCAGAAGAATGCCAAAACATCGGGACATCTCATCATGATTTAAGTCTGTAGTCGAGGTATGTAACGAATTCGATGACAGTGAAAGTTTACGTTCAGCATGCAGATCTAAGCGTTTGCTCATCACGCCGAAGGCCCGGGTTTGATTTCCCACATGGGTACAATGTGTGAAGCCCGTGTCTGGTGTCCCGCCGTGATATTGCTGGTATATTGCTAACAGCGACGTGACCCGTGAAGATCAGGGTTAGAATATTTTCTTCTGTAACCCATGCTTGTCGTAAGAGGCGACTAACGGGATCGGGTGCTCAGGCTCGCTGACTTGGTTGACACATGTCATCGGTTCCCAATTGCGTCGATCGATGCTCATGATGTTGATCACGTGATTGTCTGGTCCGGACTCGATTATTTACAGATCGCCACCATATTGCTGGAATATTGCTGAGTGCGGCGTAAAACCAAATTCACTCACTCATTAAAAGCGGCGTAAAGCCCAACTCACTCATCCACTCGATTTCTATCTAACTACCCGGGATTGGGTGGTCAGGCTCGCTGACTTGGTTGACACATGCCATTGGTTCCCAAATGCGCAGATCGATGCTCATGCAGTTGATCACTGGATTGTCCAGACTCGATTACTTACAGACCGCCGCCATATAGTTGGAATATTGCTGAGTGCGGCGTAAAACTCAACTCACTCACTCACACACTCTATCTAACTAACGCTTTGGTTTGGGGATATGAAATTCAAATATACACTAAACATTATTTTTTCAAATATGAAACATATTTTTAGCCAGATTTTGATTTACTTTCCACAGAGACCATATAATAGAGGGACGGCCCTCCCCGACAGTTTATCACTAACCATCAGCGCTACGGCCTGGCATGTAACCAATACACATCGACACCCTGCTGCTAACTTCCCTCTACCGGTACACATGCGCAACAAATGCGCAGACATTCGCAAATGAGCACTCTGGTAACCACGTAAACAATATTGCGTAATATCCGGGCCGAGAGTTAATTCCCTTAACGGGATTTCACCGGCTGCGTCTTAATTTTTATCTTATCTCTCATTTGCACATGTCAACTGACAACATCGCAGAACATGTATCATTCGCGAAATGCGAGTCGTCATAAGCCTGGAATATTTGTTTCAACATTCGGCATGGCCATGGACGACTTAATTCATTCACTGGGATGATTCCGACTTGGACCTCGATACTTACTTGGAGAATTCACAGACTACGACAGGACAGAGAATATAAACCAAAAATACAAAAATCAAACTAACCCAGTCAGGTAAAGGCAGTTTTAACATTACAGTTGCCAATATCCCTGATGCTCGCTAAACGTATCATCACATGGCTAATCTCAAGATTTACTTGCAAGTATTCGTTGGCACAAAACGAGGGTGTGGTCAAGCAGTCGATGAAAGTAAAAATTCCCGCGAATTTATAAAGAATGTGCAGATTTGCAAGCGTTAGCCAATCAAAGGACTTGCTTCGACCACACCCCTTTTGTGTGCGGACATATCGTCATCCATTTGTGTCAAGCTCGTTTAGTTGAGAGTCAAAATTGGTTTTCAATCGACTTGCAGAAATAACAATAAAGAATTGGTAGGTGTCATGAGTGGTGATCGATAGGCCAATCATCCATGGTTATGTTTACATTAAGTTTTAATCGATTGCATGCGATGGTAGCGTAGCGATCGGCAACGCAGTCGGGTAGGGTGCACCCTAGAAGTGTCCGGCCTTGTCATTATGTATTGTACTGTGAAGCATTTCGAGTCGGGGTGTCATCTCAAAAACAATATTATTAAAATCATGAATCCTCGGGAAGACACGAGGGCCTGTGACATTCTCTATTATATGGTCTCTGCTTTCCATAAACATTTGGTTGAACTGGACGATATGGAATTATATAATGTGAGGGAAAAACGATTTCTTTCTGTTATGTAATATGCAAGGATTAGAGAATGAATATTGTTTCCCTCTTGTGCGTGAGTAAGAGAATGTTGTTATGTCACATGAACAATCTTGCAGCAGTTTTAGGGCGACATTGATAATTATTCAGCGCAAACTGATTACCTCCCCTAGTTCGTTGTCCGTGCCGACGTGTGTGACGACGAGGGCCGTGTTCTCGCTGACGCCGAGGCCGTAGTTGACGCCGTTGGACATGTGTCGAGTGTCCGACAGCAGGCGTACCATGCGTCCTTCGCGGCCTCGATTGCTGAACAATAGAATACGGCATATTAATTATGAACTACTCTGTTCATACAGAGACCATATAATATATATTTGGTTCATAATAGTGAGTGGGGCGATGGGGTAGCCAAGAGGTTTAGAAATACAGCGTTCCTAATTCCAAGTCCATGGTATTGTTTTGTTCAATAACTACTCGTGTATTCGGACACAAAGTATCATCGAGATGATCTGTTCTTTTGCACTTTGTGGAGGCGGCGGGGATTTGACATCTTCAGATGAAACTTGCTTAAATATGTTAAGATAATCTATTTGGGCTTACAAAACTTACATAACCTGTTATCCTGTAACCTATGTATATATCTTGATCATGGGTGTACCTGAAGTGTGTGTCGAGAAGATAGTCGGTGTATATTCCGAAGCCCCCTGTTTTCCGGTAGGTGAGGTCGTTTGTGTGTGTGGACGACTCACGAGCTCCGTAACGGAGGGCGTCCCAACTGCTCCCACCTGTATGGACGAAACGGTCACACCTTAGATGACGGTGATGATGTGGAGGAGGATGCATCTTTTAAGTGTGCTTCCTGTAGAGCTGATTTTTGCACTTTGTCAAGTTCGTTCATAGTCACATAAATGATCTTCTTTTTCATGTCAAATTTGGAAGCCACGTGATTCGTACATTTCAAGCGTTGGTCATATGAACCTCGCATGACATGTGTATTTCCCAGCATGCATTTATATGGGAAAATAGGGCGGGTGGGTAGCCTAATAATTAAAAGGTTGGCTCGTCACACTGAAGACCCGGGTCCGATTCCCCATGGGTACGATGTGTGAAGCCCATTACTGGCGTTCCCCGCCGTGATTTTGCTGGAATATTGCTAAAGGCGGTGTAAAACTATACTCACTCACACACTCATACATGAGATACTTTCCCTTTGTGTGGTGTTTATGTTTAAAATGGTCATAAAGGTAACAGTAACGAATTCTATGGATAACGACATCCTAATTCTATGACAATGCGACATTTCAGCAGGAATTCTTACAATGTTGTCACGTAAGAGTAGAATTAGACGGGTTAATACGTATGCGCATGTCTACTGATACGTCATACAAAATAGATTAAAGAAATTGTGATTCATCTTGCCTTCAGCGTTACTCAAAAGCGGCGTAAAACTTAACTCACTCACTACCAGCTTCAGTGATGCTAAACAAACAGTTCATCTTGGTAACACTTCTTGGTAACTTACCCGTTACCATGGGACCGGCGGTGAGAATTACAGTCCCGGCACTGGAACCGGATATGACAGCGCCAAGGTCGTATTGATCCTTTATTGCCTGGAGAGCTGGAGACGGAATGTTGCCAGCTAGCGTGTACCTGCTCAAAGGAAGTGAAGATGATGTATCCTTTTAGGAACCACAGGTTCTGGCATCTACTTCACCCCAAGAGACCTGCATTCCATTGAAAATGTTGTCATTAAGTTACATTTGTAACTGTTATCTGCACATCATGGGTGTTTTCTCCATGGTAACGACCACATGCGGTATTTGTTTAACTCACATCCCGGAACAGGAACGCCCGAACACGCCCAACCACGGTGCACACACTACAAATCACACAGAATGATGCTCCAGTGAGTGAGTGAGTTTAGTTTTACGCCGTACTCAGCAACATTCCAGCTATATGACGGCGGTCTGTAAATAATCGAGTCCGGACCAGACAATCCAGTGATCAACATCATGAGCATCGATCTGCGCTAGTGGGATACGATGACATGTGTCAACCAAGCGTGACCACCCGATCTCGTTAGTCGCCTCTTACGACAAGCATGGGCTGCTGAAGACTAATTTGGATCTTCTCAGGTCGGTAAATAGATAGTTAGTCAGAATGAACGTAGGTAATCATCAAAATGAAATTCTACTGGCATTAGTGGGGCGGTGGGGTAGCCTAGTGGTTAAAGCGTTCGCTCGTCACGTCGGAAGGCCGGTTCGATTCCCCACATGGATACAATGTGTGAAGCCCATTTCTGGTGTCACCCGCCGTGATATTGCTGGAATATTGCTAAAAGCGGCGTAAAACCATACTCACTCACTCACTGGCATCAGCCCGATGTCAGTTGTACTTACGCCTGCACTAGACGCATCTGGTCCCCGCCCGAAATGAAAAACCCAGTCTGCTGTTTGATGAGTCTGACAACATTCGGATCACTGTTTTTCGCGACATCGTCCACGGTGACAGGAATGAAAGTGGCTTCCAAGGCGGTGTAGTTGTTGACGAGAAGGTCCACGTAGTACTGAGCCGATGTTACCGGGGTGGCTGACGCTGCTGAAATTACCCCAATACGTGCATTTCCTTTGCCTCCCTGTGAAGTGGATGAGTGGGTGAGCTGGGATTAACACAGCAGTTAACGATATTCTAACATGACAGCTTTTCAACATAATGTGGGAGTGTCTGAGTTAGTTTAGTTTTACGCCGCTTTTAGCAATATTCCAGCAATATCCAGGTCGATGGACGCTAGAAATGGGCTTCACACATTGTACCCATGTGGGAATCAACCCTTGTATTCGGCGTGACGAGCGAACGCTTTAACCACTCGGCTCCCTGTCGCCCCAACATAATGTGGGAAGAAACACAAAGCGATTACCGTTTTTATGATAATAAACATTTCCATAATTTTATGAAATATTAAATGACACCAGGTGTTCGCGAAACAGGAGGCATAACCTGGTTCACCCGCCAGAAACTAATGCAAGTGCACATAGGTGAGGTGAGATGAAATTGGGTTTAACGTCGTACTTGAGAATATTTCGCTCATATGTCGACGTGCACAAGTATGTGTATGTGCGGCTGCTTGTACTAGCCCAGACTGAAGCTGGTTTTATAGTGCTAGCCCACTGAGATACCATGCCGCAGTGAAGCATGAATACCCCACTCAGACACATTATACTGACTCCGAGCCGACCAGTCCTTGTTGTACCCATTAATGCCGAGCGCCAGGCAGGGACCAGCAAGTACCATATTTTAACGTCTTTTGGTATGACGCGGTCGGGGATCGAACCCGCGACCTTCCGCTCTCCGGGCGGACGCTCTAACCACTACACCACGGAGGCGGTCGCAAGTGCACATAGAATCTAAAATCGTGAACACGTGGTATGTTCCACTGGGGCATTGGTGTAACATGGAACTTTCTGACAGCTTTACTGAGGCGTTCCCATCGGTAGCAAAGACTACCAGTCGATCTTTATCGAAGGCCACGACTTTACGAAGGAATATTCCAAACGACGCAAGGACTACCACAACTACCACTACTACCACAACTACCACAAACAACAACTAGAACAAAACCTCTCAACAACCGCCACTCACTCACTCACTAACTCACTCACACACTCACTACTACTAACATTACCACAACCACGACCACCACCACCACTACTACTGCTACTACTATTATTATTATTTTTTACAGATTAAAAATAGTATGCAGCAGAGAGGGTTCGGGTGATCCTGGCACAGTCAGGCTGGTAAGGCACATCATCAGCTCAGGGCCCGTGCCCCCTCTACACGCAACCCAGACAGCGAATGGGACTTCTCCCAGGAAACGCTGCCTAGTCGAACCCACCAAGAACTTTCCGGAGAATATGAAGACTCCCCAACACTGCAGCCTTCTGCATTACCCAGAGAGTCAGAAGGGCTGTGCTCCCGGTGGAGAACCCGGGCACTCTCTTGATCTGCGCCAAGAGATCAGGAGGTACCAAACCAAGGGCACCGAAAACAATGTGGAGCCTGACGTCAGTGTACTTGGGATGCAAGCGAGACATTTCAAAGGTGAGGTCCGCATATTTATCATGCTTTTCCTCAATCTTGATAATCACATTGCTGTCAAAAGGGACAGAAAATTTTATGATATAAATATATTCATTTTAGCTTTATTAAAAAGGACAACATCAGGTTTGTTGGCTGGAATTCTTCTCAGGCTGTATATGGGCCTATTCCAAAGAAGTTTGAAAGCATCATTTTCCATGACGCCCTGGACATGTTCAGGGTCGTACTATGGATGGTCCTCAGAGTCAAAGTCACAGGCGTGGCGGAGACTGTAGTAAAAGCAGCGAGCCATGCCATCACTCCTCTGCTGACACAACTGCTCGAAACTACGCTTATAACGAACACCCTTGTAACGAACTGAAGGATATAACAACCTTGTTTCTTTTTCTGAGAGCCAGTTCCCCGTTTCACAAAGCGATCGTAGAACTAAGGTGATCGTACCTCCCATACTTTAACATAAACTTACGACAGTCGTAGTGCTGTGATCGCTTTGTGAAACGGGCCCCTGGCATATTGCTGCATAGATTAGTCGAAAAGCGTACAGGCCACTTGCTGTATATTTTAATCGAATAGCGTACAGGCTACTTACTGTATATTTTAGTCGAATAGCTTACAGGCCACTTGCTGTATATTTTAATCAAAAAGCGTACAGGCCACTTGCTGTATATTTTAGTCGAAAAGCGTACAGGCCACTTGCTGTATATTTTAGTCGAAAAGCGTACAGGCCACTTGCTGTATATTTTAGTAGAAAAGCGTACAGGCCACTTGCTGTATATTTTAATCAAAAAGCGTACACGTCACTTGCTGTATATTTTAATCAAAAAGGGTACAGGCCACTTGCTGTATATTTTAGTCGAAAAGCGTACATGCCACTTGCTGTGATTTTTATGTCAAAAGCGTACAGGACACTTGCTGTATATTTCATCAAAAAGCGTACAGGCCACTTGCTGTATATTTTAGTCGAAAAGCGTACAGGCCACTTGCTGTATATTTTAATCAAAAAGCGTACAGGCCACTTGCTGTATTTTTTAGTCGAAAAGCGTACAGGCCACTTGCTGTATATTTTAGTCAAAAAGCGTACAGGCCACTTGCTGCATATTTTAGTCGAAAAGCGTACAGGCCACTTGCTGTATATTTTAATCAAAAAGCGTACAGGCTACTTGCTGTATATTTTAGTCGAAAAGCGTACAGGCCACTTGCTGTATTTTTTAGTCAAAAGCGTACAGGCCACTTGCTGTATATTTTAATCAAAAAGCGTACAGGCTACTTGCTGTATATTTTAGTCGAAAAGCGTACAGGCCACTTGCTGTATATTTTAATCAAAAAGCGTACAGGCCACTTGCTGTAATATTTTAATCGAAAAGCGTACAGGCCACTTACTGTATATTTTAGTCGAAAAGCGTACATGCCACTTGCTGTATATTTTAGAAGAAAAGCGTACAGGCCACTTGCTGTATATTTTAGTCAAAAAGCATACAGGCCACTTGCTTTATATTTTATTTGAAAAGCGTTATGGTAACTTGCTGTAAAGTTCAGTCGAAAAGCGTACAGGCCACTTGCTGTATATTTTAATCGAAAAGCGTACAGGCCACTTGCTGTATATTTTAATCGAATAGCGTACAGGCCACTTGCTGTATATTTTAATCGAATAGAGTACAGCCCACTTACTGTATATTTTAGTCGAAAAGCGTACATGCCACTTGCTGTATATTTTTAATCAAAAAGCGTACAGGCCACTTGCTGTATATTTTAATCAAAAGCATTACAGCCCACTTGCTGTATATTTCATTCGAAAAGCGTGTACAGGCCAATTGCTGTATATTTAAATCTAATAGCGTACAGGTCACTTGCTGTATATTTTAATCAAAAGCGTACAGGCCACTTGCTGTATATTTCAGTCGAAAAGCGTACAGGCCACTTGCTGTATATTTCAGTCGAAAAGCGTACAGGCCACTTGCTATTTATTTTAATCTAATAGCGTACAGGCCACTTGCTGTATATTTTAATCGAATAGCGTACAGCCCACTTGCTGTATATTTTAATCTAATAGCGTACAGGCCACTTGCTGCATATTTTAGTCGAAAAGCGTACAGGCCACTTGCTGTATATTTTAATCAAAAAGCGTACAGGCTACTTGCTGTATATTTTAGTCAAAAAGCGTACAGGCCACTTGCTGTATTTTTTAGTCAAAAGCGTACAGGCCACTTGCTGTATATTTTAATCAAAAAGCGTACAGGCTACTTGCTGTATATTTTAGTCGAAAAGCGTACAGGCCACTTGCTGTATATTTTAATCAAAAAGCGTACAGGCCACTTACTGTATATTTTAGTCGAAAAGCGTACATGCCACTTGCTGTATATTTTAGAAGAAAAGCGTACAGGCCACTTGCTGTATATTTTAGTCAAAAAGCATACAGGCCACTTGCTTTATATTTTATTTGAAAAGCGTTATGGTAACTTGCTGTAAAGTTCAGTCGAAAAGCGTACAGGCCACTTGCTGTATATTTTAATCGAAAAGCGTACAGGCCACTTGCTGTATATTTTAATCGAATAGCGTACAGGCCACTTGCTGTATATTTTAATCGAATAGAGTACAGCCCACTTACTGTATATTTTAGTCGAAAAGCGTACATGCCACTTGCTGTATATTTTAATCAAAAAGCGTACAGGCCACTTGCTGTATATTTTAATCAAAAAGCGTACAGCCCACTTGCTGTATATTTCATTCGAAAAGCGTACAGGCCACTTGCTGTATATTTAAATCTAATAGCGTACAGGTCACTTGCTGTATATTTTAATCAAAAAGCGTACAGGCCACTTGCTGTATATTTCAGTCGAAAAGCGTACAGGCCACTTGCTGTATATTTCAGTCGAAAAGCGTACAGGCCACTTGCTATATATTTTAATCTAATAGCGTACAGGCCACTTGCTGTATATTTTAATCGAATAGCGTACAGCCCACTTGCTGTATATTTTAATCTAATAGCGTACAGGCCACTTGCTGTATATTTTAACCAAAAAGCGTACAGCCCACTTGCTGCATATTTCAGTCGAAAAGCGTACATGCCACTTGCTGTATATTTCAGTCGAAAAGCGTACAGGCCACTTACTGTATATTTTAGTCGAAAAGCGTACAGGCCACTTGCTGTATATTTTAATCAAAAAGCGTACATGCCACTTGCTGTATATTTTAGTCAAAAGCGTACAGGCCTCTTGCTGTTTATTTTAGTAGAAAAGCGTACAGGCCACTTACTGTATATTTTAATCAAAAAGCGTACATGCCACTTGCTGTATATTTTAGTCAAAAGCGTACAGGCCACTTGCTGTATATTTTAGTCGAAAAGCGTACAGGCCACTTGCTGTATATTTTAGTCCAAAAGCGTACAGGCCACTTGGTGTATATTTTAGTCGAAAAGCGTACAGGCCACTTGCTGTATATTTTAGTCGAAAAGCGTACAGGCCACTGACTGTATATTTTATCGTATGACGAACTAAGGTTATGACGAACTAAAAGTAGTAGACCCTTTGAGTTCGCTATAGCCCGTCCCTGTTTACTGTACCTTTTATACTTCTGCTTCTACTTTCATTACTGACCCGTGAAGAGGAATAACGTTGAGGGGAGAATAATATACGATAAAAAAATTAATATTTGTAATTTGTTTGTTTTGATATGATTTAAAGGGGCACTGATCTAGAGCAATTCCCGGGACTGGTTGTTGCTTTTGTTATTCATTTTCCCGAGTCTATCCGGATGATATCCCAGAATTCTTGACTGGGTTGCGATCACTGCTGCGCCACCCGTAAGCGCATTGTAGTACAAGGGCGCATCCTTACATTGACTGAAGGTTGTAATAAAGTTTCGTCTTGGAATTAATTGGTATGTAGTCATCTTTTGTACCCATTAATATTTCCATCTTCATTATCATGTTAACAAATGAAACCATTTTAAAGTTTAACTTCATCTGCCAGTGGTAAAAATGTTACGTAGGATTGTAAGAAAACGAAGTCAATGTAGATCTACGGTTTTATATTTTTGTCTTATAATTCTAGCATAATTAATTTATCATTATATTTTAACCACTTTGGAACTTCGTAAAATGACTGTAAGATCTGTTTTTTTAATGAATTTATAAAATGACTGTAATATCAAGACATTTTATGGATTGAATCACAGAGTAAATCATATTTCATACACACGCGCCATAAGTGCGATCTGGTGCATCGAAGAACTTCACGGCGAAATAAAATGAATTGGTATGATTTTGAGAAGGAACGATGTGCCGCCCATTTGCAGTTGACAAAGAAACCTGTTCCAAGTCACGTGTCTGATATGGACTAATTATATAACTTTATAACTAGTGGTAGTTTCCCAACTGACCACGTAACTTTGTTTCAGGGGTTTCACGGTGGTGTTTAGTCTCATTGGTCCACCAAGATAGCACACCTGACAACTACATTTGTATTTTCATGATGTCTGCCATTCTTTTAAAAATAATTAGTTAGACAACAAGGAGCAAACAATCAACGTATTGGCGGTAATCCTTTGAAGGAAGGACGTTATTTTACACAGGCACTGTGCGACAGGGTGAATTCAGTATACGTTAGTAAATCTACATACATAAACACTACCTTTTGACAAATCCGCTGTGCAAAATTTTAAGTAATTAATCAATCAACCTGTTATCCGTTAATCCTTTGATTGGTGTTTTTCTTTTTGACTCAGCTGATAATTCCTCTTGCTGTATGCTACTGCGCATAGTACATACCTTGTCGTACATTTGCTACATCGGACCTTAATTAATAATGTTTAGTATTTACTCCTGACACGAGCAATGCCAAATGGGAACCTTTGTCGGGTGATCTGAGTTATACCTGTTATAAATTCATTAACTGACCATGAACTAAATGATGACAATAAACATGGGTTACAACAAGGGACCGGAGTAGTAATCGCTGTATTACATGCAACTTTTATTCCCTAAAAAACTGTGGGATCGAGGCTGTTTTTGTATTAAGAAATACACATAAGCATTAACTGCATATACCTATTTACCTATAAAAAAAATCGATTTTCTAGCAATGTCCATGTGACGTCTATTACTGATTTAAAAAATCAAATGTTTGTTTTTAATATCCCAGCTAGATATCACGTTGTTACATGACATGATTAAACATCGACGTAAATACCACAAAATAAAATCAAACTATATCAGTCATCATGCCATCCACGCATCAGAAAATCCGAAAAAGATTAAACTGCTGGGATACTTTATTACAATCAGACAAGAACTACAAGGGATATTTTCAAATAACGGCATCTGATGGGCACCCACCGTTCTTATTGTCTCAATGTTTAAGAAATTCTGCCCAGTCCCCCGTGTCCGTCACGGTCGACCAGACGGCAGCTTGATGTCGTGATTAGATCGTTGGCGCGAAACAGGAATCGCTCTGGATAAGTGCCCCTTTAATGATTTAAGACGGAAGTTTTCTATGAGGATTGGTAGAGATACAGAAATACTTAGAACTACGTTCGGGAGATTTGACAGCACATAATGCACTTGAAAACCTCAACTCCCTTCAGAGCCAAGAGTGACAATAATCAATAATATACTGAAATTCTATGTTGATTTCCCACAGCTTTCATAAAAGCATTGGAGCTCGTTAAGCTTGCAGTTTGCAAAAAGACTAGAAGAGAATAAATAATTTTGGAATAATTCATTGAATGAGTGGTGCTCAACGTCAGCTGGGCAATATTATTCGCCGCTCATGATTACGGGGACAAATTACTCCGAAGACCCGTGAAGCTTCGAATCACAATTGGTCTTCGGCAACCCACGCTTGTCGTAAAGAGCGGTTAATGGGATTGTGTGATCAGGCTTGCTGAATACGTCGACACATGTATCCCAATTACGTAGAACGATGCTTATGATGTTGGTCACTGGATTTTCTGGTCCGGATTCTATTATTTAGAATAGCCGCAATATAGCTGGAATATTTCTGGGTGAGGCATAAAAGAAGGACAAACAAACAAAACTGAGAATGTTCAAAGGGACATGTTCTAGTCTCTGCTCTGTGATTCTTACCGCCATTTCAACTATCCTTGACCAGACATGGGCATTGTTTTCCATCAACGCTCCCCCTCCAAGAACAAGATTCTTGCCATATATTGTATACTGCGGCAGTCGACCATTTACGACCACAACAACAATAAAACACAACAATAGCTGCATTATCGTTGCCGGCCACGTAGACTGAAGTCAATGACACTGACCAGGTGTATGTACACAGAATGTGGTATCTGGGGCGACGGCCGTTCCTGGGATGGGCAAAGACTTGGTAGACAGTGTTAACATCGCCAAGGTCAGAGAATAATCAGTTTTATCAGTAACTGCTATCTGTAGAACAAATTTCTTTGGGCAGAAAAGGCAAAACAGAGACAGAAATCAAATGAATGGATCAGTGAAACTCATAAAGATACCAGGTGTTCGCAAGGAGTGTAAGCAGTCATGCAACGCAACTCTGTCAGTCAGCTGGCCTAGCTTGTCCACTAGAACTCAGTGCATGAGCAAGAAGAGAGCATGGGATTTCCTCGTTTGACGAGCAATGTGTCATTTCTAATTAAACTTAGAATGTCTAGAACAATATTCCTGGAATGGCTTAGCTAGGCTTTGATGGTGAAACTTTGACTGAAATGCTTATCTGAAAGCAACATGTCTTACCATAAAATCTGAATAAACGATACGTTCTCAGAAGCATACGCTCCATGGGATCTTTTGTACTGTATAAAGTTGATACATACATACATACATACATACATACATACATACATACATACATACATACATACATACATACATACATACATACATACATACATACATACATACATACATACATACATACATACATACATACATACATACATACATACATACATACATACATACATACATACATACATACATACATACATACATACATACATACATACATACATACATCATACAACACTGTTATTCATTCTGTAGCAAGCTCGTTGTTGTAAGACCTGTTTGGACACACACAAACACACAGATACATACACACGAATGCCCGCACGCGCGCACGTACGCACACACATACGTGCACACTCACACAACCAACCAAACAAAGCAATGATGAAGTTGGGGTTGCAATTTACTGGATGGATCCACCCTGAGCTCTTGTCAGTGTTGTCAGTGGCAACGATCGCGAGACACACTCCATACGTCCAAGTAGCCAAGTGAATCTTTCACACAAACCACGCTGATTGACCACGTTGGTTGATCACGTTGAACACTGACGATGCCTACCGACATGACCAGCTTGGCTTAGCTGTTTGTTGTACCTCTTCTGTGTCCTTGTAAGTATACTGAAAGCCATTAAAAATGCAATTTGACATTCATACTTTCTTTACTCACACTAATTTCAACATATATAAACCTAACTGGCAGATATGTTTTAAGTGAACATCTGTCAATAATTTCATCTGAAAATGTCCAGTCAACAACAACATCAGTGACGCAACAACGACATCACACAAAGGAGGGGTCACTTGCAGTCAATATCGTGTGTGTCCACCGTGCGCTGCAAGACATGCTCGCAGTCTTTGGGGCATTGAAAGACACACATTTCTCAGGAACAGCTGTTGGATGGTCTGCAGCCTCTGATGGTCTGTGGTCTGATCATGACACCACCCCCTCCAAAACGATCATGTTCAAGGACACAGTTTGGCGCAAGTCTTTCTCCTTTACGTCGATAAATCTGTTGACGTCCATCTGCAAAGGATAAGTTAAACCTGGATTCATCTGAAAAAATGACATCTGGCCATGTCCTGTTGCCAAGATTGGCCCCATTTGCTGCCCATCGCTGTCTGGCAAGTCTGTGGCGATGCAATAAGGTTGGACCACGGTACGGGTGACGACACCGGATGTTGAAGACAGCAAGGCGTCCTTGCACCTTTTGGGCGCTGAAATGACGTTGACTTGTCCCAATTGTCCTCCTTGCCTAATCATCAGCTGTTTGGAACCGATTTCGCAAGTGTGAAATTCGGATATTGCGGTTTTGTCGAGCTGTTATCACAGGTGGTGCACCAGGTTGCGGACGATCACCAACACTTCCGGTAGCCCGAAAACGTTGTCTGAGTCGACTTACAGTGGATGGATGCACATTAAAGTGCCTGGCAATCATCACATCTGAAGCACCTTGGCTGACCATACCGATAACCTGATTCCTTTCGTCTTGTGTCAAGTGTGGCATTTTCTCAAAGTGATTGAGTTCCACAATTCCTTGTGCTTTTACAGGCCCTGGGTGCAGGTAATGCATGTGCACAACATGTTTCATGAATGTGGTTGTGTTTACGAGAAATGTCAAAGGTTCAGTTTTAAGTATCAAAGTTCATGTGAGAGGAATGCTCAGGGACTCGAACTCGAAATGGGCCAGAATAACAGCCTTTTATCCCTACATCCTCTGTATCGCAGGAAAAATCTTCAATAGAACTTTTGTAAGTTTCAGGACAACAAATACCAATTGCGTTTTGTATATGGCTTACAGTATATATTCCTTAAAGACTTCTTATGATTAGAGGAACAGTAATGCGGCTATATCGCATCCAAGTTTAAGACTGACTGACTGAGTGAGTTTGTTGTTACGCCGCTTTTCGCAATATTCCAGCAACATCACGGCGGGGGACACCAGAAATGGGCTTCACACATTGTACCCTTGTGGGGATTCGAACCTGGGTCTTCGGCGTGACGAGCCAACGCTTTAACCACTAGGCTACCCCACCGCCCCCCAAGTTTAAGAAGCAATGACAGGGAAAATATGTCGTTTTCCAGCATAAATACGAGGATTCCCGGTAGTTGTGAAGTATTTCAGATGAATTTCATTCATCAGAAACTTCCATGTTATGGTTATGATTAGGAAAATCTGCAGGATCAAGAATATGGTCTCATTCTGGATCATTGTTTATCACCTGACCCTAATTCATAGCTCTCCATTGGCTAATTTCAAATTAACATAATTCCCATGCACCAATCTGAGCACCCCTGTGACAGCACCTTAAACAGTATAGCACAGCACTCAGGCACCAAGGCAACAAGGGTCATGGGCAGATAAAACATTAACAGGTCAGTTAAATACTTTAACACTAAATTGTGCTTAAGTTTATTTGTTCTTTCATAACTTCATTACATTAGTTGCATTCTAAATGTTGGTTTGTTTGGGGTTTTCCATTCAAGTCTTCTATTTTCCAATTCCATGTTACAAATGCAGGATCACATCATATTTGATGAACATCTGAAAGACATATCATGGACAAATGAATTTCATCTTTGACACATCACTGCGGAGTTATTGCAGATGTCCTGTACATACAGCATAAAGTACAATGGTAAGGTAGGAACAACATGTGGGTAAGTATTTGATCAGTATACAAGTTGCTGTAATCTGTTACAAACAGTAAATAATATTGTTGTGATGGACACAAAAAATAAGCTGATCATGTATACGAAAGTTGCTTTCCTGCAAGATTGGAAGGTTGGATTTAAACTTCTGCAAAGATAGTATGTAAAGATGACCAAAATCTTTGAGTTCTGGTAATTCTGAAAATATGTTAATTTTGTTGCTACAAATAATTAAGTATATCTCTCTCTTAACATGTTTAAAACATGGTTTAATCTAATTTTTACTGCATTTGTTAATGTCTTGCTTGGCAATAATAGTGATCACATTTAAATCCGAAAATATTTTTTCATTGTACAAACTATTCTCACATCTGCTACTGTAACCATTCTGACAAGTACTTCCTTAATACTTTTGTGTATTCCCATTCACATAATAGATGGACGGACAACTGTTTCATGTTTAGGTTCACAAAATGTACAATATGGAGAGTCAACATAACCTATTTTGTGTAAACTTTTATTTGTAAAGAGAATGTTATGTACAATTTTTAACTGAAACACTTTTAGATTGACACTTTGGGTTCATCTTTTTGTCATCAAGTATATACTTTCCTTTTCAGAGTCAACATATTCTTTATTAAACTCTTTTTCCCATTTAAGGTGTTCAGGAGGTTTGTTTACATCCAATAAAGTTTGATGCTAATGTTTACTGCCTGTTTTGTTTTCCAAGCTTTAAACAATTAAAGGGTAGAAAATAACATTCCAGTGCCTGTGAATTGTGTTTTACATGGTTTTCAATATACAATGTAATTATAAGCTGATGCTCGTAAACCTGGAATCTTAAATAGTCCACTGTCATATCAAACTTTGTAATTTAACAAAATGGCACAGAGTCTTACTCTGTTGGCCATGTTATTTATTACATTATAAAAGCTATATTAATAAAACAGAAGCGACAAAACCCTTTCCACATTGAGGTTCAAGAGAGGCATGTAGAAGTAGGTATTTAAGTATAAGACAAAATATTATGGATGTCAACTTCTTCTTTATTGTATACACAACGTTTCTGGGCTATTCCTTGCCCCTCGTCAGGTCACCTGACGAAGGGGCAAGGAATAGCCCAGAAACGTCACCTGACGTTACGTGACAACAATAAAGAAGTTGACATCCATAATATTTTGTCTTATACCTTTCCACATTCATAAGAATTCCTCTGCCAAAACGCACAGCCGATTGTACGATTGTGACTATATCATGAGCAGATATTTGTTTCAGATTATTACAGCTGTATGCCATTGTTTGTAAACAAATCGGATCTGAACCAGACAATCCATTGATTGTCACCATGCGATACGACAATAGAGCATGTGTTTATGAATCACTATGAAATAGTGATGATACCATGCGTTCGCAAGAAGGTGAGCGTATCCTACCCCACCGGTGGCACCCGTCATATATGCTAGTCTAGTCATCTGTTCACCTGAAATAATTCGGGATCGTATGGTAAAGTCAAAATAGGAATTGCATCAGACATAATTTTTGTCACTGATGCATCAAATTTCCTCTACATGTCAACCATAAAACTTTTGAAAGCTTTACTGAAGCATTGAATGTTGTAACCTTGATCAAAGCAAATTGATTGTTCACCAATCCGTTTCGGTGTTCGAAAAAAAAAGTACTAAATTTGCCTAGGAAAAAGGTCCATTCAACAATGTAAATTGACAAAAATACATTTGCAGGACTTTTTGAAAAACTTTATTCACATAGGCACTTTCACATACAACAATATAAATTGATATAAAATTGCATCTGCACTGATATATTTGCAGGACTTTTTAATTTTTAATACTTTATTCACAAGGCACTTTCACAGTTTTATGTAGTCTTATATTGATGGCCACACCATGGAGAAACTCTGGGATTGATTTCCTCCTGAAACAATGTCAGTGCACAGTCTCTGCAGACGTTTCTGCATCTTGATGAAGACAGTTTTTGTGTTTTTCACAGATATATTGCCGATGGTGTCCTGAGCAAATACAGTCCTGACTGTATGCTCCTTCTGGAACCATTCGATGGTTCGCCACACAGATGGGTGATGGTGATCAATCAAGTTAAAGAACTTGGTGCTCCATCCCTCACATACATTGTTGGTTCTGATCACCTGCTAGAGTCACATTTTATTTGGGGTCTTCTCGTTTATCCACCACCTATTGTTCTAGGTGGACAAGTCACTGAAGCGGAATAATCCTCAAGACAATAGATGTCCCTGAAATTTTGTTCCCTGTGAAATAAGATCCCCCTTGAATGTAGTAGTAAAAAGTAAGTCTTTCTACATTTTTTATATGGCCAGCCAAGAATTGCTGTTTGATGTTACATAATCTGTTTGTTAAATTGACATATTTAACTTTCTTTGCGAGGAGGTTTGGCACCTCCTCTTAATTGCATACATGATGCCTCTACGTAAGATTGTTCTTTTTCAAGAATTCAATAATCTGTCAAAGATGGGCACTTCTGCAATGATGTCAGGATTCATCACTCTCAGACCTAGAACAGAGAAACACAATGTTAAATTCAAAGAAAACTGTTGTAGTATTTTAGTATTTAATAGTAATTAAAAAAGTTGCCAAGTATTTATGTTAATATTTACCTGATAACTCCTCCTGATAAAGAGATGGAATTGGTTTGGAATCTTTTCGACAAGGTCCTTAAGATTGGCCAAGAAAGAATCTACAGCGATTCTATTCTCCACAGATGCATGGTTATGCTGGTCTCTGTAGGACGTGAGAATATTATCTTTGGTGTTAACCGTGGCATGGCAGTTCTTCTGGGCGCAGTTCCAATGGACAGATGTTCCTCGTCTTTTTAACTACAAACTTGCAATTTTGGAACACTAAGTACTGACCACCTCTTACCATTAGGAATAAACTGACATTAACCTGTTGGTTAGCCATCGTGACTGACCTTAAAGAACCTCATGTACCATTTTATAATCGTGTAATAGTGAAAAGTGTTCACTGAATTAAAAAACACAAAATAGCATAATCGACACAATTTAATTAAAGTTCACGAACACTGTTCACTGTAACAGGGCAAATCAGCTAATTAGTGTCACCCACCAGGACCAAATTTCAGAGTGAGCAGTGTAATCACTAACCCGTGTCAACTAATCCCATCTAATCCCTTGTCAAAACTAAAGGGTGGTGGATAAGTGAGAATGAACCTTTTATTTGACAAACAGAACTCAAACAGCACTCCACAAGCCAGTTTGTTAAAACAATCTTGTTTTGAACACTAATTATTCTTTGATTCAAGCAGCTAAAATCACATTCTGACAAACAGAACTCAAGCTAAATCCTGGATTAGATCTGCCCGGGTTAAAATATCATTGTTCTTGGTTAACTCAGTATTTAATCCATGTCTTTTATACACAATCACTTTATGTTTTCTCTACAATAACTTTGATGTCAACATCCATTTAATCTGTTTTTACAATAATATGACTTTTTTTCCGGAGGACTTTTTCCGGTACTACTTTTTACCGAGGACTTTTTTCCCGGTACATTTTTCCCTATAATCTCCGTTTCTTCTGGAAATAAAATCTCTTTAGACCACCACCACCACTAGTATTTTAATTAGTTGCGCTCCCCAGGTAAATTATTGATTACTCAATAACCTTCGTGAAAACTACATTATGCATATTTTTAATTGACTAAATTTCATTCGAATTAATAGTCTGAAATACGAAAACGTCAATCTGTACTTTCCATACCTAATATTACAATTGTACAGGATTCATCATATTAATTTTCTTGAGGTTCTACCGAGAAACATCGGGCCCAGTTGCACAAAGCGATGATAACGTTTCGATTATCATAACTCTGGCATATTGGCAGTCGAAGGGATAAGATTAAGGGATAACAAACATTATTATATTTCTAACAGCATGAACCACAGGCAAACTGTAACGCAAATAGTGCTGCGCAACAGAGAAGAATTACCAGTCTTCTTATATGCGAGCGGGGAGACTGGTCATTTTTCTCCCTGTTGCGCAACCCTATTTTGGGTGAGTTGGCATGTGCATGAACACATCCAAAACTTGGGGTATAGAAGCTAAACGGCACCACAGCAGAACGGCACCAAATTTGTGTGGCGAAAACGGCTACTGATTTCTGGGCTAAACGGCACCATATATTAAACAAAGTATGACGTTGACTCATGTTTTATTTCATTTCATTATAACATTAGCAAGATTATATCAACATATGAGTCATTCTCAAAATCCGTGCATATTTATGTCAGATGTTTGTATCCGACAAACTTAAGTCAAAAATCAAAACCAAAAAATTATGGTAACTAACTTATCACAATATTTTTCTACACTTTACAAAAATGATTGAATAATAAATATGTTCGGTATATAGTGTTGGATATGCCTAGCAACGAAATGAGCAGCCACAGAAAATCAAACATATAAAACTTGCCTTACATTGAATATATACGTAGATTTGATAATTACTGTAAGCGTTTACTTTTAGAAATGAACTGTTGTACTGAGTTCGGAATATCACTAATAGTTGAGTTATTCAATGCGCCGTTACCGTATAAAAGTAGTTTTCATATCGTATCCTTGAATATAAAAAATACATCCTTGTTCTTAAATTTTGATAGTTCCGACAAAATAGTAGATGTATTTATTATCTGCAATCCGATTATCTTATAACAAACTAGTTTTCCCCATAAGATTTTAGTTGGTGCCGTTTTCGCCATAAGATTTGTAGCCGTTTTCGCCAAGTCGAGGTTCCGTTATGTCAAAGACGTATTGTATATACGTCTTTGGTTATGTCCAAATGGTGCCGTTTTCGCCAGGTGCCGTTTTGCTGTGGTTCCGTTTTAGCCTGCACCCCAAAACTTGACAGCGATTCGTAGAGACATGAGAGAACGGAATCAATGGAGTGTGATTTGGGGGTACAGTTCTACCTTTAGAATACAGCACCACAAACTTTAAAAATACGTCATAATACCCCTTTACGTAATGTAATGTGATTTTGTTCGAAAGCATCGTTCTCGAAACAATGCCCTATGATGCCTGCATGGCAACACGGTTGTCTGGCTCAGCGAGTGCGTATAAGCTCCGCTCACTGGTGTTTCATCTCTACGAGCTATGTCATTGCATAAGCCCAACGATGTTGAGAGTTTCCAGTAGTTGTATACCGGCGGATGCGCAATATTTTGCAAGCACCAGTTTGAAATATTTTTCTTTTTCACTAATACGCTCATATTTATTTGTATTACGGGCCGCTGAGGTGTTATGTTTTGTGTATTTTGTATTTTTAATTTTTTAATTTACATATATATATTTGTCATTCAGTAATTTGCACCATTACATAGAAAAGTGTTTTATTAGTATTTTATTTTTCGAAGCGGTAATAATGCATTACACTAGACACGTCAGTCGTGTTTGCGCCGGTTCGGTCAATGCATCTCTATTTATTAGGATTAATTCAAGGGATTGGGGTTAGGGCTAGGGCTAGGGCTAGGGCTAGGGCTAGGGCTAGGGCTAGGGCTAGGACTAGGGCTAGGGCTAGGGCTAGGGCTAGGACTAGGGTTAGGGTTAGGTTTAGGGGTTAGGGTTAGGGTTGGGGTTGGGGACCTAATGCAATATATAGTAGGTACATGTCCGGTGGTTCGGTCAATGCATTCTATTTATTAGGATTATTTCAAGGGTTAGGGTTAGGGGTTAGCTGAGGGTTTAGGGGTTTAGGGTTTAGGTAAGGGGTTAGGGTTAGGGTTAGGGTTAGGGACCTAATCCAATATAGCAGGTACATGACCGGTGTAATACGCGAGTACCATTTGTTGTTTTTCCTTTTGCATTTTAATACTTTTTTCACACAAAACGGGAAACCAAAAACGTCGAAAGTACATTATGAAATGGGTTAATGTAGAAATTTGGGGCTAATGGAAATTTGTCTGGAATTTGCACTCAAGCCTCTTTCACACGCAACATAAATTTTGTAAAGTAATGATTCGAAGGCTAACTCACCCGAGTGCCGTCACTACACATGCTCATGTCTCCCTCGTTCCTTAGTGCGATGGAAATTGTTTCGGATTTCGTGTCTTATTACAACAGGGCATCAAACAATTACATGGCTGTTTCTCTCAACTTTTTCTACACTTCATGACAAGGTGTGAAATTGTCTGTAAGGACCAAAAATAACCTTCATGCCATATAAAACGAATATTTTGCTTTCGATTTTATGTATATTTTGCAGCAAATGAACTTATTAACTGGTTTCACATATTGTTAGGTTGGGTTCAAGGTGTACAGAGCGCGCACCTCAACAGTCTCTCACAAGCATGATAAGTGATGGGCGCTTTTAAACCCTGAGCTGATTAATTGCAGTATCTAAAAATATCAACAAACAACAAAAGTGAATAATTCATTCCATATGTATATTTATTTAAAATCTATAAATAAAACAATAACATAAGATAGGTATGATATTATGGTGTGCACATCAACATTATACCTGGTATATAAAGTTAAATATTGGCGTAAAGCATTAACAAAAATGTAAAAATGTGAGAAAAGATCAATAAATTTCAACATCACCCTTGGGTCGCTGAGATGCACTAAGACCCCATTTCTGCCCACCCTGCTTTTACTAAAACAGCTTCCTGGTCCTGATCCTTGAGTCTGGGCCCAGCAGATCAAATGGTTGCTTGCTAGTAACCTTGCTTGAAGTTTGTCATCCTCATAGAAAAAAACTCTCTGCAAATATAGTGTGCATGACATCCTCTGCCCTTCAAGGACATCTTTTGGAACTAAACCCAAAGTAGTCGATGTTTCATCTTGGAGACATGTTCTGTTACATGAAAACTGCAAGAAGATTCCAGCTAGTAGGGCGGATAACAGACCAAAATAGGCCGAATCGTTCACTTTGTGATACAAGCACCAAAATTGGCATGATCGCTCACCATGGGCTCCCTGTTCAGAAAATAACGTTGGCCAATCAAAAATTCAAGATGGCCACCATTTTTCAAGATGGACGCCACTGGATATACAAAAATATAATCTTTTTCTTTTAACTATCATTTTTGGCAGATATTTTTCTTCCAGATGTCTAATTCTACTTTAATTTAGCTTGCAGAACCATGTTTTAATGGAAAAAAGACAAATAATAAATTATATGGGTGGTTTTATCTGAATATGGTAAGATCAATTTACGATTTTGTCATTTTTTTCATATCTAAAAGCTAAAATTGCCCCATTGCATGGAAACACAACAGTGCTCAGACTAGCGTTATGCGCTGCAGTCTTATCGGTAGTACTTTACGAGTTCATGTGTGATCAACTTGATATAGATTTCAAAGCAGTCAAGTTTTACACCAACAGCAAGGTTGTACTTGGATACATCCGCAACGAAATGAATCATTTCTGCACTTATGTGTCCAATCCCGTTGAGAAAATTAGACGATTATCGTCTCCAGAACAGTGGGGTCAAATCCTGCTGACGCAGCGACAAGAAGCAAAGTTAACGTCGAAGTCAAGGCTAACACTTGGTTGACTGGACCAGATTGAGTGATTGACTCAAGCTGTGATCAATCAGACTTCCCATTAATTGATCCCAGTTCTGACCAGGAGGTGAGACCAGTTATAGTGAAGAAGACAAGTTGTCAACACACACACAAACACAAAGATTCTAAAACAAAAATCTGTGGATGGAATCATCATTTGAGCAAACAAACAAATTGACATTAACTTGAACAAGTGGGTGTTGTTACACACAAAATTCAACAAGAGCAAAACCAAAGTGGAGGCCATGATAGGAACCCTGGCAAGATCAGGTCCTCAAGACCCACTGAGTGAGTGGGTGGAAGAGTGGGTTTGGGTGGGTGAGTGAGTGAGTGGGTGGTGGGCTTAGGTGTGTGTGGGGGAGTGAGTGAGTGAGTGAGGTTTTATGAAACTTTGTGGGGAATCGAACCCAGGTCTTCATGGTGATGAGTAAATGCTTTAACCACCAGGCTACTCTACCACCCCATATAAGAAGAAAAAATGTGGATTGGATGGTCAGAAAGTGTGACTATGGCATGGATAATATTACTCATGCTTTCTGTCACTATTTTTTGTAATCCAGACAGTGAAATCCTGAAATATTCCTACCTGCAGTACTAAACAAATTGCATTCACGGACTCTCTCCAACCATGTGTCATCTATATACTATGCTTGAAGTTTTTTCAAGATCTCATCAGAGGTCGTAATGATAACAAGCCCTTGCTTGGCTCGCGGTGTGGCAAGGTTGACGATGAACTTGTTGATATCTGCATGCTCCTCATTGATGTGTGGGTCCAGACCAATGACAACAGGTTTGTCTAACCCACTGAATCTACGAACAGTGTCAACTGTCACCCCACCCATACTCCCTCTCCCAAGCTCCTCCTTGCCACAGTCCTTATCACCCCCAACCCCACTCTTGACCCTCTCCAAATTATCCTCTACACCCTTCTCCCTCCCCACTTCTCGAACCATGTCATCAAGTTTGTCCTTGAAATGGCCTTTCACCTTCTCAGCATCCATCTTTTTCCCCAGTAGAATGGCCATGTCCTCTAATTTGACTCCGTCCTCTGCACATGTCCTCATGACCTTCATCAGAGTGTCCTCAACTGAGGACTTTTCACACTTAATGATACTCACCCCAGGACCAGAGGTATCACTGTGCCCAAGTTGGGGAGAATCTTTCATGTAAATGTCGTCTTCACTTGGCTCATTCAGCCTCATGAACTTTGAAGCATATTCATATATTTCTTTCGAGTTTCTGGAAATCTCACTTAACATGTAATTATTTTTCCCAATGAGCCCAGGTAAACCTGCTTTAAACTTGTGAACTTTTTGAGCATAATCCATGAACACCCAAAAATAACCCTAATGTGGTCCAGTTCGTCATGGAAATTGTTCCTAGCCAAACTTTGAGCCAATGAATACCAGTCCCCATCTCGGTCCTTGAAGTTCTGTGCCTCGTCCACCACAACATTGCATACAGAAAAGAACCGGTCTTTGAATTCTCCTGGGTCTCGAGCAATGTCCATCATCTCTCGCCTCGTCACAACATCACACAGGTTAAAGGACCTGAAGCACCCACAGTAATGGAAATAAATACATTTAAACTCTTTTAACAAATCTGTGAGATAACAATGAATTCAATACTATTTGTTTCACGGACGTAAAAACCTAGTCTGTCATACAGGCCCTAAGACTAATACATCCAAGAAAGCCCATGCAAGTCTAGAATATGTGGCAAGTCTAGATTTCCAGTTTCATTCTGAAAAATGTCTCATGGCTCTTTATTATTATTATTTAATTTTTTCTTATCAAGAATTGGGTTTTTTCTGTAAAATATGTTCAAATCTGAGACTAGTTGTTAGTCTAGTAAAACCCATGCAGACTGTTATCTATGTTTTATTTTATTAATGTCGTATGTCTGAACTCTACAAACACAAAACATGTTGAAGGGAAGTGTTTTAAAAATTTACAGCAGCAATAATAACTTCACAGACTTCATATTCAAATACAAACACAAAAGATTAATTACCGACTTAAAACAGTACGATTGGAATACATTAAATTTGAATTTTTCTGAACCAGGAATAAACCATATAAATTCAACCCCTCTCTCCCCCATAGTCATTGTCTCTGCAATGTCTGTAGAATCACAATGTGTTTCCTAGGACTGTGTATTGGCAAATAAATCGTATTGCAATATATTGTGATTCAGGTACCTGTATTACGATACGTATTGCTGTATATTGGGAGCTTAAGCGTTTAACAGTAAGTGCCACTAATTGTATATGTCGATCCTATTTTCTACATTCTAAGTCCCTAAACAAATATGCTATGGTTCTCAGAGCTCCAGATAAGATTTAGCTCATGTGGGTACTGTACCCACTGTATTTTTTTGGAGTGTGTATTATGAATGTTGAGTGGGTATTTCATTTTCCGTTACCCACTGCTTTCAAATATGTGCGTATTTCAGTCATTTTACTCACCTAAGTATTACGTCATTGAGTAAGTTTACTAAGCAGGTATGTTCTGCCTTATGTCATACCTAATCAAAACCAACTTAAATATAATGGAAATGATTTCATAAAAAATCACTCATCCTATACTGACAGTACAACACCTGTCCTATACTAACAGTACAACTTGATAGCAATCGATGTCTTTGTCATTACGCGAGCGATTTTTATAAATATATTCCGTGCGCATTCGTTTAAAACTTTTTGCGTATCTAACATTTTAAATGCGTAATTAGTCCACAACAATTATTTTTCAATGCGTAATTGGAAATTTTCTATGCGTATTTTACCCGGATACGCAGCTTATCTGGGCCTCTGGTTCTGATATCAGCAAACTCAAAATTAGGTTGCATAGTCAGAGATTTTATTATCTTTATTATACAATTCATTGTATTACAGTATTCCATTTCGTCATAATCATGAAGGAAAACATTCATTGTGAATGAAAGTCTGTGTGGATTTCAATTTAAACCACAAAGATAATTGCAGAAGCTTCAAATATGCTCTTTACCTAATATACCGTTCTCCAAAAAAGTATTGCAATACATATCGTTTGAAAAGCGTATTGCGATATACCGATATACTGGTAATACCATGCAGTCCTATTGTTTCCTCTTTTTGTCCGGAGAGAGTTCCTTACATACCAACCACCTATTTTTGTGATGAGCAAGCACTGTAGTTTAGTCTATAGTTTATAGTTAAAAATTAGGTTGGGGTACGTAAGGAACTCTTACCTTTTGTCCATATGTTGAAATAGAGTGAGTGAGTGAGTTCAGTTTTACGCCGCTTTTAACAATATTCCAGCTATATCACGGCGGGGGACACCAGAAATGGGCTTCTCACATTGTACTCATGTGGGGAATCGAACCTGGGTCTTCGGCGTGACGAGCGAACGCTTTAACCACTAGGCTACCCCACCGCCCCGTTGAAATAGAGGGTTTACATAGCAGGGCTCAAACTCAGGAAATGAAACTCCCTTGGACCTGGTGCAACCTTAGGTTATTACCTTCCTGCACCTCACAAAACAGGTTGCACATGCCGCTCAGTATACAGTTATATACAATGCTTGAGTTTAGGTACTGATGATTTAGTATATAATTATAAGTTAATCTGGGTTTGATGTTATCATCTCATCTTACTTCATAAAATTTTATGACATGAACAGTAAGTGTCAGAGGCCCAGATAAGCTGCGAATCCGGGTAAAATACGCATAGAAAATTTCAATTTACGCGTTGAAAAATAATTGTTGCATACCAATTACGCATTTAAAATGTTAGATGTGCAAAAAGTTTAAAACAAATGCATACGGAATATATTTATAAAAATTTCTTGCATAATGAAAAAGACATCGATTGCTATCAAGTTGTACTGTTAGTATAGGATGAGTGATTTTTTATGAAATCATTTCCATTATATTTAAGTTAGTTTTGATTAGGTATGACATAAGGCAGAACATACCTGTTTAGTAAACTTACTCAATGACATAATACTTAGGTGATTAAAATGACTGAAATAAGCACATATTTGAAAGCAGTGGGTAACGGAAAATGAAATACCCACTCAACATTCATAATACCCACTCTCAAAAAATACAGTGGGTACAGTACCCACATGAGCTAAATCTTATCTGGAGCTCTGAGTGTCATTCAATCACTGCCTGTATAGTCGCTGCTACAAGTCAGTTACTCATCATTCTGTTTCCCAGCTGAAGTCTGTGTTCTTTGAACAACAGGATAATAACAGGGTGCAAGTTGGTATAAACACTAAGATAGATATTGCAGTTTCAAGTTGGACCAGTGCATGTTCTAAATGCTTAAATCCAGCCCTCATAGTCTACCTCATTGTAATTAAACATGCATGACTTAAGTGTATCACTTCTGTCTACAGTTATGAAATACACAATGCCATTTTAGAAAGTGGTCAAATGTAACATATGTTATATTTGGGATTACACTTTCTCAGTAAAGTACAGATCCTAGTATTTTTGGGGGGGACTCAACCCACAAAAAGTACTAGAATCTGTACCTTACTGAGAAAGTGTAATCCCAAATATAACATATGTAACATCTGTCTACAGTTGACATACAGAGATAATTTCAACAGTTTGCTCACAAAAATGTTGTGCTTCCATCTTACATTTTTAAAGTATTTTGAATGAAACATGACAATAAATCCATCACGTCCTAAAATAACAAAACATACATGGGATCTCTTATTGCATACAGATGTGGGATATTCAAATGTATATTTGCATACTTACGAAACATATGAGCACAACAGTTCATTCTCCGCAATATAGAGAATGTTCGCGTATCCACGACGACGAAGTTCTCTGATCATCTGCAGAGCCACAACCGTCTTCCCTGCTCCTGGAGGACCGTGTACCCACAATTCCCTGGTGAACTGGTGCAGACACAGCAGCTCAAACTGATCGCACGTCAACAGGAAGTAGTAATCCTCCTGGCCAGTCTCAGCTTCATGAGGCTTGTAGGCTGCCATGGCAACAATCAAAGATGTCAAGATCGGGTCCATCTTCACTGCATGGAAGGTAGATGGATACAAGGACTTTTGTAAGTCCGTCTGAATATCTTGGAGGAAGACTGGATTGTCGATGTCGACAACATGAACACAGATGCCAAATCTCTCAGAACATCCGCCTTTATGAACTAAATCATTCTTCAAAGACTCGGCAACAACCTGGCAGCGGTTGAAGTAACGAGACCTATCTCGGGGCAGATCTTCAGCCACACAGAACAACTGAGGGCCACAGGATTGACTGAGTACAAGAATGTCTGCAACAAAGTCAGAGCTATATTCCATATCATTTCCAATACCGAATGTGTGTAAGGCCAGAGCCAGATGAGGTTCAGCTGAAAATGTTGCCAGGATGTCTTTAATGGCAGCCTTGACTCTTGATCCGACTGTTTTCTCAAAATGCTTGGGATAAAGATTGGATCCTGTCCTCACTGAAACAGTAATTATCCAAACTGATGGCCTTATATAAATGCACCCTTAATTATCCAACCTACTACATCCTTTGAAAGTCACGCTTGTGTGGTAGCCTGAGATAACTAAATTGAGAACCAGTGATGGCAGTCGTCATCGACTGGTACATCTTGAATTTTGCTTAAAAAATATATGCATTAAACATTTCTGTCTTCTTCAAACAGAACTACCGTAGCCTCAAACTTCAAGAACTATTGAAATGTCTCCACCGGGTTTCCATGATTAATTTTGACATTTTCTACTACTTAATTTTCTTTTTAACTATAGGCTAAGAGCTTAAATCAGCCAGAAGACTTAGGAGATTATCTTATTGAATACACCCTCGATAATCTCCAGGGTATACGTCCCGATAAATCTTCACTATACCCTGATGTATTTATTACCTCCCTTGGCTGGCTTATTATCCAATCAGGTGTCTACGCTGGGAAGCTGAGCGTACCAATCACAACTCACTTTCGCTTTTTAAATTATCTAACCAATTAAACTTGGCAACACAACTGATGAAGAGGTACTCTGAAGGAGGTAGCAGAAGTTCTTGCATATATATTTTTTTAAAGTTTCAGACCTGTCTATTTGTCTGTATGATTTCCCCCAATATCTGAGTCGCACTGCGAACAAACTTTCGCGGCTGCGGACGCTATCTTAGTTGACACTGGCAAGCTTGGTTGGAACAGCGACTTAGCTGATTGGCTACTGTGAGAATGCGGAGAGCCAGCAAAGGGAGGTAATAAAATTATCGGGCCGAGCCATAGATGCATCCAGGGTACTTGTGGAGATTTATCGGAACATATACACAATTGGGATGCAGTGACATGAATAACCAAGTATGACCATTTGATCCTCTTAGGGATCATTCATAATTTTTGGCTTGGGGGTGTTGATGATGATATTTATGGAGAAGCATGTACAATGTGAGCACCCCCTCCCCTAAAATAAATTATGTACAAAATTAATTACCCCCCTGCATATCATGTACAAAACAAATGACCCCCTCCCTTTCCCATGATTTTTAAGCATAATTATTTAACATTTCTATGTACAAAATTGCTGAACCCCACACACACCCCACACACACCCACACACCCTGTACACGTGTACAACTGACCCCCTCCCCCCAGAACAAAATGGGTGACCCCCTCAAAATCACCATCACCCCCTCCAGCCATAAATTACGAACGGTCCCTTATGACTAGCATGGGCTGCTGAAGACTTCCGGCAAGTTGCTACAGAGAAAACCTACAGCTCAACACCTTCTCCTTGACTCCAGGTATGGTGTGAGGGAGCCCAAACACCAGCCGTGATCTGGGGGTGTGGAGGGCAGCTTCATGAACCGACTGTGCAGCTCCGGCTTGTCTGTACAGAGACAAAATCCTTTAGTCTTTTTATCCACTGGACATATCTACAGAATCAAACACATTGGACCGCATACATCACTTTATCACATAAAGCTGGTATCAGACAAGTTATATACAGACTCACAAGCAAACTGTTACCTTCTTTCATTTTGTTGATGTGTGACTGATGTTTGACAGCCAAGGTTTACAAAAATACAATGTTTATTCCTAAAAGAAGTTCTTTGCCATCACAAAACACAGTCATGTGAAAATCTCTATGTATGACGGGATTAAATATGTGTGGGGGAAAATAGCTAAAAAAGAAGTATTCATAAAATCAAAATGAGTGCGTGCCTTTAGTTTTACCAATTTGCGCAGCACTCAGCAATATTCCTGCTATATGGCAGCAGTCTGTAAATAATCGAGTCTGGATCAGACAATCCAGTGACCAACATCATAAGCATCGCTCTACGTAATTGGGATACATGTGTCGACCTATTCAGCAAGCCTGATCACCCGATCCCGTTAGTCGCTTCTTTCAGTTACTGAAGATCAATTCTAACCCGGATCTTCACGGGTATATCAAAATGAACAGACATTCAAGGGAATATGTGAATTTTAGGCATTTAATAATATCAGAGTACAAAGAAATTAATGGGCATAAGTATTCACTAGAATGGCCATATTCAAGTCCTACATGCACCCCAACTCATTCAAGAACTGTCTCTTAATGCACACACAGTATATGAGTGTCAGTGTAGTGCTATCACTAATTTAACATACATTCAGTGATAATGAACAGAAATCATCACAATCAAGTAAATACTAAGGGAGATAATTACCCCTGACTTGATTCAGTACAGCAAGTTTCCACTGGCTGTAAGTGAAAGCCTTGACTTGGCCGGACTGATCCAGGTAGTAGCTCTCTGGGCAGGAAGTAAACACCCCACCTCGAAACTTGCACACAGATATCACCACCACTACACGACGCTCCTGGAATTACATCATTTCAAATATCTACTATTAAAGTTTATTTGGATATTTATTTCTTCCACCCAGGAATATTCCTGATACTAGTGTATGACAGCATTCTGGACCAGACAATCAAGTGATCAGTATTATGAAGCAATGATCCATGCCATCAAGTTACAAGGACATGCTATCAACAAGGTGACCAAACCTGACCCCACGATCCATCTGGCCAACTCTTACAACCAGCACAGGTTGCTGAGTTTTTCTTGCATCATTTGACAATTTAACATAAGTAAGTCACTAAGGTAACGTTAGTGCAATGTTAAAGAATGGGAGTTAAGGTTAACCTTAGTAAAGGTTGCTTTGTGAGTGAGTGAGTGAGTTTATTTTCACACCACACTCAGCAATATTCCAGCCATATGGCAGCGGTCTGTAAATAATCGAGTCTAGACCAGACAATCCAGTGATCAACAGCATGAGCGTCGATCTGCACAATTGGGATACGATGACATGTGTCAACCAAGTCAGTGAGCCTGACCACCCAATCCTGTTGGTCGCCTCTTACAACAAGCATGGGTTACTGAAGATCAATATTCTAAGCCGGACCTTCACGGGTATTTGCTTTGTGAATTAGCCCCAGTATGATATGATTCCTGGGTGAACTACCCTCACTCACCCTGGCACTACAGCCATCTATGTTGTGGAATGTAATATCCCAGTGTCGGCCGCGTTCTGCCACAAACCCCTCTTCCCCCCAGATCACACTTGTCATCTTCCTGTTTATCTTCTCCACTGAAACAACATTAAAATATCCCTGAATTGCCTAAATTGATCATAAAGATCTGACATAGTGCCATAAGGATGAGGTGTTATTCGTTCTTTTAATTTGACATTCGTAAACTTTTCATACCACCTTGTCAAACTATGAAATATACTACCCAAGTGCTCCATGTACCATTCATTATATATACATAGAGAACAGTTTCATTTGCAAGCTGAATTCAGTGACTTTAACAGGGCACCAGACAAGGGCCGTATCGGCGTATGAACGGATAGAAAATACGCACGATACAGTAGGAAATAATTTAGAAAACGTAGCAGATACACACCACAGCAATGGTGTATGGTCTTAAAATCATTTACAGACGTATTTATCTGAAAAAAGTATTGTTTTATTGTTTTTTTACCTGTTTACACAAGAGTAGCAATGTTGTGGTGCATATATGAAACAAAACACAAGATCACATACTCCATTAAATTCCATTCAGTACTCTAAATGTACTCTTAAGTTTTTCCAGTACTCCTATATTTAAAAAATAAGGAGTACGTAATCCTGATGTTGACAAATTATCTGGAGCCCTGCTTTAAACATGAAGCTATCCTGAGTCCTGATTTAATGGTTTCATTCAATGTAGGGGCAGGCCTTCTCTTTTATCAGTAATTGAGCTAGGAAACATGTCAATATTTTGTCTAACACTGATGTTGGTAACTGATAGTGATTCCAAGGCAATTAACAGGCTTATGAAGCAAGTATTTTGCATTTATACATTCATTAACCCAACAAAATATTACCCAGCCCACAACGGTCTGTTATGAATACACAATGCTTTTTAGAAAGTCATCAAAAATAAAACATGTTCTATTTGGGATTACACTTTCTAAAGAAAGTATTCAGGAGAGCTTTCTGAGAATGAGTCCGATCAAGGATTTGAATCCACACTCTAAGGCCCCCAAAAATATGTCCATTTCCGGTAACCCGACAGACCCTATCCTTACAAACCCACCCACCCCCACCTCCGAACTAAATCTTTTTTAACCAAGTCAAAATCATGACTGGAGTGCATTTCAACTCATCATTTTCATCCAAATTAAGTATGATATTTTCATGTTTTTCAGTGTACGTAGGGTTAAAACGGATTGCACTGAATTGGCATAATGGGCTCTCACTGACAAAACCTGCAAATAGATAACATAAATAATGATTTGATATAGAAATCTTTCAATGTTTCATCAGAAGGCATTGTCACTACATGATATGGTACTCTTGAAGACCTTCTCAGGTGCCCACCTGGTGCTACTAAAAAAAAAAAGGTAAAAAAAAGAAACATAAAACCGACCAACCTACCCTATTTTTAAAAAGCGTATCATAGGAAACAGACATTATTTTTTTTTTGGGGGGCCCTAAGAGAGGCACCAAATCAGCCAGCACACAGTCCACAGACACCAAGGCTTTCACAAAAATGAAAATACAATATTTTTTCTTGTGTACCACAGACTGTTGTTACTTGTTGCATTATTGAGCTGAAATGATGTCAGAGATTTGTAATGTTTGAGATCAGTTTCAACCAACTGCACCACCTGTTACATTATTCAACAAACATCACCTGTCTTTGCTTGTTCTTCCTCTGTCAGTGCTTCTCCTAATACTGTGGCAGATGTATCTTCAATCCCAAAATAGATATGACCCCCTTGATGGTTGCCAAATGCAGATATATACTTGGTACAGTAATACCGAATCTTATCCGGCATGGACTTCGCATTCGAGTCTCTCCCCGACGTCAGCATCTTGAACTGGATCTGCTTCCCTTCTTGCTTCAATGTGTCCTCGGTCTTTTTCCACTGAAATGAGCTTGGGATTGGAGGAAGAGTTGCCAAATATCCTACCTCTCCAGTATTAGAAAGAATCTTGACTGCTGATTGATATGAAACCTCGTGTGTGGCAGTGTCAGTAGGAAGTCGGCAGTGGTAATTTATTGTACACAGGTGTTCAGCTGTCTTCACAAAGAGGTACAGATCCTTGTCATCATAGTTACCGATGAGATCAAAGTAGTTGCATATATCATCACCAGAAAGGATGTCAGCGATGTTGCTCTCGATCCCACTCCACCAAGTGTCAAGGTCTTTCGGTTGGATCCGTCGATCATGGTCCAAGTTCTTCATGTGGAGTAGGCCTCCAGCTGAGTTGAGAAGTGCACAGGCACACTGCATTACGATCTGGTTCCCATGCTCGTGGATGCGTCGTGATATGTGAACAGAACAGTGAAGAACCGTCTCGCCATATCTGTCCAACATGGCAGTGCTGGGAAAGAAAGAGAGAACTTTGATTTTGTTTCATTTAAGATTTACAAACTACTATAGTGAACAATCATCAGTCTCTGAGTGTTGTGAAATGTGGAATGAACAGTGCAGAACCGTCTTGCCATATCATCCAACATGGCAGTGCAAAGAAAGAAAGGGAGAACTTTGATTTTGTTTCATTTAAGATAGTATCAGCAGGATTTACAATTTACAGTAGTAAAAATTCATCGGTCTCTGAGTGTCGTGATATGTGGACAGAAAGTTCTGAACCGTCTAGCCATATCTGTCCAACATGGCAGTGTTAGGGGAAAATGTGACAGAACTTTGATTTCGCTTTATTCAAGATAGTATCACCAGGATATATAAATTACTGAAGTAAACAATCATAAGTCTCTGAACGTAATGTCATGTGGAATGAACCGTCTCCCATATCTGTCCAACATGGCAGTACTCCGAAAGAAAGAGACAGAACTGTGATTTTGTTTCATTTGAGACAGTATCTAATGATTTACAAATTTAATGTAATAAAAAATCATCCAGTGTAGAAAAATCTACACATGAAGAGTAACTTACACATCTCGTGATGTAAGAATGTTGTTCATCTTCAAAGTTAAAGCGCTGTTTGCCCATACCACTCTCAGTAATGGTGTACATGTATCTGGAATATATGTTAGAAGAATCTTCAGCTTTGTGTGAGTGCCTCAGTAAGTAACTCACTAATCAGCTGCGCCATGGTAACATACTATTGTATACTCTTATGTTACAATTTGTAATATGTAATCTGATGGTTGGATAGGGGGTCGACTATCGCTTGTAAATTCATAAAGTTCAACTTCAACGTTCATCAAGCAGAGTATCGAGGGTGTAAAATGTGTAAGATACACATAAAACTAACTGTCACTTGCAGAATACAGATAAATATTGCAATATACTAGGAGGAAAACACCATGTTCTCGTAAATTACCATTTCCTGCAATAGATCATGGTTCGAAAACTCCTGACAATGTTTAGCAACAAATTAAGAGTATAACACGCGAGTCCCGTCAGGCAGTATGGAGTCTTAACAACTCTTTACAGCAATGCATGAACACATATCCTGTTCAGAGTTCTTACTCGCCCATTTACTCGTAACCACCATCCTGGTTCCCGGGCCTCTCATTGGTTTGTATACAAACCAATGAGAGGCCGGGGAACCAGGATGTCGTAACCACTTTCAACCGGGTGCACAGACATGTGCAGAGAGACCTTTGGCCTCGGTCTTGTACACCGGATACAGTGTCTTTTTAAGACGCCATATGGTCTCTAATTAACCTATTGAATGTCACCAATAATTGTAATATACAATGCATAATGCATTACTGATCCCACAAAATCTAGTTTAAGATTCCAGTGAAAAATATATATTTTTCAAGATATCAATACGAGTAATGATATCAAAATGTGCATTCGTGATATCAATGATTTTCAAAACGCATTCATTGTGATCCTAAAATAGAATTTGTTATCTCAATAATTTAATTCTTGGTACATTCCACGGTTTATACCCGGACTGTCGACAACAACAAATAATCCATCCAAATTACTTGTCGACAGTCCGGGGAAAGGGAGATGATATTCTACGTGAGTGACTTCACGCCCAGTGTTCTTGAAATTAACAAACCAATTAAAAACAGAGTCGATATATATCGAAGACATTATACATGTATATTTATTTAGTCAATATAACAACATGTATGTATCATATGTCACACAATATAACATATTTGTATATATATTTCATAATCTCACACAATATATTTGTGTGTGTGTTATAGAAATAAGTGATTTCTGCTGGTGTATAAGCAATAAATATATAAAAGATGAGTCCAGATATTTCTTCTTGCCAAAACTCCTTTATATCTGCACTAAAGTAATCTGTAATGTTCAGCCAGGTTGAAGCAACTCTGACACATGGTCTGTGTAGTTCAAGTCAGTAAGTCTGTCGGCAAGAAGGTCGGTCTTCAAGGATCGAATCCCAGCATCCATGATTCGGTAGCGACGTCTACGGACGGGATCTCTCTGCTGTCCTTGGATCTGCTGAATTTTAACTTCAGTAGATGACTGTTCTTTTTGTAGCATTCGCACAACCTCAAACACATTTGGATGTGTCTTTATGGCATACTTGTTGATTTTGTTGTGCCAACCTTCCAAATTATTGTTAGTTCTGTGTCCATCATTTTCAAAATGATTCCAAGTTGGCAGAGTCCATAGACCTTCTATCCAGGTGGTAGTGACGTAATCCAAATGTAATTTTTTTCAACAGCATTTCGATAATCCTTCTACTCCCAATATCGCTAAATAATTTGTACGCTCTCTGTTTCTTTCCTGTATTTTTTTGCATGTTAAAATCCAAAATGGTAATCCTTCCACTCGCACAACCTAAAATAATAGTCTGTTTTCAACCTTAACTCTATTACAAATTGTTGAAAAGACATTCTCTATAATTAACTTAATTCATTTACTCATGAATCGAGCATACCCACCATAGCCACTTGCAAATCAAACATTCTCTTTCATTAATTAATACCGTCACGGTGTGTTGGCCACGCGATGTCGACACTCCGGGTTTTTTTGTTCTGTCGACGGTTAGCAACATCCTATCTTTCATTTTTCGACAGATCGGGCTGACACCCATTCCACATTCAACAAGTCAACAATATCCTCTGACGCGTCGATGGGTATCTTCAAATTTACTTTTGTGTGAGTTAATAATATTCCTTTAACACATCTTACCATTTGATAAGTTAAAGTTGACTTTCTGCCAATATGACCTTTGTAACCTGCACATTCAGCGGAACAGGTATTGTAATATTTGCTTATGTTGGGTTTTTTTTTCAATAAAATGCATCATTGTTTTCAATTATCACTAACAAATTCGTTTATAAAATAGAAATCATATATTATATATTACCGATTAAATGGAATTTGTGATATCAAGATATCATATCATTTATCATTTGCGATATTACATATTTTATTCTATGCAATTAATAAATACCTTTGTGATATCACGAAATACATATTTATACCATAACATTTGTATTTCGTGATATTGATTAACAGTCATTCGATATCAATAAACATTTTTTTATCACAAAATCGTATATCCGTTTCCGCCAATGTAGTTTGTGATGTCAAAAAATGAATAATTGATATACACTAAACGCAAAAAGAAATGTTACCCTGATACCTTTATAAATTACTGAAAACTATCAAAGATATGTTAGAAGGTATTAGTTTACAAGAAAGCTTAAAGGTCACATGCAACCAAAAAATCAAACATAATTAAAACACAATTATCACTTATTCATGACATATAATATACATTGCTGGTTATGAAAAAACATATAAACAAATTTATAAGCGTACAATCGCAAATCAAAAGTGCAATATTGTGTACTTCGGTTTACTTCCCATGAAACGAAGCAGCCGGGATACCGAACCCAGTCAGAGCGGGTGGGTGTGCATTCAAGTGTAACGGCTGGTTCATTTGCAGATGCCCTCACGGCTTATTGTGTGTGTATATGTAGAGATGTTGGGTTTTGTAAATACATGCTCATTTTTTTGTGTATAACATTTTGCAATCAACAGATATCATAACATGTCATGTGTTCAACTATCAAACCTGCCTGTCTGTGTAATTACATAATGTGACAGAGACCGAACTCCGGCCATAAATCAATGCATTTTGTTTATGGTGTATAGCCTGATTGGTGTTAAGTTCAAATTGCATGTGGTCAGTGATAGCAGATGTGTATTGAATATTGTCATTAGCAGACAGGCAGGCAGACACACAGATGTCAATAAAACAAGACATTGAGTTTTGTCTGTAACAACGACATATCTATATCGAATCCAGGACAAAATCCACCCGGACAAAATCCACCCCAAAATTGCAACCTAGGACAAAATCCACCCTGACAAAATCCACCCCTATTAAAATCCACCCTAAGAAAAAACAGAAATGATTTTTTTTTCATATCAGTCATTCATAATCGATAACAAAAACAACCAAAACTACAACCAAAGAACATTTTTGCATATATAAATATGACAGTTGCACATTTTCACATTTATGACTCATTCGTGCATCAATACATATATAAATATGACAACAGCATATATTTTCACACATTCAGCCATTCCATCCTCGACGTCTTTATGTACGAATAACCCTGATATAGCAATTACGAACCACCATTGTTGTTCCGTGTAAAAAGGGCTACAATCAGGCTTGCAAAAACATCTTAATTTTTTAAGGGGATTACGTAATGATCAAAGTGTGAGACTACTTAATGTTACATGAAAGAGGATTAAGTAGTGATCAAAATGTGACAAATGGAGAAACCTTTAATGTTTGAAACAACATCTAGGAACAACAGCCAATTAGGAAAACGTAAATGCTATCAAAACAATGCTTGACAGATGCTCACAGTTAGAAATTCTGTCAACGCTAAATAATGACGTTGCTTTTAAGTATCGAACTGAGAAAGTGACTCGGTAAGAAGAACGTGTGGTGAAATTATATAAACAGTTAATTTATTGTCATAACATATAAAAAGCTCGCGCCTGTGAGATATCAACAAAGCATTAGAAAAATAGCTCACACCAAAGCCTTCACCGAGTATTCACCGGACAACCCGCTTCCAAGTTGCGCGAACCTATTTCACTGCGCACGTGCTATGAGCGCAGCCCAGCTGTTGAAACCCGTTTTCCCCAGAAAAGTCTGGGGGAAATTAGTGAAACGTTTGAACTCCGATTTCGCGCGTTTTTTTTCATCCCTTTATAAGTTGAATTTGCATTTTTGACGATTTGTTTCGGTAAGTCCATACCGAAAGGTATCAGAATCTGCAAAGTTGTGTTTTACGTTGCATGTGACCTTTGGACAAAAAAAAAATCAATGTTATTGTTTTATTTCGGCATGGACGATTATAGGACAATTTAACTCTTCTGAAAAAGATGCATTTCACCTAAATTTGAATGGATTTGAGAATGTATTTTCGTCATTTGCATAAATATAGGCCATAAATGCATAGTTTTGTCAACTTTGATATTATGTTCTTCATATAAAAGTATATACATAGTTATGAGTTTACTGATGGAACATTTATCAGAAATATTACTACTTAATAACTTTTATATGAAGAACATAATATCAAAGTTGACAAAAACTATGCATTAAGGGCATATATTTAATCATGTTAAATAAATTTGACCAAATTAGAATGACAGACCAAATTTGCTGGGCCATTTTGTAGCTGGGGCAGTTCCACTGGTACCCACGAGATAGATATCAAAATCAGTAAGAGATTTCACATGAGCTTGAAAATGTTTCGCTATGACGTTCTATTCGATTTGGAGCCCTAAATGCTGCAGACTACCCGAAACATTGCCGAATACAACGGCAAATCATGAAGTACTTGTTGCTTTCATTGTTTTCCATTTTGTCCAATTACGCACGTCGGCATCAGACTCGCTATTTGTCAGTAGTGTGTGCCGTGAAAGTTGTTCTGTGTTCACAAGCTGACAAGATGCCATTCTAAGGCTATGGCCGAGTTCTATTTCCATAACCAAACACTGGGGAAACACACATTGTCCTGACAAGTATTATATGATTCACCAGTTTTCGGGGAATAACTTATCTGCGTCGCGAATATTATCTCTGCTCGGCTAGGCTGGGATTTTGTGTGGAGACTTGCTACGTTATTAATGAGAACTAGGATCCTATTTCTTTTTCAACAAAATAACTCCAGTGTAATTTTTGAAGCAGATAATTTCTATTTTCCCCCGTCTGAAGCATAATTATTGTGTTTATAAATCCCAGACACCCTACAGTCGCCCATTTGACACAAAAGGAACTGCAATCACATTGCAAAAAAATATAATTCTTAGGGACTGGTCATATACTTATAAGGGGTGGGTTTGCAGGTTGGAACTGTATCACATTTTGCTGTCAAATAGTATTCTTGTTAAATGATATGGTATATTTTAAAATTTATTTTGAACTCAAGCGGTGCCTCCGTTTCGCTTGATGCTTCTTCTTCATCTTCACTGGAATATTGTCTTGCAAGATGTAAAATCGGATCGTATTGATACGGTCTAATATCCATTTCAGAAATGACATCAGGAACACCTTTTACTGCTTCAGAATCCACGGACACTGTTAAGTTGTGAGGTAAAATCAAAGAGGCAGCCATCAGCAACAGGCACTAGGTTGTCATGTCACGTGATACCCCTCTGCTCATTAACTGTCGGGTGTTTCCGTAAAAGGCGGAAATACGAGTACGTTTTTTTGTGTTTTTATTGCTATTTTACAAATTTTTTGTTCAGTTTTAATCACGGAAGGTGACTTTTAGAATATCCTTTACAATATATCCAAAGTTTTGTTTTCGTTCGGATTCTCCTTTAAAGGTCACATGCAACGTAAAACACAACTTTGCAGATTCTGATACCTTTCACATTTGTCTATTTCACCACACGTTCTTCTTACCGAGTCACTTTCTCAGTTCGATACTTAAAAGCAATGTCATTATTTAGCGTTGACAGAATTTCTAACTGTGATATAGATATGTCGTTGTCACAGACAAAACTCAATGTCTTGTTTTATTGACACCTGTGTGTCTGCCTGCCTGTCTGCTAATGACAATATTCAATACACAGCTGCTATCACTGACCACATGCAATTTGAACTTAACGCCAATCAGGCTATACACCATAAACAAAATGCATTGATTTATGGCCCGAGTTCGGTCTCTGTCACATTATGTAATTACACAGACAGGTAGGTGTGATACTTGAACACATGACATGTTATGATGCCTGTTGATTGCAAAATGTTATAAACAAAAAATGAGCATGTATTTACAAAACCCAACATCTCTACATATACACACACAATAGCCGTGAGGGCATCTGCAAATGAACCAGCCGTTACACTTGAGTGCACACCCACCCGCTCTGACTGGGTTCGGTATCCCGGCTGCTTCGTTTCTTGGGAAGTAAACCGAAGTACACAATATTGCACTTTTGATTTGCGATTGTACGCTTATAATTTTGTTTATATGTTTTTTCATAACCAACAATGTATATTATATGTCATGAATAAGTGATAATTGTGTCTTAATTATGTTTGATTTTTTGGTTGCATGTGACCTTTAACATTTTTGCTTTCAAAGTAACATTTTTCCATTTTCTGTTTACACATAGCAATATCAATCGCCAAAACACAGCAATATTCAAGCAGTATTTACATCCATTTCACATGTAGAATGATTCTATAGGGTATGAAGAGAGCCTAGAATACGTGATATGATACACAAGTACGATCCATATGCCACGATTAACAGCTGAAGAGAGTGAAAGAGCCATTGGGATGGTGCAGATGGGGTCGACATACAATGCTGTTGCCAACGCCGCCGGATGCGACCGTATCACGGTTATAAGACTTATTCAGGGCTTCAGACAGACTGGGTCACCGTAAACAGACCAAGAAGTGGACGTCCACGCATCACAAGGCCAGCTGAAGATAGGTATCCCCGTCATTAAGGACTGACTGACTGAGTTTGGTTTTACGCCGCTTTTAGCAATATTCCAGCAACATCACGGCGGGGGGACACCACAAATGGGCTTCACACATTGTACCCATGTGGGGATTAGAACCCGGGTCTTCGGCGTGACGAGCCAACGCTTTAACCACTAGGCTACCCCACCGCCCCCGTCATTAAGGGAGGAGGGTAACGTTTCTTTTGGCGTTTAGTGTAGATCCCTGTTTTGACTTGAACTACAATTTCTTCTTCTTCTTCTTCTCGGATATCAGAAGGTATCTTTCTCGTGGAAACGGGAATCGTTCCAAATGAGAGGAAAATTTCCCAAATCCCAAATCATACCATTCCTCACGCATTTATTTACATTTTCACGACCAAACTACTAGTATAAATACCCGTAAAAAAAAAAAAACTTTTGTCAGTTTGTATTGTCCGATGGGTGTGGCGAAATTAAATGTAATTTAATATATTATTGAATGATTACAACTCAAGACTAAAATGATCGATATAGTTGCCCTTTTAAATACATGACAAATCTGATTAGCAAGCAGGTTGTTGACCTGAACAGATAGCGGAAAGCACTTGCCAAATCTGTTCCATTTGCCAATGGCGATAAATAGTTTTACCTTTCAAGAGAGAGACCATCATAACATCGCAATAAATGGCAACAAGTGTTTACTTAGTAAAGGAAGATAACATTGAGTTTACTTATAGTTGTTGTTTTTAACTTTCTTCCATGTACCATTGAAAGATATAACATAATTTTGTAAGCCTGTGAAAAGAAGATATTTAAAAGTTAAGGCACCAAAACAAACAGCCCAAAGAACATTTAAAATAGTGAAGAGTTGAAAGGAAATTTGCAATGAACTCGACAGTCCTGCTCTGGACTTGTAAAGCATATTCCAGGGAAATGGACAGACGCACTTAAAAACATTGACCCGTTTGCTTAACCTGCGCCTTTCTCACACAAATGGCTGTAAATTTCATAAAAAAATCTTTCAGAGAAAGATCAGTTCAAATCCAAAACTGCCACTAAAGTCCAAAATGGCATTTAAAATTAGAAAACTCCGTAATATGAAGTAAGTTCTTACTTTGATTAAACAAGAAGCAACAACTGACAATAAATGCACAATGCAACTTTTAATACATTAAGCTCATTCAAAAAAATATTACAACAAACACATTTGTACATAAAATAGGCATCATTGGTGACAGTTTGCTAACTTTCTGTGCAAAGAACTTTAAACGTTAGGCATTTTCTTCACTTCCAACAAACTACAGAAATCAACATAGCAATTAAAGAAATGGTACAAATCCATCACAAAAGGAGTTACTGATTTAGATCCAGCTCAGTCACACCTCATGACACAGAGTGTTGTTGAATCAATTACAAACTGTTCCAAAACTATGCAAATAAAGATGTAATTTATATAAAATAAACAGAATCTGATCGAGTTTTAAACATCCACCACACACTACGAGACAACACGTAAAATAGAAAAGTATCACAGTTAACTACGGTTATAACGAACTCAAGGGGATCATTAACTTAAGATCGTTATAACAGTAGCTCGTTATAGGCATAACAACTAAACATCCATGAAGTGAATGGCTGAGTGAGTTTAGTTTTACGCCACACTAAGCAATTTTACAGCTATATGGCGGCGGTCTGTAAATAATCAAGTCTAGACTCGACAATCCAGTGATCAAAAGCGTGAGCATCGATCTGCACAATTGGGAACCGATGACATGTGTCAACCAAGTAAGCGAGCCTGACCACCCGATCCCGTTAGCCACCTCTTACGACAAGCATGGGTTACTGAAGATGAATTCTAACCCGGATCTTCACGGGTACATTCATGAAGTAGCCAGTAGCTGGGACAACAAACAAATCGTTATTTCCATGGGTTCGTTATAATCGTGTTCGCTGTCCCACATGTGTTTAATCATTCTTCCATCTACTAAAAGTAGTAATTGTTCCTAGTATTGTCTAACAATGTGGTTTTAGCACAAGTTAACTGTTTTTTTTTTGTTTATTATCAAACACATTTCCTGCTGCAAATGACACACTGTGTTTATCCCGGACAAAGTTTAGGGACATTGAAACTGAAAGAATGAGTTCAAAGGAAATGCATCACTTCACAAAGAGCATCACAGGGCACATGTTTTCAGATATTAACGCGAGTGTGACGCATCGGTTAAAGTTTTCGCCGAACGACAGAGTTCGAGGCAACAAGTGGGTACAACGCAACACCTCCGCGTTATCCCATAGAAACTGAACGACATGGATGATACGACATATATACGTTAAGTTACACAATTATCATTTAAGTTACATGCTTATCATGTTCATATGACTTTTACGTATCCTTGTTTATTTCTACCACTTGCACCTTTTGGTCAAAACATGTACAAGCACAAATGTATGAGTGAGTGAGTTTAGTTTGCACTCAGCAATATTCCAGCTATATGGCGGCGGTCTGTAAATAATCGAGTCTGGACCAGACAATGCAGTGATCAACAGCATGAGCATCAGTCTACGCTTTTGGGAACCGATGAAATGTGTCAACCAAGTCAGCGAGCCTGACCACCCGATCCCGTTAGTCGCCTCTTACAACAAGCATGGGTTACTGAAGATCTATTCTTACCCGGATCTTCACGGGTACACAGATGTATAGTTAATGCATGACTGATGTAAGAGAAAACTTAACTGTGAGCAACTATATGGGACCAAGATGAATATTGCATTATATATTTTTAGCTTGTACTCTTAGTCCCTGCATCTTTTATAAAGATCAACCTTTAAACAGTTATTGACTGAGAGGAGTGAGTGAGTGAGTGAGTTGGGTTTTACGCCGCTTTTGGCAATATTCCAGCAATATCACGGCGGGGGACACCAGAAATGGGCTTCACACATTGTACCCATGTGGGAAATCGAACCCGGGCCTTCGGCGTGATGAGCGAACGCATTAACCACTAGGCTACCCCATCGCCCAATATCGAGAGGAGCTGGTTAAAGTACTTAAAGCAACACAAACGGAAGAATAGCGTTTGTTCGTATTTCAAAATCCAACAGAAAACACACAAGCCTGCGGTCGACTGTGTGGATGTGTTGGGTCAAGCGACCCTTGTTTCGTCTGAATAATGACAACTGAATGTGACATACATTTCACAGATGATGTCTCTTCTGATTGAAACTGGTTACAAGTCCATGATCATTATAGTCATGTGCTAGGTATATCATAACATTGGGGACAACAGTGAAGCATGTAAAACAAGGCAATATATTTACATCACACTGAGGTTGACAATGCAGCGCGTTTACCATGATAATACATTTACATCAGAAGGATGGCAACAATGCAGCGTGTTTAACATGGTGATATATTTACATCAGAAGGATGGCAACAATGCAGCGTGTTTAACATGGTGATATATTTACATCAGAAGGATGGCAACAATGCAGCGTGTTTAACATGGTGATATATTTACATCAGAAGGATGGCAACAATGCAGCGTGTTTAACATGCTGATATATTTACATCAGAAGGATGGCAACAATGCAGCGTGTTTAACATGATAATATATTTACATCAGAAGGATGGCAACAATGCAGCGTGTATAACGTGATGATACATTTACATCAGAAGGATAGCAACAATGCAGCCTGTTTAACATGGTGATATATTTACATCAGAAGGATGGCAACAATGCAGCGTGTTTAACATGGTGATATATTTACATCAGAAGGATGGCAACAATGCAGCGTGTTTAACATGATAATATATTTACATCAGAAGGATGGCAACAATGCAGCGTGTTTAACATGATAATATATTTACATCAGAAGGATGGCAACAATGCAGCGTGTATAACGTGATGATACATTTACATCAGAAGGATGGCAACAATGCAGCGTGTTTAACATGGTGATATATTTACATCAGAAGGATGGCAACAATGCAGCCTGTTTAACATGGTGATATATATTTACATCAGAAGGATGGCAACAATGCAGCGTGTATAACGTGATGATACATTTACATCAGAAGGATGGCAACAATGCAGCGTGTTTAACATGGTGATATATTTACATCAGAAGGATGGCAACAATGCAGCCTGTTTAACATGGTGATATATTTACATCAGAAGGATGGCAACAATGCAGCGTGTATAACGTGATGATATATTTACATCAGAAGGATGGCAACAATGCAGCGTGTTTAACATGGTGATATATTTACATCAGAAGGATGGCAACAATGCAGCGTGTTTAACATGGTGATGTATTTACATCAGAAGGATGGCAACAATGCAGCGTGTTTAACATGATGATATATCTACATCAGAAGGATGAAAACAATGCAGCGTGTTTAACATGATGATATATTTACATCAGAAGGATGGCAACAATGCAGCGTGTATAACGTGATGATACATTTACATCAGAAGGATAGCAACAATGCAGCGTGTTTAACTATGATAATATATTTACACCAGAAGGATGGCAACAATGCAGCGTGTTTACATGACAATATATTTACATCAGAAGGAAGGCAACCGTGCAGCGTGTTTAACATAATAATACATTTACATCAGATTGATGACAATGCTGCTTGTTAACCCTTACTTACATTTTGTGTAGGTGAATTATGGCTTAACGCGGCTACACGGGGAACACCAAACTTTATACACATTAACAATGTTGGCAATTGCATCCAAAGTTTTGTGTGACGTCCGAACGCTTTAATCACTAGTCAGAGCAACTTACCCAATTATTTGGTGGAAATATCAGAAAGTAAATAATTAAGAACATACATATATTTGCCGGACACATTCTATGGCTCTAGGCAATTTCTCAGACGTTGTTTAAACACCTGTTGAGCTGCAGGAACATCCGGCCACTCAATATACGTGGTCGACGTCATCAACGCACGTAGAGTAGACGTCACGTGACATGCTTTAACGTGTTCGAGGAGAATCACAACGAGTTCAGTTTCCTGCTTCAGGAAAGAATTCAGCGCCATCTGTAGCTCAAACTGGCACCAGTCGCTCTTCATGTATTCATTGGAGATTACAAGGACAGTCTTCCTGCTGGAATCCAGGGCCTCAAACACGTTGTCGACGATGAGTCTACCGCTTTCAAAGTCTCTGCTGTGTTCACACAGTCGCAGTCCCACCTCGCCCTCCAAGTATCCCATCAGCTCGTCGTACACCCAGTCGCCGTCGGGGTTGCTGTAGGAGACGAAGGCGTCGTATTTCATTTCATGCGGTAGATCATCCTGTCCTCGTTGACGTCTCCGTCTCAGCAAGGACATCCAGTAGAAGAGATACCATCGATATCGATAGGCCACTGTAGCCGTGATGATGAACACCAACGCAATGGTTAAGACTACTGACAGAAGCACGGTGTATTCCTTTTTAGGGGTACAGGACTTGGCTGTTGGATTAAAATCTTCGAGCCGCAGAGGGTGTAAGTTAGGGGCCCGGCATTCATATCTACGAGGATATTGTGTGAAGTTGATACTGTGGTTGGCAATAGTCTTCTTCATCCAGTTCCTGAACCACAGTAGTTCACACGTGCAAGTGAATGGGTTGTTTGACAAATTAATCTCATGGACGCTGAGTCGGAACTCAAGGGGGAAAGTGTCCTCTTTAATCATTTTGATGTTGCAGCCATCGAAAGCGATCTTTTTTATGCTTGTGGCATTCACGAACACATCGCTTTTCCAACTTGACAAATAGTTACCATTGAGAATAAGCTTCCTGAGTTTCGTCAGCTGGGAAAAAGTCCCTGATGGTAGTTCTTTGATATAAGTGTGTTGCAGCACAAGTCGTTCCGTGTTCTTTAGATTCAGGAGAAAGTCCTTCAAATGGTAAACACTTATGTCCATCTTTGTGCTAGTCATGTCCAGTATTCCAAGGTTTGGTGTGTGTTTGAAAAGGGTCACTGGATTAAAGCGTTTCAGGGATAGAATAGGGTTATTTGCAAAGAAGAATTTGTACAAACTTGTTGAGTTGAAAGCAAAGTCTCCAATTCTTTTCAGTGACCCTAAGTTAGATATATGTAAACTGTGGAGTTTGTGTAGGCCAGCAAACACGTTGTTCGGCAGTTCCTCAATTCTGTTTTGACTAAGACTGAGTTTCTGTAGATTCTTGAGGCACGTAATGGACGATACGTCAAGGTTTCTGATTGCATTATTTCCAAGATTTAAACTTCGTAATCGCGGAGTCAGTGGTCTCATATCCGACAAACACAGTTGCGGAACAGCAACAAAATTATTCCCAGCAAGAGTCAAACGTGTCACGTTGGGAATGATTTTCTCCAGGTTAAACTGTTTCAAGTTGCTCTGCGAGATATCAAGATATTGCAAATTCAACATGTGTGAAAATGCGTTTGCATTGAAGGTCCTCAGACTTGGCAGGGCAATGGTGAGCTTGCTCAAGTTTGTCAGATGCTGGAACGCTGATGCATTGAGGGTTTGTTCAGATACAATCTTGGCTCTAAGGCAGAGAGTTTTAAGAGGGCTAGACACATACCGAAGAGCTGTAAGTACATCTGGTAGGGGCAGGTATGTCTGTTGCCAATCCAGAATTTGAAGGTCATCCAAGTCCCGGAAGGCAAAGGGATGTAACCCTGTGATGTTGTTGTCTTTCATGTGAAATTCAGTCAGATTGCAGAAGGTCAAGTTTGACATCATGGCCCTGGTGACCACGCCCAAGTTTATATTTGTCAAGGTAACATCTGTAATGTCTGGAGGAGCTCTAGGGATGTAGTTAAGAGGGTTCCCCTTGCCATCACAGAACATCCTTGGACGTTTGCCCTGACAGTACTTTGGGAGCTTCCTGTCTGCACTTGCCCAACTCACAAGGACTACCAGTAGTAGTGAAGTCTTCATTCTGTTCCACAAAAGATACAGTATCAGAAAACATTACAATGTTCAAGACCTCAGTAAAGCTTTCAAAACGTTTAATGCCAGACATGTGACGGAAATTTTAAGATTCAACGCATCGGTGAATTATGTTTTTGCGTCCTTACCGCCCTTATTCAATCGTTCAATAGTCTCGACTTTGCCCTACCTGCTGACTTTGTAACATCATGGCATTGTGTGACTATACAAAACAAGCAATATTAATTTTCACCACGACTATTGTATGGGACAACTTCTCATGACACGAAGATGCTCTCAGGTTTCTACAATCGTGTTATTGTCTTGATTGACTTGGGGAAGATATTTGAAAAACCTCTGTTCAAAACATTGCTTAAAACCACCAAGCTGAAACACAACATTCAGTAAACTGCAGATATAACGAACTCGAGGAAAACTCTTATTCTCGTTCGATATTCACATTTCGACTAAAGTATACAACACGTAGCCAATACCATTCGGTATATCCGTTAGTCTCTTAAAACCGTGTTCGTTATAATCGTAGCGTTACATGGCGTATCCTGTACAATTCTCACAAAGATTTCACTCTTGATAAAAGGGTTTTTCAAAATGTACACAGAAGTGTTTCCATCGAAAATTGACCTTCCTACTCCGAGCCAAGGGGCGGTGGGGTAGCTGGGTCGTTTATGGGTTCGGTCCTTACGCAGAAGGCCCGGGTTCGATTCTTTAAATGGGCACAATGATGCATGATTTAAAAGTGTATTATAACGTAACAAGTCGGATAGAGTGATATATTTAAAAATGATCCCATGAAAATTTACTAGCCAGTCAGGCCAGTGACTGAGGATATTTTCTGGCCCGACTGGATTTCTACGAGTCACGGGCTAGCGAGTCAGTGGCTATTTCGCACACTGATTGTACACACTGCACAAGTAATTCTACACCGCCTTAGGTAAAATTTAAAAAAATAATTTTGAAGTGATTTGGAAAATCAACTTAAACCAAAATATACTCTACCTTGGACTCGAGTCAAATGCCATGTAACGATCCCACTGTTAATGTTTCTATGGAGCCAAACCGAGTTATGTTCTCTGCGCTGTTTGTTATGCGACTAAACAACACTGTCAATTTGATCACGACGCGAGGACTTACTTCCTGTCACGTGCTGATGCATCTGAACATGCAAGGTTTTTTTTGGGTGTGACAAAAGTAATTACCGTACATCCTCAAACAGACGCCCGCGCGCAATTGAATTCCGCGCAAGTGTTCTTGGACTTGGGACAGGGGTCTTGTAGAGGCCCAGCGTCTGTTTAATGCTAGCGCACTGGCAACTCATTATCTTACCAATCCCAAATCCGACATTCGTATAAATGGTACACCGGCATTTATTACCCAATGGTAAGACATCGGCATTTATTACCCAATGGTAGGACATCGGCATTTATTACCCAATGGTAGGACACCGGCATTTATTACCCAATGGTAGGACACCGGCATTTATTACCCAATGGTAGGACACCGACATTTATTACCCAAAGGAATGCTCTTTATATTACGTTATTGTGACGGGATAATTTATTTAGAGACCACATGTCTAAGAGGGGCTGTACCAATTTTGAACAGGGCGTGCGACCGGGGATTAACTAGAACGGCGTTTACTAGAAAAGGTACGGTATATCAAATCTAAAGTAAATACATTACAAAGTTAAAACAGCTGATTTGTCGTCATTAATCCGATGCATTGTCAACCTCAGTTTATGCATTGTCAACCTCAATTTATGCATTGTCAACCTCAGTTTATGCATTGTCAACCTCGATTTATGCATTGTCAACCTCAGTCTGATAAAAAAAACAATAGTGGTAAATACGCTAGATTGTGTCCTTAACCCGATGTATCGTACATGCACTGACGGTGAAAAACACTTTTCTCCCACACAATGCTGACATCCATTAAACTGGAATACTGTCAAATGCGGCGTTAAACTGAACTCACTCACCTTAACCTCTACATTTATTCATTAAGGCGTCTGCAAATTTTCCTGTTTATAAACATCATTTTGAACTGCTGATTTATCACATACGCGACCCGCGAAGATCCCGGTTAGAACTGGTCTTCAGTAACCCATGCTTGTCGTAAGAGACGATTAACGGGATCGGGTGGTCAGGTTCGCCGACTTGGTTGACACATGTCATCGTTTCCCAGTTGCGTAGATCGATGCTCATACTGTTGATTACTGGATCGTCTAAGCCAGACTCAATTACTAACAGACTGCTGCAAGTGACGTTTCGACATAGATTCTCATATCGTTGTCAAGCAAGTTGTACATGAGAAGTAATTTGGGTTATTATTAGTGTTGGGAATTGGTTAAAATCTCATAATTGATGATTGGTTCATTACAACCGATCAATCATCGAAAATAATTGGTTAGTGTCATTTATGAAATGTGTTAATGCACACAAACATAAAGAAAAAAACATGTAGTTCTTTGGGGTTTTTTGGGCAAAATTTCACATCTTTAAAGGATGACTAGTATGGAGGAACATAAATGTCTTAGAGTCTTTAAGATAAATTCAATCATGACTTGGAACGAGCTTGTGGTGCTTATGAAATGTAACAGACAAAACCAACCTAGTGAAAAATACTGTTAATGAAAACAAGTGTTCTAGAATTGTTTGTGTTCGATTATGAGAAAACATGATCGATTGCTTGGTCGTTTAGTCACTGCGACCAATCTTCGATTATTTCAATTAATCGGACCACCACTAGTTATTATATATGTCAATCACTTGCTTGACAACGACTTTAGAATCTAGTTCGAAAAGTCGCCTATACAGAATAAAGAAGTTGTATATCCATAAAATTGTCCTCATTCTTCATCCCCTCAACTTCTAGAATGCCAATCAAAGAAGACGCTGCCATATAGCTTGAATATTGATGAGAGGGGTGTTAAGCAAAAAACAAACAAACCTAATCACAGGCACTATGATTTTGGACAATCTCTACATGTACGTTTCAAGAACGTTTTGGGCAGCAAAATGAAGAGGAGATGCAGTATACTACGTTTATAACGAACTCAAATGAACCACTGACTTAAGTTCGTTATAAACGGGGGCGGTGGGGTAGCCTAATGGTTAAAGCATCCGCTCGTCACGTTGAAGACCCGGGTTCTATTCCCCAAACACAAATGTGTGCAGGGATTAGGTAAAATTCTTATTCTGGTTGTGCTCATTGACTGGTATCATTTAAGGGGGGATTCTGATCCATCTTTAGGGGCGGTGGGGTAGCCTAGTGGTTAAAGCGTTGGCTCATCACGCCGAAGACCGGGGTTCGAATCCCCACATGGGTACAATGTGTGAAGCCGGTTTCTGGTGTCCCCCGCTGTGATATTGCTGGAATATTGCTAAAAGCGTCGTAAAACCATACTCACTCACTTGTTATAACTGAAGATCCTCATACGCATGTAGACTAAAATTTAGTGGCCGGGGTCGACAGTTCGTCATATCCGTGGGTTCGTAATAAGCGTGTTCGTCGTAACGAATATATTAGGGGAAATATTGATGGAAGTCCGGGGCCTTCATTCTCCTTTGGGGAAAAACCCAAAGCTACTTGATCTCAATTCATAACTTCCGGTCAGGAGATGTAACTTGAAGGAAGATAATTCTGCAAGATAATTGGATATGTGCAAAACCATTTCAAGTATGGTATTTCCGTGAACAGGAAGAGATGTCACATTCTTGACTTCCGGATGCCGCCGTTGAGTCATATCAATGTACAACTAAATACCTCATATTGCAAGTGGAGGTGTAGCTGGTGCAACTAATATTCTGGAATTTTCACATATAATGCAAGACTTTACATGCACATTTTCAAAGGCTAAAAATATTTTATTGATCTGTCACTCTTTCAAGAAAGACGAAAAGAAAAGACGAAAACTCCATTTAAACATTGAAACAAATTGGCGTCCGCGTTCTGGATAAACACTCCATGGCATCCAGCCAGTGCTCTGCATCTTTCGGAATACGGCCATTCAGGAATTGGAAGCCTTCGAACCGAAAACTGTTAGCAACCTCTATTGCTGCCCCACAAGAGACGGTTAGCGAAACATGGAACGAAATTATCACACGTTTGCTTCAGGCACTCTGTATGTCCATTGAATTACTACTCGTTCCCGTGGTTTTTATGGGGTGTGTGTCACAGGTGCGAGGATTAAAGATTTTTAAAAAATGTATAAAAATTTGAGATGACCCCTGACTCGAAATGCTTCACAGTACAATACATCATGACAACTCAGCAATGTTCCCGCTATATCGCGCCAGCTTAAAGTGAATGTGGAGCTGAAGTGATTCATATCCTTACGAACTCTAACAGGGAAAGCCTACAGTTGCAACTTAGCTGAAGAGCAGGACAACTTAGCTGAAGCCTACAAGGACAAACGTATCTGAAGTCAACAATTACAACTTAGCTGAAGAACACTAGGGCAACTTAGCTGAAGAGCACTAGGGTAACTTAGCTGAAGAACACTAGGGCAACTTAGCTGAAGCCTACAAGGGCAACTTAGCTGAAGAGCAGGTCAACTTAGCTGAAGCCTACAAGGACAAACGTACCTGAAGTCAACAATTACAACTTAGCTGAAGAACACTAGGGCAACTTAGCTGAAGAACACTAGGGCAACTTAGCTGAATAACAATAGGGCAACTTAGCTGAAGAACACTAGGGCAACTTAGCTGAAGCCTACAAGGGCAACTTAGCTGAAGAACACTAGGGCAACTTAGCTGAAGAACACTAGGGCAACTAAGCTGAAGAACACTAGGGCAACTTAGCTGAAGAACACTAGGGCAACTTAGCTGAAGCCTACAAGGGCAACTTAGCTGAAGAACACTAGGGCAGCTAAACAGAAGCCTACACAGGCAACTTAGCTGAAGAACACTAGGGCAACTTAAATGAACACTAGGGCAACTTAGCTGAAGCCTACAAGGGCAACCTAGCTGAAGCCTACAAGGGCAACTTGGCTGAAGAACACTAGGGCAACTTAGCTGAAGAACACTAGGGCAACTTAGCTGAAGCCTACAAGGGCAAATGTGTCTGAAGCCTACAGGACAACAGCTGAAGAGTACTAGCTAGGGCAGCTAAACGGAAGCCTACACGGGCAACTTAGCTGAAGAGTATACAAGGACAACTTAACTGATGCCTACAAGGACAACTTAAATGAAGCCTACACAGAAGAGTATACTGGGACAACTTAACTGATACTTACAAGGACAACTTAAATGAGGCCTACACAGGCATCTTAGCCGAAGCCAACATGTCATGGTGACAAAAGAAAGATTATAATTGTGATGATTCTGAAATTTGAAGACATGATCAATGGATCTACTTTTGGGAAACGGAATGACGGATAGACCACTGGGTCTTACCACAAAATCACATTTGCTTAAATTCTTCAGAAGTATGGAACTTATAAGAATGAGATGTTGGATACTTTGTTTGTCAAACTGGATTCTCAAGAAGGGTCAGTCTTCAAGAATAGACTATTTTCACTCCATAAAGAAACTTTCCATCAAGATTAGAAGTAAGTAGGGCCTACCATACCCAATAGTGCCTGCACATTTCTTGAATTCATGTGCAAGTAGTCTGTCCACATTGTGAGTAAGTGAATAACGTGTTATGCAGCTTCTAGCAATATTCCACTGATATCACATCAGAGCTGGGGACAGCAGAAATGGCTTCATACATTGTACCAATGAGGAATCAAACCCAGGTCTTCAGCATGAGGAGCGAACACTTCAACCACTAGGCTACCTCACAGTCTGGTCAACCACAAGAGATGTGGACAAATACCTTGAGGATGAAATTAAACATGCATCTGGAGAGTAGATGGAACATTGGGCATAACAGTAAGCTAATGGTATACTAAATATATCATTTTGTTATAAACAGGCAGCTTCTTGAAACTGAAAAGCAGCACCACTAAAATGGAAATTTCTGCTGTGTGAGTATATTCCAGCAATATCACGGCAGGGGACATCAGAAATAGGCTTCACACATTGTACCCATGTGGGGAATGGAACATCTGTTTTGGATGTGACAAGTTAATGCTTTAACGGCTAGGCTACATCATCATCCATCCAAAATCTAAAATTGCTACATTCAGGCTGACTGGCTGAGTATGGTTTTACACCGTTTTTAGCAATATTCCAGCAATGGGCTTCACACATTGTACCCATGTGGGGAATCCATCCCGGGCCTTCGACGTGATGAGCGAACGCTTTAACCACTGGGCTACCCCACCGCCCCGCTACATTCAGGGATGTAGCATAGTTACGCCAGGGCAAAAGAGTGTTCATATGGTCTGCACTGTGTTTCAGTCTAACATTATTCTATCCTGTATTCAACTGCAAACTCATCCAAAGAGATCTCAGTATAAACGACTGGATTTTTATTGAAAACTTGGGAGATACATGTTGTTTTTGGTTAAAGCCAAAATTTAACTGTGATAAAATATTGCTCAGAACTTATTTCGATGCCCCAAAACCACTCTGGTGGTACATTACATCTTACATGTATCACCCATTTGATTCTCTTCTTGTCACCAAGCACCTCACCCAAGGTCATATAGTGTGTAAATAGAGAGGGTTGACATGGGTTTACCCATTTCAGGAATAAAACTGGGATCTTCCACACAGAAAGCCAACATTTTGACTACAAGGCTTCCCAACTAAAAAAACAATTGAAAGATGAAGATGTTCTGCCCTTGAATTCGTATTAACTTATTGAGAAGAAACAAGATCTATTCAGTTAAATGTTTATTTCAGAGATATTTACAGATTTATGTGTCAGTGATTTCTCTTCTTGTTCTTCGTCCCCTTGGCAGCTCCCTTCCTGGCCCCCCGAACCAGCCCCTGGAACTGGCCCTGCATCTTAGCCTGCTTCCTGCAACAATACAACATACCCGTTTACTTTGGGGACAATATGAGACATCGGTTTAAGCACATCCTGTAACACACCATACCCATTTCCTATGGGGACAATATGAGACATCGGTTTAAGCACATCCTGTAACACAACATACCCGTTTCCTATGGGGACAATATGAGACATCAGGTTTAAGCACATCCTGTAACACAACATACCCGTTTACTATGGGGACAATATGAGACATCCGTTTAAGCCCATCCTGTAACACAACATGCCCGTTTACTATGGGAACAATATGAGACATCGGTTTAAGCACATCCTGTAAGACAACATGCCCGTTTACTATGGGAACAATATGAGACATCGGTTTAAGCACATCCTGTAATACAACATGCCCGTTTCCTATGGGGACAATATGAGACATTGGTTTAAACACATCCTGTAACACACCATACCCGTTTCCTAAGGGGACAATATGAGACATTGGTTTAAGCACATCCTGTAACACAACATACCAGTTACTGAGGATGGACCACATAGAGATTACTATATGAGTATCTATCAGTTCCAATTATCTTACGACTGTCAAAACCATGGGGAAGAGTTACCTTCTATTCAGCGTCTGTCTGTTAAGGGGAAAGTAGGCATAGGGGTCATGTTTGCCTGTCTTCTTCACATCACCACCAGCCTTCTGCAAAGCAAGTCCATATCTGTGTTAGTATGCACTTTCAAATAAGTCTGATAAAATATTACGCCTCAGTCATGAGGAATTCAACTGTATCAAACCATCCAGCAAAACCGGTCATGGATCGTTCTGTGTTCAGCCGCTTCACGTAGTTTAAATCCTTTCTTAGAAAGGGTGAGTGAGTTTAGTTTTACGCCACACGCAGCACTATTCCAGCTATATGGCGGCGGTCTGTAAATAATCGAGTCTGGACCAGACAATCCAGTGATCAACTGCATGAGCATCGATCTGCATTATTGGGAACCGATGACATGTGTCAACCAAGTCAGCGAGTCTGACCACCCGATTCCGTTAGTCGCCTCTTACGACAAGCATAGTCGCCTTTTGTGGCAAGCATGGGTTGCTGAAGACCTATTCTTAGAAAGATGCACATGTTGAACATGCAGTGTCACCTTATGCAATAAACATGTGAGGTGAGGTGAAATGGGGTTTGACGTCATACTTAAGAATATTTCACTCATATGTATGTGTGTCTTCTTGTACTAGCCCAGACTCAAGCTGCTTTTATAGATAGTAAAATATGTTATATTTGGGATTAAACTTTCTCAGTAAAGTACAGATTCTAGTACTTTTGGGGGGGTTGAGTCCCATCCGGGATTGGAACTCACACCCTCAGAGTCAGGCACCTAATCGCCAGCACACAAAGTCAGACGCCTAGACCGCTCAGCCACCGCGGCTTCCACAGGTGCCTGACTCTGAGGGTGTGGGTTCGAATCCCGGATGGGACCCCCCAAAAAGTCCTAGAATCTGTACTTTACTGAGAAAGTAATCCCAAATATAACATGTTACATTTGACCACTTTCTAAAATGGCATTGTGTATTTCAATGCTTTTATAGTGCTAGCTCACTGAGATACCATGCCGCAGTTAAGCATAAATACCCCTTTCAGACACATACTGACACCGAGCCGACCAGTCCTTGCTGTACCCATTAATGTCGAACGCCAGGCAGGGAACAACAAGGGCCATATTTTAACGTCTTTTGGTATGACACAGCCGGGGATTAAACACGCGACCTACGCTCTCCGGGCGGATGCTCTAACCACTACACCATGGAGGCAGTCAATAAAAATGTGTACCCAGTAGGATGTGACTATTGACCTCCGAGCATCTGACAAGGCAATTTTGGTTGTTTACTCCCCAGGGGAGCTGAGAATGATAATTGAGAGAACACTGATTCATTGACCAGGATAAGAATGTGTGCATTGTGCATTGGGCATGCACCAAATCAAAGGAGGATACAACAATATAAGTGCAAATATTATCATAACAGTTCTAGATTCTGGTTGAGGCAATCCAGTTTTCAGCATCATGAGGGGCGGTGGGGTAGCCTAGTGGTTAAAGCGTTGGCTCGTCACGCCAAAGACCCGGGTTCGATTCCCTACATGGGTAGAATGTGTGAAGCGCATTTCTGGTGTCCCCCGCCGTGGTATTGCTGGAATATTGCTACAAGAGGCGTAACCATACTCACTCACTCACTCAGCATCATGAGCAACAATAGATTCCACCGTTACCAGCAATAGCAGACACCATCACACATTGTGACTGACCAAATCTCATTAGTCAGCTGATTTATGAGAGTCCTGTTTAGAGCCTTTGATTGTGTGTTGTTTAATGCCACACTTGCAGTATTCCACCTGTATGAAGGGAACATGCGATAACCATGTCTGGACTTGACAATCCAGTGACCGTCAGTGAAAGAAATCATCCATGGAAGCCACAGGAAGCCGGGATTCTGGGAGTCATCTTTGCAAACTGATTTGCACGAACTATATCTCATTAAAGAATATAACCAACCTTTGCTTTGTATTCTTGGCCGAAGCGTTTAGGTCCTGATTCGGAGCCTGGTTTTGTGAGCGGTCGGTGTATTCCACGTCCTCCAGCTACAACAGGAGCACAGATTTTCTTGTATGACAGAATTCATAGATAATTTTGTAATTTTATAAAGAAATCTACAAATTGTTAAATATTTTAGCAGTAAATAAGTTCATGAATATTCATCAGTGTCAGAGATCTTCAAAGCAGTCAGAAATATTTACCACAGTCAGAAATATTAACTGCAGTCCGAAATATTTATCACAGCCCAAATATTTATCACAGTCAGAAATATTAACTGCAGTCCCAAATATTTATCACAGACCAAATATTTATCACAGTCAGAAATATTAACTGCAGTCCCAAATATTTATCACAGTCAGAAATATGCAACACAGTCAGAACTATTCTCCACAGAAATATTCACCAGTCCAAAATATCCAACACAGAAATAATGACATAAAAAATGTTCATCACAGTCAGAAATATTCAACACAGTCAGAAATATTCATCACAGTCAGAAATATTCATCACAGTCAGAAACCTTCACTATGCCGTATATGAGAAAATTCTGGACCAGAAAAACCCAGTGACAGAACAATTAATCACACAATTAAATTTTACTCTTGCGGCAATCATACGCCACACTGGACCACTCATATCAGAGCCTAATTTGCTACCACAGTGAAAATAATTGACATCTGCAACATGACAATCCCTTTTATAGTTAATCAGCTGATTTTATATATTTTATCATAATTAGTTTGGACAGCCCTAGCAACACACCTATGTGAAGTTGAGAAATAGTAATTCTTAATCTTCATAGCTTTAAAACCACAGGTTTCTATGACAACCCACCTTTGTATTTGGATCTTCCTGGCTCCTCATCGTCATCCGAGTCTTCCTCCAGCTTCCTCTTGGGAGCTCTCCTCCGCTGGAGACAGAGACACACATTACAATCATGACAAATTTCATAAAGAACAACTTCTTCATTTCATAGGTGCGATATCTTTATACAGATTCTTGTACTGACAACAACTTGTGCAATCAAAAATTGTACTGCAATAATTACATCTCAGTACAAGTGAAAGAGTCAATATGCAGCACTGGAATATTGAGGAATAAACCTGAGACAACTGAGTGAGTGAGTGAGTTTAGTTTTACACCGCACTCAGCAATATTCCAGCTATATGGCGGTGGTCTGTAAATAATCGAGTCTGTACCAGACAATCCAGTGATCAACAGCAATTGGGAAACAATGACATGAGTCAACCAAGTCAGCGAGCCTGACCACCCGATCACTGGACAAACTGACAAATTATTAGGGGTGGGTATTGCAGAAAACTTTCATATTGCGATATATTGCAATGCGAAAGCATATATTGCGATATGTATTGCTCGGGTAAGAGGTCATGAGAGGTAAGATAAAGGTGACTGAGATAACGACCCATACCTTGGCAATTCCTCCTTCAAAAGCAGCGAAGAGGTCATCAAGGTCATCTTCATCTTCGGAATCCATCTTCTCTCCTGAAGAAATAAACGATCATTACTAACAGGAAACCTGACTATGCCAGTATCCATTGATAGAGGTGAGTCACTCTCAAAAAGTCTTCTGATGCACAGATATTTATGAACGTATTCTCACAAGTTGTTATTCTCTAGCGGTAGTATAAATTCTTAATAAATAGCCAGTTAAGGGATACGGAATGCAATTATGCCAGCGACATGTAATTGAGGAATAATGGTACAAGAGAAGTTACTCATTACTCTGATGCATATTTGAAGAAGAAACAGTGACCATCTACATTTTCTACTTGATTCCTCACCTTTGTCATCACCCATATCTGTGACAACCAGACGGCCATCGGCAGACATCTTGAAATCAGAGTCCTTTTTGGTTTTGCTTGTTTTCTGGCTAGGCTTGGTGGCTAAAATGTATCAACAACAATCAGAAAACAAAAATTATCTATATTCCAAAGGGCTCCACATAAAGTTTGCTCAAAGCACTTACTAACTACATGTGTCAACCCACCAGTGTCAAAGAATTTAATCAACAGACTAGTGTGTATTGCAAGCACACTCTCAGCTTCCTTGGGAGTAAACAACCCAAGTTGCTCATAAGTAAATAAAGGGATCTCATACTACTGGGTATCCACTTCTGCTGGGTGAACACAGGCAAATTTTGAACACAGGCAAATTTTGAACACAGTCAACATTACAAATCTAAATGAAAGCAGCAATTGCACTGTCCAGTTACAATGAAACACTGCCAGCCAGGGTCTCATTCCAAAATCAATCTTGTCGCTATGACTATCAATACAGGACTACAGTTACGACTACCTAAGTATAATTATGAGAGTTACAATTACTTAAGTGATAAAGCTGCTTTGTAGAAAATATAACCGTCTAGCATGTCTATGGTCATTACCCAACCTTATCGAGAGGCTCTTGGGATCAGTGAATGAGCTACACAGATCAGCACTGAGTATGCCAGACTACACCACACACCTACCCAGGACTTTCTTGGCAGCACTGGCATCAAGGAAATCCACTATCTGGTCATCCCCGCCTTCTTTCAGCCACGCCCCTTTCCCCTGTCGAGACTTCTGATTGGCTGCTTTCTTCTTCTTGTCCTGATCATCTTCCATCTCCGAGTCTGTGTCCTGGAGAAGATCCTCCACACTGGCAAAGAATGTATCATCATATTACAAAGAACTGATCTTTGACAATGACCAACACAACATAATTTTATTGACCATCTATACTGAAATGCAAAATCAGTTACCATGGTGTTGGTGAATCTCGACAAAGACTGTTTATCAAATTTTGGGATTATCTTCAAGAACACATTATTCAATGCAATAATGTTCACTACTCAAAAGAAATTAGAGAACACAATTCATTGACAACCGTTCCACACATCCAACTTGAAATACATACTTCTCCGGCTTATTCTTTGGAACATCCATGTCATCCTCTGACTCCTCCTCGTCATCAGCAGACTTCTTTCTCTTGGCTCTCTCCTGCGTCTTGCGGATGTTGTTGAGGAGCTTGTGGACCCGGACTGGGGTCATACCATGGATTGTGTCATACCTACAAGGAGTGAGTGAGTGAGTATGGTTTTACACCGCTTTTAGCAATATTCCAGCAGTATCACGGGGAGGCCAGAAAAGGGCTTCACAGATTGTACCCATGTGGGGAATTGAACCCGGGTCTGCAGCGTGACAAACGAACGCTTTAACCACTAGGCTACCCCACCGCCCATATGCCTCCATCGTCTCATACAAAGGGAAACAAGAGCAACATCTTGTCTGTCATTCATCACAGGGATATCATTGCTAAAGCAATAATTACACTCTGACACTTCTTATATCAAATACGAATACACAATTCATCTACAAGTCTTTCTTGTGCACACTATGTCAGATGTAATGAAGGTGATTTAGGGAGTGAACATATCTGCATGCTGAATCAGTGGTACTCCATTCTTGTTATGGCATTCTGGAAATAATGGACCCGGTGAACCAGCGATTGAAAGCATGAGCATGACTGGACGCGATCTACCAGGTCAGTGTGACCTCCAGCATATTAGTTGTTTCTTAATTTTGTTTGCTTGTTGTATAAAACTGTACCCAGCAAAGTACCAATTATATGAGGGCCATCTGTAAATAATTAAGTCAGGACCAAACACTCCAGTGATAGATATCATGACAATTGTCACTGAAGACCAAATAAAGGTTTCTAACAGCAAATATAGTGTACTCTGAACACAATACCCAAAGAATTCACAAAGAGCACACCAACAATGACATCTGTCTTATGTAAACACACACCCTACAATTCTTATTATGGTTGTTGAACACCATGGCCTTAAGCAAAATTCCTGACATATAACAGCTAAGGACACAGAATTAAGGCTTGCTTCTTCACATGTCATGGCTGCTGAATCATACCCCTACCCGAACTTCCTGATAAGCTTGCTGTAGATCTGTTTGACACGTGTGTGGCAGTGATGACGGCAATCCTCCTTCATCCCCACAAGACTCGACACCTGCAAAGATTAAAAATGACATATGAACAGTTTGATATTTTTTGTTTAGGCCAGACCAATTTTATTTCTTGTTTTACGGATCTGCCGGTCGTATGTTTTCAAAAATAAGAAAAAAAATTAAAAATTAATTTTCCCCGCTCAAAATATAAATTTTAATATTTCATTGGCCAAAAATGTAAATGTGCAAGTGTTTTTTGTCCCATATATACTTTATAAATTGCCAAAAGTAAAAAACTTTCAGAATTAAAGGGAATATTACTTTGACTGGTGATTTTTATTTTTATTTGTTTTCCCTCCTGCCTTTAGGTTTTCTGAGGACAAAAATCCGTAAAACAAGAAATGAAATTGGTCTGGCCTTTACACTGCACGCAGCAACTTTCCAACAGTGATAGCAGCCTGTAAATGATCTTTTTTGTGAGTGATGCCCCACGCCATATGAACATGAGGTCACACTTTCATCCTAGTCACCCAGTCAACCTTGGATGGGTCATCCAGCATAGGCTACTTGGGGTCTGTTTTAACTAAGAATTCCCAAGAGGTTGTTTTTTAAAAGCATTTCATACATACTCAGGCGTCATGGCCTGATGTGGTAGAAAAGCTGAACGTCAAGCACTTAACAGACGCTTACCACTTTAATCAAATAGTTATGGTGCTAACAATCCTAAGATATCATGGATGAAGAGGGATCTTGTTTATTGATTTTTGGTTCCTTTTACCTCTTGCCACGCGTCCTGTCACACCTTGTCAACAGTGTGCGAAATAGTTTCCAAATAGTTTAGCTATACCTGACAGTTACTAGCCCACAAAATAATTCACTAGCCTGAAATTTGGATTTAAAAACTAAACAAAAGATTTTGAGTTTAGTTTTACGCCGCTTTTAGCAATATTCCAGCAACATCACGGCGGGGGACACCTGAAATGGGCTTCACACATTGTACCCATGTGGGGATTCGAACCTGGGTCTTCAGTGTCACGAGCGGATGCTTTAACCACTAGGCTACCCCACCGCCCCGGTGGTATCAAATGACAATAATTCAGTAACAGCAACTCTCAAATGTCAGGAGGAAGTTTTCTGTGGTCAAAATCCAGAAACAATGCACTAACTACCAACCTGATATTCCATTTATCAGTCACTGAGCCCAACCACCCAATCATGCTTTTGCAACCATTAAAACATTTGAGTGAGTGAATTTAGTTTTATGCCGCACTCAGCAATATTCCAGCTGTATGGCGACGGTCTGTAAATAATCGAGTCTGGACCAGACAATCCAGTGATCAACAGCATGAGTATTGATCTGTGCAATTGGGATCTGATGACATGCGTCAACCAAGTCAGCGAACCTGACCACCCGATCCCGTTAGTCGCCTCTTACGACAAGCATGTGTTACTGAAGATCAATATTCTAACCCGGACCATCATGGTCTTAAAACATTTGAAAAATTGTGACCAATTCTACAGACAACAAGCATTGTCACTAAGGTGACATAATCCCCCGCCGATAATTATCAAATCAAACTTAAAAAGTAATGAAAGTTTAAGATGAAGGTAAATGTCAACAAAAACATGACCAGTCAACCTCTCTTGATATCTTGCTCTTTAGTTGTTCAAACACACATATATTTTCAAGACTGACTTAGACCTTGACATGAATATCATAGTGTATGAAATATGCAAAAATAGTACTTAAGAAATTGCTTATTGAAAAACATTCAAGGGAAGTCTTGAAAGTCTATGAAGAAAATCCAGTGAACTGTTCTTGAAATATCTTGCTGACAATGCAGGTTAACATGCATCTTCAAAGTGTCATCGTGACCCTGAAAATTATGTGAAGGTCACCAAAATTGACTGAGCCCTGGGCCTTCTCTTGATGAAGCATGGTGTCAAATATGAAGAAAATCCAGTGAATATTTTTTGTGATATCTTGCTGACAATCTTAACATGCAATTTAACATGCTGAAATCTTCAAAGTGTCGCTGTGACCTTGAAAATCAAGTGAAGGTCACCAAAATCGACTGGGCCCTGCGCCTTCCCTGGATGAAGCTTGGTGTCAAATATGAAGAAACTCCAGTGAATAGTTCTTGAGGTATCTCCCTGACAAGCATAACATGCAGGTTAATATGCTGAAATCTTCAAAGTGTCTGTGACCTTGAAAATTAAGTGAAGGTCACCAATATTGACTGGGCCTTGCACCTTCCCTAGATAAAGCTTGGTGTCAAATATGAAGAAAATCCAGTAAACGGTTCTTGAGATAGCTTAACATGCAGGTAAAACGTTAAAGTCCCCTTGTGACCTTGAAATGAAGGTCTAAGTCACCAAACCTGACTGGGACCTTTCTTATACTGTGATGAAGCTAGGTACCAAATATGAAAAGAATCTAGTCAATGGTTCTTAAGATATTCCAATTCGTACATACGTCTGTACGTACGGATGGAGCCTAATACTATATCCCCCGATTCGCGCTAAACGTGCGGCGGGGGATAATAAACAGCAGCATAAGGTAGAACTGACCAGTGTCTTGAGTTGTCCTGCCAGTCTGGTCTCTGTGTAGGCTGACAGCATCACCTTGATGAAACTCAGGCCACTCTTGACCACCTCCCTTGTCTTGGACGACAGCAGCAGACACACACTCTCCACCAGCATGTCCAACAAGTCACTCGACACCTTGTCTGAAACACACCAACAGTAACAAAACTCAGTACCTAGTCAACGGGAGAAACACACCAGCAGATGGGAAGCTCAACACCTCGCCATGTAGATTTACACAGTAGAAAAACAGGTTTATGTTCCTCAAATTCAGAGAGTGAGTGAGTGAGTTTTACAATGGTCAGCATTGTGTGTGGTTGAAGTGTGTGAGTGGCTGAAGTGTGTGAGTGGTTGAAGTGAGTGAGTGAGTGAGTGAGTGAGTGAGTGAGTGAGTGGTGAGTGAGTGAGTGAGTGAGTGAGTTTAGTTTTATGCCACACTCAGCAATATTCCAGCCATATGGTGACAATCTGTAAATAATCGAGTCTGGACCAGACAATCCAGTGATCAACAGCATGAGAATCAACCTACGCAATTGGGATACCAAATCAGCGAGCCTGACCACCCGATCCCATTAGTCACCTTTACGACAAGCATGGGTTACTGAAAATCAATTCTAACCCGGATCTTCACAGGTATCCTCAAATTCAGAACATACTGATGTCAATGCTTAAAGGAATGACAGCTACCTTTATAACCATACAAGAGTCTGGTGAGTGCCAGGAGAGTTCCACTGATCATCTGTGGGGAGCCAGCAAGTCCTGCTAGAACCATCTTGAAAAAGTTGCCTACTGACTCTGCAAACAGCAAGGAAACAGTGTAAAAGTATGCACTGGAAATTCACTCCACAGCATCTGAAACCAACTTCCTTCTTAGTCACAGCATAACAGCAGTTTTTGAACATTTATTCAATTACCCTTTAGCCCATATGTAAACAAATGTGCTTCTGGGAAACATTGGAAGCATCACCCCTTCAACCAATCTTCCTCAATGAAAATTCACTGGAATATTTCACTAGTAATTCAACAATTCCATGTAAACCTGTGTAGGAGGTAACGTTGCAAACATTGCTGGTGAACTTGAAATTATACTATGATTTTTTTCAATCATGAATTGAAGTAGTGTAATCTATTGCTTGATGAGTTTCAAAGCATGTACAATGATGTTCCTGAAAGTGTTCCTGAAGTGTGGACCGCCTCCGTGGTGTAGTGGTTAGAGCGTCCGCCCGGAGAGCGGAAGGTCGTGGGTTCAATCCCCGACTGCGTCATACCAAAAGACGTTAAAATATGGTACTTGTTGGTCTCTGCCTGGCGCTCGGCATTAATGGGTACAACAAGGACTGGTCGGCTCGGAGTCAGCATAATGTGTCTGATTCGGGTATTCATGCTTCACTGCGGCATAGTATCTCAGTGGGCTAGCACTATAAAACCAACTTAAGCCTGGGCTAGTATAAGCAGCCGCACATACACATACACGCATGCACGTCGTCATATGAGCGAAATATTCTCAAGCACGTCATTAACCCAATTTCACCTCACCTCACCTGAAGTGTGTCTTAAAACACAAAAGAGTATGTGACAGACCTCTTTGATAGAATCAGAACAGTTACCTGACTCTGGCTTGTCCGGGTACCATCTGACCATTGTGTCTGCCATCACCATCAGTAGGTCGTAGGCAGCCACACGGGCCCTCTCTGCGATCTCTTTGGTACACAACATGGCCTGCAACACACACACACACACACATGTAACACACAAATCATGATATACCTGTAATTCTATTTCAATTCAGTTTTTCATAGTGGTACAAAATGGCATTTATGCCTTGGGGTCATCTGCCTTTGTGAGTTTGGACTTATTTCCCTTGTTTGTCATATCATTATTGGGTGAGGTGAGGTGAAATTGGGTTTAACGTCGTGCTTGAGAATATTTCGCTCATATGACAACGTGCATGCGTGTGTATGTTTATGTGCAGCTGCTTGTACTAGCCCAGACTGAAGCTGGTTTTATAGTGCTAGCCCACTGAGAGGCCATGCCGCAGTGAAGCATGAATACCCCACTCAGACACATTATACTGACTCCGAGCCGACCAGTCCTTGTTGTACCCATTAATGCCGAGCGCCAGGCAGGGACCAACAAGTAGCATATTTTTAACGTCTTTTGGTATGACGCAGTCGGGGATCGAATCCGACCTTCCGCTCTCCAGGCGGACGCTCTAACCACTACACCACGGATGCGGTTATATCCCTATTAAGAGCCAGCAGGCACTGTACATCAGTTTTACATAGTGGTACAAAATGGCATTTATGCCTTGGGGGTATCTGCCTTTGTGTGTATGGATTTATTTCCCTTGTTTATCCCTATCAGTAGCATCCTTGGTATTGCATGTTGTGATAATGTCACTGGCATCTGGCTGATATTATTTTAATTCATAGTCGATACTTTCACGCTATTCAGGGTCAGTAATTATGAAATCACAATGCAGTTAGATTGTGCCAGCTCTTTACATTCCTTCAAAGACTGGCCGCCTCTGTGGTGTAGTGGTTAGAGCATCCGGCTGTAGAGTGGAAGGTCGCTGGTTCGATCCCCGACCGCGTCATACCAAAAGACGTTAAAATATGGTACTTGTTGGTCCCTGCCTGGCGCTCGGCATTAATGGGTACAACAAGGACTGGTCGGCTCGGAGTCAGTATAATGTGTCTGAGTGGGGTATTCATGCTTCACTGCGGCATGTTATCTCAGTGGGCTAGCACTATAAAACCAGCTTAAGTCTGGGTTAGTACAAGCAGCCGCACATACACATACACACACATGCACGTCATCATATGAGCAAAATATTCTCAAGCACAACGTAAAAACCCAGTTTCACCTCACCTCATCTTCAAAGACTACATTGTTAAATTAATGAATAATAAAGTGTGTTCATCAATATTTCCTGAAACCGAAACTGAACACTTAGGCATCACCCACTGACTACTGTTTCCTGCTAACTGGTGTGCACATGTTGGGTAAATCTGCTCCTCCATTCTAATATGACATGAATGGAAACAGAAACAGAAACAGATGAACAAAAATCCTGCTGTAACTGCTGCTTGTGGCAAACTGGCAAAAACCATGAAAAATTCCATGATGAAATAACATTGGAAAATGGTTCCTCGAAACAACTGACCTCAGGTACAACAGCCAGGAAGAATTCCATGTGGGGCTTCTCAAGTTGTTGCAGGAGACTGATCAGACATCGCAGCCTAGGCTGGGAACAGATAAACAATGGTCAGCATTGTGTGTGGTTGAAGTGAGTGAGTGGTTGAAGTGGTTGAAGTGGTTTGAGTGAGTAAGTGAGTGAGTGAATGAGTGAGTTTAGTTTTACGCCGCACTCAGCAATATTCCAGCTATATGGCAATGACTGTAAGTAATCAAATCCGGACCAGACAATCCAGTGATCAACAGCATGAGCATCGATCTACGCAATTGAGACACATGTGTCAACCAAGTCAGAGAGCCTGACAACCCGATCCCTTTAGTTGCGTCTTACGACAACCATGGGTTACTGAAGATGAATTCTAACCATGATCTTCACGGGTCTGTGTGGTTGAAGACAGACAGTGGTAAGTATTATGTATGGTGGGAGACAAACAATTACTGGCATTATGTATGGTGGGAGACATACAATTACTGGCATTATGTATGGTGGGAGACATACAATTACTGGCATTATGTATGGTGGGAGACATACAATTACTGGCATTATGTATGGTGGGAGACATACAATTACTGGCATTATGTATGGTGGGAGACATACAATTACTGGCATTATGTATGGTGGACAGACATACATTATTACTGGCATTATGTATGGTGGGAGACATACAATTATGTATGGCATTATGTATGGTGGGAGACATACAATTACTGGCATTATGTATGGTGGGAGACATACAATTACTGGCATTATGTATGGTGGGAGACATACAATTACTGGCATTATGTATGGTGGGAGACATACAATTACTGGCATTATGTATGGTGGGAGACATACAATTACTGGCATTATGTATGGTGGGAGACATTACTGGCATTATGTATGGTGGGAGACATACAATTACTGGCATTATGTATGGTGGGAGACATACAATTACTTACTCTGCATTATGTATGGTGGGAGACATACAATTACTGGCATTATGGTGGAGACATACAATTACTGTATGGTGGGATTATGGCATTATGTATGGTGGGGACATACAATTACTGGCATTATGTATGGTACAATTACTGGCATTATGTATGGTGGGAGACATACAATTACTGGCATTATGTATGGTGGGAGACATACAATTACTGGCATTATGTATGGTGGGAGACATACAATTACTGGCATTATGTATGGTGGGGAGACATACATGTATGGTACTGGCATTATGTATGGTGGGAGACATACAATTACATACAATTACTGGCATTATGTATGGTGGGAGACATACAATTATGTGGTGGGATTATATGTATGGTTATGGAGACATACAATTACTGGCATTATGTATGGTGGGAGACATACAATTACTGGCATTATGTATGGTGGGAGACATACAATTATTGGCATTATGTATGGTGGGAGACATACAATTACTGGCATTATGTATGGTGGGAGACATACAATTATTGGCATTATGTATGGTGGGAGACATACAATTATTGGCATTATTATGTATGGTGGGAGACAAACAATTACTGGCATTATGTATGGTGGGAGACATACAATTATTATTATGTGTTACTGGCATTATGTATGGTGGGAGACATACAATTACATTATGTATGGTGGGAGACATTATGTTATGTATGGTGGGAGACATACAATTACTGGCATTATGTATGGTGGGAGACAAACAATTACTGGCATTATGTATGGTGGGGAGACATTATGTATGGTGGGAGACAATTACTGGCATTATGTATTATGTATGGTGGGAGACAAACAATTATACAATTACTGGCATTATGTATGGTGGGAGACAAACAATTATTGGCATTATGTATGGTGGGAGACAAACAATTATGTATGGCATTATGTATGGTGGGAGACATTATGGCATGGGTGGGAGACAAACAATTACTGGCATTATGTATGGTGGGAGACAAACAATTACTGGCATTATGTATGGTGGGAGACAAACAATTATTGGCATTATGTATGGTGGGAGACATACAATTACTGGCATTATGTATGGTGGGAGACAAACAATTACTGGCATTATGTATGGTGGGAGACAAACAATTACTGGCATTATGTATGGTGGGAGACAAACAATTATTGGCATTATGTATGGTGGGAGACAAACAATTATTGGCATTATGTATGGTGGGAGACAAACAATTACTTGGCATTATGTATGGGGAGACAAACAATTATGTATGGAAACAATTACTGGCATTATGTATGGTGGGAGACATACAATTACTGGCATTATGTATGGTGGGAGACAAACAATTACTGGCATTATGTATGGTGGGAGACAAACAATTACTGGCATTATGTATGGTGGGAGACAAACAATTACTGGCATTATGTATGGTGGGAGACATACAATTACTGGCATTATGTATGGTGGGAGACATACAATTACTGGCATTATGTATGGTGGGAGACAAACGAATTATTGTATTACGTGCCTAAATATCGGTATATCCCTCGCTCTCGTTTGGGAAATACCAACATTTAGGCACTCGTGTCGTAAACATAGTATGACATGGGCACTCATATAATGTCCTCTATGTATGTAACTGATCATCACGGTTACGTTTCATTGTGTGTGGCTACTCACAGCCTTGGACGCTGGACTGGACTTGGCTAACGATGTCACAAGCAATTGCTGGACTTTCTTCAGATGTTTCTTTGTGAACTTCTGACTCTCAGGAGACTTGCCCGAGCAGATTTCTTGCAGGACCCGGTATGACTTTTTCTGTAGCGTTTTTTCCGTGCTCTGTAAGTGACATCAAATGCAGAGTGAGTGAGTGAGTGAGTGAGTTTAGTTTTACGCCTCACTCAGCAATATTGACAGAGACATCTTAATGGTTTCACCCATGTCTCTGAAGTAATCAATTTGTAGTTAGTCCTACAGAACATAACAAATATATCACCACCATCAGTTTTAATAGCAATATTTCAGCTACATGATGTCAGTCTGGAGATTGACATCGTGAACATCGATCTATGCATCTGGGATACGATGACATGTGTCAACCAAGTCAGAGAGCCTGACCACCCAATCCCGTTAGTCGCCTCTTACGACAAGCATGGGTGCCTGAAGACTTCACGGGTCGAGATGATAAAAGAGCTTACTTGACCTAGATATCTTAATGGTTTCACCCATATTTCTGTAGTATGATTTGTAGTTAGACAGAACAAGTCAAATATATCACTACTATCAGTTTCATTCATTTCCAGATGAAATTCTGAAAGATGGATCAGAATCCCCCCTAAAATGATACCAGTCAATGAGCACAACCAGAATAAGATTTTTACCTAATCCCTGCATACATTTGTGTTTGTTTGTTGCTTACAATGCACTCAGCAATATTCCAGTTACATAATATCAGTCTGTATAAACAATCAAATCTGGACCAGACAATCCAGTGACTGATATCATGAGCATTGATCTACGCAACTGGTAAACAATCACTTGTGTCCAACCAAATCAGCGAGTCTGACAAAAAACCGATTCCATTGGTCATCTCTTACAACATGTATGGGTTGTTGAAGACCAATTCAAACCTGGATCTTCACGTGTTACACAAGTTCGTAGTCTCGGGCTAGTGGACAAGCATGAATTTAGAGTAAACTCACCGTCAGGTTTGGAACAGACAAATCAAAAGCTGTCTTCAGCTGGTCTTCACCAACAGATGACACTAAAACTATCAACAAGTCAGTCAAAGCAAGTCTGCAACAAACAATCAATAAATATTAATACTGTAAAGGTATTATATTTCACTCAGGTTTTATTTTCGCTTTCACGCATAGTGTAAACATTTTAGCCGAGCGAAAATTTATACATCGCTAATAAACCTGTCATTCATTCAGTCTAGCCACGCCGCCCTGAGTTGTTACCATAACACATCAAGTTTGAAGACAGAAATCTCACGGGAATCTTAAAATGGCGACTGATAGTAGCATAAAGAATCACACTTAACTGTAAACTGTAATGGATTTCAAACAATCAGTAAATCAGGGGTGGAAATAACTTTAAAATTGCTAGTGTACTCCGTACAGTGGCACATGTAAAATCACTTGCCCTGATAATTTTTCCACTATACCCGCCGTTTTCTTGTTGATTTTTTAAATAAACAACATAATTAACATTGGAATATCAACTGGACACCGGTACAGTGTGATAAACAAATTTGCTTGCCCGACAGAAAAAAACACTGGACTCGGGCGTCGGGCAATGGGTTATTTCCACCCCTGTAAATGTTAATACCCATGATGACTTGAGCTGTGAATGGACTTTGCACCTGTGTACTTTCAGTTTTAGCAAGTTCACATCGAGTCACATCAAACATCACTTTCCAAGATCATCACGATTGGCTGAAATATTGCCATGTGACGTTAAATAATAATAACTCACTCACTCACTTTCCAAGACTGATTTCTCTTCATGAATAAAGCATCATCTACTAATCCTACTTTAACCATTTGCACATGTCCACATTCAAACTGTTTGTTTGTTTGTCAGTCTAAGTAAACTTAGGCTCAGTATTATTCGTTACACTGCTATACAGAGTCTAACAAAACCTAGTAGAAGGTCACGTTAGCTGACCTTTTGGACTGACCAATCAGAACACAGCTTACCAAATCGCGAAAGGTTCACATTTGCACATACCGTTTGAACCTTTACCTAAAAACTCCAACGATTCTGAATGCTATTTTCTGCACAATCGCTTCCGAGTGATACAATGGAGGACGCAATGAGTAAACAATAGCGTTTTTGTCAATATTCAAGGATGTCATCTTGAGGAAATATAAGCTAATAGTAACCATGTCATTAGAAACCCCTAAGCGTATATACTGCAGGTCAAATATCTGTGTTTCATGCAGATTTTCGTTGGTTGATAGATTAGTGTCAGCGACCAGGGAAGAGAAAATCCAAAAACAGTTTTGTAAGTCCCTGCCAATCCTAACAAGTAGTCGTTGTCTGATTGGCTAAATCCGTTTGGCCGTCTTGCATTTGATTGGACGGTCATAGGTCGCTCAAAGGTTAGCTGACGCGACCTTCTACTAGGTTTTGTTAGACTCAGTATAGCAGTGTAACGAATAATACTGAGCCTAAGTTTACTTAGACTGTTTGTTTTTTGTTTGTTTGTTTGTTTGTTTGTTTGTATCAATCATACAGGGTACAATGACATGCAATCAAGCAAGACACCTGGCCTAACCACTAGACCTATTGCCACTTACAGCCAGCACAGGTAGCTGGGGGTGAATGTCTAACCTTCCATTCCGAGGGGATTCATTAATTCAGAAAATGAACACCCAGTCATCTATATAACAATAATCACAATACTATTCAAAGAATGAAACAAATATCAAACAATTTTGACAAAGTCGTCACTGACCTTTTTACCACTGTAGAGTCTTCTTCATCCATCTTTGAACAACACTTGTCAAAAAATGATATCACCAGCTGAAACAAAAACAAAGTGGACGTGTTCAAATCAGTGATGATATATTTAAGAATGACCTCTCCTCCAAAAACATTCCTGTTGCACACATCCTATTATACTTTCCCAGAAGCGGACATATCCCGGTCAGGAATGTCGGCAAGTATTGTAACCAAAACCAAATCTGATCAGAATATTCAAAATCAACCACATTAAATATGCACCAATTTATACTATAGTCGGTTTGGCTCAAAGCGGACCGATGAATTGCAATTTAACTCGAAAACTTATAAACATAAAATACTCAATGAAACACTGATCATAATGAAAATGTCAGACCAACTCTGAAAGGTGTTTGCAGAATTTATGTCCTAAAAATAAAAAAGATGTTTAACAAACTATCATTAAAATATCGACACAGTTCACTATTTGTTACGAGGGAGGAGTGCAGAGAAAGGGACAGCCGGGTCTGCGAGAAAGGATGGAGACAACACAGCACAGGTTAATGAATCAATAACTTTGTCGGCACTTGTGCATTCCTGCTAACACCTGGCTGTCCCTTTCTCTGCACTCCTCCCTCGTAAAGCGGATAACTGTGTCAATATTTTAATGATAGTTTGTTAAACAACTTTTTTAATTTTAGAACATAAATTATGCAAACAAATCACGGAGTGATTATGATCAGCGTTTCAATGAATATTATATGTTTATTAGTTTTTGAGTTAGATTGCAATTCATCGGTCCGCTTTTGAGCCAAACGCCCTATACAAAGGAAAACGATTTTTAACCTTCTTGAGAACATAAGAGGACAGTATTTTAGTGGTGACCCTGTCATCAAAATGTCAATCAGAAATTAATATTAATTAATATATTAATCATTAACTGTATTCAGTATTTGTGCCCTGAAGATCTTATTATTTTTGCAGTATTCTAACACTAATTGAATAGAAGGTCACAAGCAGTATTATACAAAGCATTGATGACATGGTTTGTATATGGTCTATCTGTATTGGACATATAGCGGGAATACCAAAACCAAACAAACTGCTTGGCATTGGAACAGTATGTTGTCCCAAAATTATCTGTCTACTTAGAGAAATAACAATGGCACTAACTTAACTGTGGTGGTGGTGGAATTGGGTTTAACATCGTGCTTGAGAATATTTCGCTCATATGACGACATGCATGTGTGTGTATGTGTATGTGCGGCTGCTTGTACTAGCCCAGACTGAAGCTGGTTTTATAGTGCTAGCCCACTGAGATACCATGCCGCAGTGAAGCTTGAATACCCCACTCAGACACAGTATACAGACTCCGAGCCGACCAGTCCTTGTTGTACCCAGTAATGCCGAGCGCCAGGCAGGGACCAACAAGTACCATATTTTAACGTCTTTTGGTATGAGGCGGCCGGGGATCGAACCCGCTCCAGGCAGACGCTCTAACCACTACACCACGGAGGCGGTCCTTTCTAACTTAACTAACTCAGCCATACAGTGTAATCATCAGTCAGAAAGCAGGACTCACCTGTTTATCACAGATCTGCGTGTAGGCCCGGACTGTCTCTAGCACCGCCAGTCTCTGAGCCTTGTCTCTCGTCTCTTCATCTTGTGTGAACAGGTTGAAGAGAATAGGGAGGAAGTTTTTCCCAAACCTGGCCAACTCGGCCTTGTTGATGTCTGGAATATGTGGATACACACATCAGAAGAGTTTACTGGTAACATTGAAATGTATAAACATATATGAAAGTGTCTTACACAAAAAAAGTCTGACTGGCAAACTATTGACTTGCCTTTGCATGTGTTTGTGATGGCAATTAAACACCGGGTCTGGCTCACACAGTGAGTTGCTAGTTTCGGATGACATGTTCCCTTACACAGTTTCTTTGTTATTTTACTCCGCACTCAGCAAAATTCGAGCTAAATGACGCTTGTCTGTAAATAATCAGGTCAGGACCAGACATTCCAATGATCAACATCATTAGCATCAATCTACACAATTGGGATACAATGATATGTGTTAACCAAGTCAGCCTGACCACCCGATCACACAAGTTGCCATTTACGATAAGCATGGGTTGCTGAAGATCATTTCTAACCCGGATCTTCACTGGTCTCACGATCACTGACATATTACAGTCTTTTCTTATTCTGAGTGTAAACTTTTGCTGACATGTCTCACAGTTCTTTTATGATTAGTAGGCCTGAGATGAGAGAACTATCTCACACAATCATTATAGTGGTACAGGCATCATTGCTTAAAACTTCCACACAGACGTCTGGCAGTATCCTCTTCCCAAGTCAAGGGAGTTAACTCATTTAATAGGGTCTAGTTACCCTTACACAACCAGGCTAAAATTGAATCTAGTAGAGAATACAATAAGGAATCTTTAAGTGTGTTTACCATTGTCCAGGTTCTGCGTGATGAGTGACCTCAGAGAGGCCATGACCTTCATACGAAGGTCAGGCCTCTCCGATATGGCACTGCCAAGTACTTTCGCAATGCCTTTGAAGGACTGTAACCAAAAAGTGCAAAAATGTAAAGATGACACAACATTGATGGTTATGACACAATCTAAAGCACAACCATGTCATATCACAAGATCTCCTGGCAAGACTGACATGGCTGAACTGAGAATTCATTTTTTCAAAAAGATTTTTCTAACAATAGTAACAAAGTGTTCACTCAAAAATGCAGCAAAACATTTTCAAACAGTCTTTGTTTAACATTTTGTGTTTAATCTTTGGTACTAAGTCTACACTAAACAAGAACATATGATTTGCTTGGGCGAAAAGGGAGAGAGTGACAAGTAAGGCTGGTCACATGACTGTTTGCGCGGGAAAAGGACAAAAGGGAGGTAACTTGTGGGTGAGTGTATTTTTACGTCCGCTTCGGGAACTTCAAGGGATTCAAGTGTTCCACTTCCAATCGAAAAGGAAAGGGAGATAAGCAAAAGATCATGAGTCAGGATAAGAAAAAATATATGATTTGCATCTAATGTTGTTTAACACTGCACTCAGCAATATATCACTTACATGGCGGCAGTATGTATATTATAGAATCTATACCACTCAATTATGTGATGGAAAATGTGAGCCACCATGACATATAAAATCAAGCAAGTCACTAAGCCTGACCACCCACCATGTAGTTATCTTCTGGACAGCCTAGTTTCCTGGGTACCTGCAACCCAGAATCCCCGGGGTCACAACACAGTTTGCAGTACAGGTGCTATTGTCAGCTTAACAGAAGAAGTCGGACATACCTGTGCAATGTCTGTCGGGTGTTTAAAGAATCCAGGCAACAAGGACCAGATCTGTTGTTGTAACGCCTCATAGCTCTTGGCTGCCACCACATTCTGGTCCTCAGCACACTGCTGGGCTGTGGAAGGGAAGGACAAGGTCTAGTGGTTGGACAGTAGGGAGGTCTTGTATTATTAGTAAATAGGGGTGTCGCGATACGCGAATGTATCGATGCATCGATACATTTTTACTGACGATCAATACGCGATATATGCTTGCGTGTATCGATTCCTATTTTAAAACTTTATCGATTCAATTTTTTATGCTATATCCATCTCCTTCAAAGTCTTGATAGTAAAATTATACGAGACCGCTCCGATAAATAGATGTAGCTAGCTTTACTTAAAAAATAGGTTGGAAACTAACAGCTTTTGTGATTGGCTTGACTATTTTGATGGACCAATCAGCGAGCGCGTACGTTGCCGGTAAGGTAATGCTATGAAAAGGCGCGAAAATTATGTATCGCGATACGTATCGTATCGTGACCTTAAAATCGTGATACGTATCGTATCGTGAGATTGGTGTATCGTGACACCCCTATTAGTAAAGCAATATCAATGCAAGGACACTCTGGGCTGGACACAGTGTACTGACTTGGGAACATTCCCCATTATTCTCCCTTCCCTATCTCCCCCTCACCTCTCTGTCTGAACCGTGCTGCTAGAGGCAGGAAGTACGATGTGAAGAAGCCCAGCTCTGTGTTGCTGACATTGTCACGGAACACTGGAATCAGCCAACTCCGAGGGAAGTCTGGGTCATCTCTGGGACAAACAAACATCCACTGAAAAACATCCACTGACAAACACGCCAACACTGAATCAAGGTAATACAGAGCAATGAATGTTTCTGTGTTTACAATAAAATCAATTTGATTAGTCACCATTTTATACCAATTTTAGCAATATTCCAGAAATATCACAGAGGGGAACACACATTGTACCCATGTTGGGAATCGAGCCAAAGTCTTCGACATAACGAGCAAAGGCTTTAACCACTAGGCTATGTTCATATATACTTCCCATCAAAAGTTTTGACTCACTAGTGTAAATGTAGCCACTTACTTCAGTCAACTGTTCTAAAGTAGATTTTGCAAAATATTCCATACTATTTAAAGGTACTGTTTACACGTAAACTGATGTCTTGTAAAACAAATTCGTAACGTTGAAAAGATTATTGTCATGAGTTCAATAAATGGTGAAACTTGGCAAATTATTAACAAAAACTCAACGCCAAAACGCAGCTGTTCACATGCACGATATTTTCACATGCTTTTCAGTAATTTGATGCATGATCCTCGTGCAACCCATATGCATAAGGTTTTCAGTTGGTTCCCCAACTTTGTAGAGAAATTCATCTTCGATGTAACCATATATATATACATAACACATAGTGACTTCTTTAAGTGAGTCTAAACTTTTGATGGGTGGTATAGTATGATGATAACCAATGCAACCAAATTTTGCATTTGGTACTGTGGATATCTGAGGACAAAGCCTCATTTGATCCAGTAAGATTTATTTTAACATTTAACAAGAAGACAAAGTCATCAATATCCCCCGCAACGGCAAAATACTCTTTATGAATATGTCTACTAATTATGATTATGTCAAATGTTTTGGAGTGAATACAGCAAAGTGGAAGGAGAGTATTGAAAAGTTTTAAGATCTGCTCCAGAAAGGAGCACTACCACCAAATTCAGTTGAAGCCTAACTTGTTGCCATGGAAAATGCAACAAGATGACATCCTCATAGTCACAGCCTAAGTCATGTTTCCATGGAAACCACAAAAAATACAATTCATATCTGGGTCTAACCCCCAAAAGGCACATCTAGGGATCATGCTTGATATGTGTACCAAGTCTGATGAAGCTAGCATGTATAGTTTAGGAGATCTGATCCGGACAAGATGACAATAAGTCACGTTTCCATGGCAACAGCCACAAATAAAATTCATATTTGGGTCTAACCCCCAAAAGGCACATCTAGGGATCATGCTTGGTATGTGTACCAAGTTTGATGAAGCTATCATGTATAGTTTGGAAGATCTGCTCCAGACAAGATGACATCCTCATAGTTACAGCCTAAGTCATGTTTCCATGGAAACCACAAAAAATAAAATTCCTATCTGGGTCTAACCCCAAAAGGCACATCTAAGGATAATGGTTGATATGTGTACCAAGTTTGGTTAAGATATCACCAATAGTTTAGGGGATATGCTTCGGACAAAGTGTGACGGACGCATGGACAGACACACGGACGCACGGATGGAACTCGTTTCTATATCCCCCGCAACTTCGTTGTTGCGGGGGATAATAATCAAGATTCAGTGTGCAGTCAAGCCGTAAGTGTAGCGATATCTTACCCATCACCAGAAATCTGAAGAGGTACAGCTTCAAGAAAGAGACGAGGTCCCATGGCCTTAACTGCTGACCCCAAAGCCATGTCAAGGTCAACTCTGAAGGCGAAATGTGGTGTTTCCCTCAGATCTGCCATGGACAGGAGACACTACAAGAAAAATGTCATAACCACTAAAAAACAGCAGGATTAATAGCAGTAGGTGAGTGATTGAATACCAATTGCATCATCAATCTTTTACCGGGTCCTGATCAACAAGTAAGGGAGATTATTTACTGCCATCTACATCTTTTAGCAACATGAAAGAGTACTTACTTTCTTCAAGAGAGAGTGACATGGTTTCCCAAATGCCTGAAAGGACAATGAAAGACGACAGCTTAAGAAAAAGCATCAATTAATCCAAAGAAATGACAAAAAGTTATCCCTAGCAATATGCGCACATCTCATTCTTGGACACAAGTTTTAAGAAAAATTACCATTTTTATATATGGTGCAAATAGTTGACAATAGCAATCACCTGTACAGACATTTTCCCCCTGACGTAGTGCTTCTTTCAAGCAATGAAAACCAAATGAAATAATCCAATAAACATGATAAAATACTACAACAATATTTCTAAGTTCCCTTAGAAATCTCACTGATTAATCGTGAATCCATCAGTAAGACATTACTTCTATAAACATAGATACAATGATTCTGAACCAGATATCAATGATTCAATTTCACTACAAATTAAAACAAAATAAAACTGATGGAAAATGTAAACATAGAAAACAGTTTCATCATGTTAAAACAGGACCAGCTAGAAACTCTGAGGTGTAAGATGCTCTACACTAAGGTGACATAATCCCCTGCCGCAAATTATCAAATCAAACTTTAAAATTAATGAAAGTGAAGGTTGTAGTTTAAGATGAAGTTAAATGTCAACAAAAACATGACCAGTCAACCTCTCTTGATATCTTACTCTGTAGTTGTTCAAACATACAAATATTTTCAAGACTCACTTTGACCTTGACATGAATGTCATGGTGTATGAAATATGCAAAAATAGTAAAAAGGCCAGATCAATTTTATTTTTTGTTTTACGGATCCGCCGGTCGTATTTTTTCAAGAATAAGTAAAAAATAAAAATTAATTTTCCCTGCTCAAAAAATAAATTTTAATATTTTTATTGGCCACAAATGTAAATGTGCAAGAAAATGTTTTTAGATTGTTTTTTGCCCCATATATGCTTATGAATTGTCAAAAGTTAATTACTTTTTAGAATTTAAAAGGAATATTACTTTGACTGGTGATTTTTATTTTTATTTTTTTCCCCTCCTGCCTTTAAGTTTTCCGAGAATAAAAATCTGTAAAATAAGAAATGAAATTGATCTGGCCTAAAGAAATTGCTTATCAAAAAACATTCAAGAGAAGTCTTGAAAGTCTATGAAGAAACTCCAATGAACCGTTCTTGAGATATCTTGCTGACAATCTTAACATGCAGGTTAACATGCTGAAATTTTCAAAGTGTCGCTGTGACCATGAAAATTAGGTGAAGGTCACCAAAATCGACTGGGTCTTGCACCTTCCCTAGATGACACTTGGTATCAAATATGAAGAAAATCCAGAGAATGGTTCTTGAGATATCTTGCTGACAATCTTAACATGCAGGTTAACATGATGAAATTTTCAAAGTGTTGCTGTGACCATGAAAATTATGTGAAGGTCACCAAAATCGACTGGACTCTGTGCCTCTCCTTGATGAAGCTTGGTGTCGAACATGAAGACATGAGTCATCAGAAGATGACATATCCCCCTGGCCCCGACATATTTGAAAGAACAAATCCTCTGACAGTTAAGTAAAGTCCAGTGGCTGTCCATATGTCGGGCGTAAATTCTAGTCCGGGCGTAAGTAAAATGTGCGCCCGGGTGTAACATTAAGCCGGTATGCGCTCTATATTTATGCCACCTACCCTGCAGGCATAAGCCAGACGTAGCCCTGTAATGGCGTCAGTCGCATACCGATATCGCAGACAACAGTTCTACAGAAACCGTATATTTAGAGAAAGGTCAAACCCTTTAGAAATATACAGACGACCCTGATCTGTACAGAAGATTTAGATTCAGGAAAATTGACATTTTCATGATAGTGGATACAATCGGAGGTGATAATGATAATTGCTCCTACAGCAGTTCCACCCTTACCCCAGAAATGCAGGTACTTGCAGCCTTAAAGTTTAACGCTACAGGATCATTTGTTTCGCGCCTTTTCCCGGTGGTTGAAACACGTTTGAAAATCTAAAAATAGCACACTGCGCCTCGACATAAATCCATTACACCGGACATAGTAACGTCTAGGCTTAACCGACGTTGTGCATGACGTGTAAGAGCAGGGCCCTGCTAAGCCCGATGTAGTGTGTTACGCCTGACGTTAGCTACGCCCGACATGTGCATACGGCCACAGCTTGAGTTTTTTTAGAATAAGTCCAAATCGTTTACATGGTAATCATGAAAAATATAAATGCCAAAAATCTGTAAATAGCAAAAGGCACCACTTTGGGATCTGCCTCACATATCTGCCAAGTTTTTTTGAAAGATATGAAGAAGTTTTCAAGTTGTGCTCTGGAAACGAAACTCACCCCTCCCTTTTGAGACTAAGTCCAAAACGTTTCTATGGAAACCAAGAAAGATAAATATGACAAAAATAATGCAAATAGCAAAAGGCACCACTTTAGGTTCTGTTTGATACATATATACCAATTTTTGTCGAAACATTTTGAACGGTTTTTGAGTTATGCTCCGCAAACAAAATGATTACGGACGGACGAGAGACGGACGAGACGGCAACTATATCCCCTCGGCATGTAAAAGTCTTGTGAACGGTTCTTGAGATATCTCGCTGACAGGGGCAAAACGTTAAAGTCCCCTTGTGACCTTGAAATGAAGGTCAAGGTCACCAAACCTGACTGGGACCTTTCACATACTGTGATGAACCTAGGTACCAAATATGCAAAGAATCTAGTCAACGGTCCTTAAGATATTCCAAATCGTAGGTACAGACGGGCGGACGGACTGAGTCTGATACTACAACCCCGCTTTGCGCTAAACGTGCAGCACTGGATAAAAATAAGACATATAAACTATGCCTCTTCAAAAAATGAAACCAGATAATCAGTTCACCCACCTCAAAGGTTGCCGCCCACACCTGAAGTACTGGCCCCCACGCGGAGTGATACTGGTAACTGAGGCCGGCCTCCAGGGCCTTCACGATCTTGTGGACAGGAGAGCTGGATCCAGTCTGAACCAGTTGAGTCAGGATGTCACCAGATTGAGCCAGACAGTTTTGTAGTAACAGCTGGAGACCAAGGAATAAACAGCAAACTAAGAACTGTTTCCTTTTTAATGTTAAAGGATGAATATTTGCTGTGAAAGTCATGGAATACTAACATATTTATGAAAGATAATCAAGTTGGTAAGTCGCAAATATAAAGACAGATAAACCTTCAGTAATTTTTTATAATTTCCTGTCTTTAGAATGACAAGGAAAAATCATTTAATTAACATTATGGATTATTTGTTGGTATTACCTTGAGTGTGGCAGATGCACATTTGACCACATCGTGTCTGTCGGAGAGGAGGCAGATCATACACGCTGACACAAGTTTGGGCAGGTGACTCACACACAGCTTGGGATCCAGTCTAAATAAACAACACACAGCTCAATGTTCAGCGCAATAGTGAAACAAGAGTAGGTGTGGCCTAGATGTATTGGTTTTGCCAGGTTAACTAATCATTTGCTACTGAATCACTTGCAATGTATTTATTGATAATTAATTGGCTGAGAAACTTAGGCCTAAAAACAAAAATGTTGTGGTTCCAATTACCAGACCGACCCTTGCATTCTGGTGCTGACCCTACCTTCTTAGGCGGTATGAATAAAAGAAGCTTTCAGATACCATTGCTTTTTCCCATCACCGGCAGACATCGGTCACTCTGATAGAGAAAGTTGACATGATGGCAGCAAGCTTGATTGAAAAAACAATTACACATTGATAAATGTGTTATTATTTTGTACTTTACTGCTGAAAAAAGGTAAAAAAAAAAATCCTACCTACCTACCCTAAATTTCAATGAGGTGTAATTGGAACAACATTTTTTTTATTTGGCCTTATAATGAGTTGTCAGCTCACCTGAGTAGGTTGACATGAGCTTTCTCCATGACGGCAAGCCACGCTCTCACCGGCTGGCTGTCGCTCTCAGATGGCTGGTAGTCATACAGAGCCTACAAACACCACATCATTACAAACTGTACATGGTATTGTGCCACCGAGAACACTTCATACATCGTAACCCATAGAAAACATCATAGTGTCTCAGTGTATGAAAGAAGCCCCAAACCCTCTAAGACATCAGGGCTGGTAACATTTTGAAATTACCAGCTTTGATTTAACCATGTATGGAACGTGTTATCTAAAATCTTTACCAGACCATAAGGCTGGCTAGCTGTAAATTTAGACTTCCAACACTTTGTATTCTAAGTACCAGTGGGATCTCTGCTTCTTCCAAACGAGGGACACAAGTAAATGGGAGGATGACCCTTTCTATTCCCTACATATGTTCCAAAAAGTAATCTAATCCTAAGACAATGTTAAAGTATGTGAATTATGTTCATCTAAGGTCACATGTCTTCATTGGTCATTTGAGTGAGTGAGTTTACTTTTAACGCCAATTTCAGCAGTATTCAACGACGGTGGGGGGACACCAGAAATGGGCTTCACACATTATGCCCATGTGGGGAATTGAACCCAGGTCTTAGGCATGACGAGTGAAAGCTTTAACCACTAGGCTCCCCACCGCCCTGGTCATTTGAAACTTAACCAAACCTAAAGAGGTTTTCAATTCTTTGAAGAGAGTAGTCCTCGGGTACATATTAGGCATTTTCCGGGCTGAAAATGTCCTGTGACAGTTGTAGCAACGTTTTTGAATAAAAATATTGTACAATAAATAAAAATCTTTTTATTTATTATATGGCCTCCACCTCGTGGAGTTACCTCCCGTTGCGCATGCGCACCAACTGGGTAAGCACCTAGGCCCGTATCATCATTCCTTCTGCTGAATACATCAGTGAACAGAATTGCGGGGAGGCGGGAGGCCCTACCCCAAGGACGCCTCTCTTCAAAGAATTTAAAACCTCTTCAGGTTTGGTTAATTCTTTTTCATAGAGATCGTCCTTGGGGTACATATTATGCATAAACACAGACTCCCAAAGACCGGAGGCCAGGGAGGAGGGAATTCTGTCAAAGCACACACAAATAGCGATCATTAATCTGAATAATGTAACAGAGCGCCATAATCACTCACCTGTCACATGTCGGTTTGCTTTCGCGAGAGGCATTATGGGAGGGTAACCGACAGGGAGGAAATGTACTCATAGACAACCTACGCGGTTAGCATAAGAATTAAGCACATGGTGCGAATGTAAACAAACCCACCCACCTTGTGGTCAATTAGAGAGCACCGTGGGGAAAAAACTCGACCGACCATAGTCTCCGTAGAGGATCGAAAAGGAGGTTATACACCCAGCAGCGGACATGTCAATAAAACACAATATTGAACAGCAGCGTCAACAAAACCAATGAACCAAGACTCACTTTCGGTCAGGGTGGCAGGACACTGTCCACTGGAGAGAACAGAGCGGCCAAAGCTTCGCGATTACGAGAATGTGTATCGAGCTGATAGTGCGAATAAGCGTGCTAGGCGGCTCCAAATGGCGGCAGAGCAGATCTCTTCAATGGGGAGTGCCGATGCAAAAGCTTTTGGCGTGGCTACTGCCCTGACCGAAGGTGAGCCTTCAACCCCTCAGGGGAGGCTTGCCCTTAGCCTGATCATGCAGCACAAATGACCGAGAGCAGAGCCAGCGAGACAAAGTCTGCTTGCTCGCCCGGCACACCAGCCTTCCGCCACCGTAACAACAGAACAGATGGGTACCCGTCACGGATCCCCTGTGTTAGTTTGATATAGACCTTGAGAGTCTTCACGGACATCCAACGGGTGAGTGCTCGTAGGAGAGGTCCCGATGTGGAAGGCTGGGTAAGAGTAGGAAGTTCGATAGGAGCTGTCACATGGAAAGCGTGATCGACCTTGGTATAGTAAGTATCCGGGGGCGAATACTGACCACGATCAGTGTGGAACACAGTCAGCGCCCGGGTCGGACGACATAGCATGTAAATTCGCCAACCCTACGCCCAGATGTTACGCCACCAGAAATACAGCCTTCCAGGTTAACAACTGAATGGAAATAGCCGATAGGTGTGAGAGCGTAGGACCCGGACAGCCAATCGAGCACAATTGACAAATCCCAAAGGTGGGCTGGTTAAGCCTGACAGCAGGTCGAACCCGATCCGCCCAGCTAAAAGCTGTATGAGAGGGGTGCTGCCCCAGAAGAGCACCATCGACAGGGGTGTGAAAAGTGGAAATAGCGGTGGAGTAGCCCGCGAATGGTCGAAGCCGCCAGGCCTTCTTCCAAGCGAGCTTGCAAAAACTCCAATACTCGGACTAAATCCGCCAGAAAAGGGATCTGCAATCCCCTATCTGAACACCAGCGCATGGCGGGACCACCTATCCTCGTACTGAGCGTTTGTCCGAATCCGCCTCGAAGCCAGAATTGTGTCTGCAACTGCTGCAGGAATTCCGCGTGCTTGAGGCTAGACCTGACAGAGGCCAAGCCACCCACTGAATCCGTGGATTGGGGTGTGGCGCGCCGTTCTGAGTGAGAATGTCGATCGCCAAAGGTAATAGAACAGGAGGCTGAGCCAGAAACCTGAGAATTACGGAAACCAGCTCTGTGGCGGCCAAAGCGGTGCCAGTAGCACAAGCAGCCGAGCTGGCTGGGTGGACAGCTGTGAGAGGACCGCGGGGAATGAGTGGTAGCGGCGGGAGCGCCCAGAGCACTTTGCCCGTCCAATCCAGCAGGAAGGCGTCGGCAGCCAGCGCCCTCGGGTCCGGTATTTGAGAGCAGAACACGGGTGTCTGATTCGTCCCGCCCGGACGCAAACAGATCCACCTGGAGCGACCCGTACAACTGGGAGATAACTCCGAATATCTGCCGGTCGAGCATCCACTTTCGTCGCGGGGCCAGGATCCGGCGAGAGAGGCGTCTGCTCGCCGCGTTCTCCAGCCCGGGGAGATAAACAGGGAGTACCTGACAATCTCACTGGTTAAGCACCAGAGGAGAAAGTCCCATGTCTCGGAGGAGCTTTCGGGACACCGTGCCGCCTTGCTTCAGGATGTGCGACATGGCGTCTGGTTGTCCAACTGAAGGCGAACCACCTGGCCCTGGACATGCTCGGGGCGCTTCGAAAACCAACCGCACAGCTCTCAGTTCCAACACGTTGATGTGAAGGTGGGCTTGACTTCGGACCAGAGTCCGGACGCCGACAGACTGCCCAGAACACCCCAGCCCGTGAGGGCGCGCCGGTCTGAACTGTAAGAGCTGGCGTCGGGATTTCCAAGGGGACCCCTTGGAGAGATTCCCGACATTGGTCCACCACTGAAGGTGAGGAGACAACCACCGGGGACTGTGAGACTCAGCTCCAGGTCCTCGAGTGAGCCCACAGACTTCGCCAAAGCTTGCTGTATAGAGGCATCCTCAACAGCGCCCGCCACACTACAGAGATAGTCGCCGCCATATGGCCCAGTAGATGGAGCCAAGTCCGTGCTGGTGCCTGGGGCTGGGAGAGGAACGAAGACACCATCTCCCGTACTCTGGTGACCCGGTCGGGCGACAAGGAAACAAGATCCTTGTGAGTTTGGAACCTCCCCCCGAGAAAAACCAAGTCCTGGGTGGGTACCAGGTCGGATTTCTTGAGGTTGATGATCCACCCCAGTCGAACTAGAATGTCTATCACCTTGTGAGTAGAATCTAGGCTCGCTGGCTGTGTCAGTGCACCGAGCAACCAGTCGTCGAGGTAAGGGTAACAACGCCTTCCTTGCGAGCGAGCGAGGGTAGCCGGCACTAACATGAGCTTGGTGAACACCCTGGGGGCAGTGGATATGCCGAAGGGGAGCACCGTGAATTGGTAATACATCCCGTCGTAAGAGAACCGAAGGTACTGCTTGAACGATGGATGTATGGGCACATGCAGATACGCATCCTTGAGGTCGATTGGCGTGAGCCAATCGCCCGGGGCTGAACAGAGGAGATCACCGGCGCGCAGTGTCTCCATCTTGAAGGATGGAACTTCGAGCATCGCGATTCAACCCCTTGAGGTTGAGAATGGGGCCGGAACCCGCCGTCTTTCTTGAACGAGGAAGTGCGTGGAGTAAAATCCGCCTGTTCCTCGCCCGGTGGTATGCGCTCTATAGCGGACTTGTCCAGCAAAGCCTGGACTTCATCGCGCAGTATGTCTGCCCGTACCTGACATGACGGCACCGGAGTGCGGCGTATGCCAGTGAAGTCTGGCGGACCTCGCTTCCACAGTGGTAAATGGCCGACACTGACGGTGGACAGCACCCAAATGTTGCTTGTAGCCTTCTCCCACTCCGGCAGGAATAGAGAGAGGCGGCCTCCCACTGGGACGTTGGGTAAGAGTGCGTGAGTGGTCCCGAGTAGCGGAGCTGACTGGGAGTGACACACGTCTACAGCCTGATGGGTTAACGGGGAGGTTGGGGCAGACCTCCCACGCCCGCGAAAAGGCTGGGAGCCAGTCGAAGAGGACTGCTCCTTGCCCTTACCCTTGGCGGGACGGCTCCTCCGCCTACCCCTGCCGAGCGGCCGAAGCCAGCCAGCAGACTCGGGTGTAGGCTGCACCCCGGAGGAGGAAGCCGGAGGAGGAAGCCGGAACGGGAGCGCGGCGGCTGCTCCAACAAGGCCTTGGAGTCCTTGAAGGAGGTAGCTGCAGCGGCAGCCTCCCGGATGACCTGCTGGGCCCCAGGAAACAACGTCGCTCCCAGACGGTAGGGGAGGGCCAGCAAGGTCTGCTGTGTAGCCGCCGAGTACCGAGACGTCGACAGCCACAGCTTGCGCATCCCCATGACTGCGCACATCACCGTCGACGCGGCCGACCGCAAGGAGTCGCACGCGAGGTGGGCCTGCACTTCGGAAAGTTGACGGAGGAGAACAACATGCTGAGAAACGTCTCCAGCGTGCCCCTCCGCCTCCAGGGCCGACCTCTGAATCGAGGAGAGGTAGGCCTCGTGGACCACCACCCGCACCTGCTGCATAGCGTTCCGGTAAACCTCCTCGTAGGTCCGGTAAGCATGCTGCAGGGAAGCCAGCCAGAGGGCAAAGGTGGCGTCAAAGCGCCCTTGCCTGGCAGCCGGAGCTGCTCGGAGGAAGCGAGCCTCCCCAGGGCGACCCGAAGTGAACACACATTAAAATGCGACCACTGGCACGAAGAACAGGGAATCTTCCCCAGCTGGTACCTCCTGACAAGCTCTGGCAAGTCAAAGCGGGCGTGACCCAGCCAAGAGGGATCCACCACGTCCTGCACCAAGGGCGGCAGAATGCGGAGCAGCGTCTGCGTGGGTTGCCTAGGGGCAAAGCCTCGCCTGGTAAGCGGAACTCAGTCGAATCCGGCGGCTGGTAGGCACCCGCGGCCTGGGGAATGTACTTTCGGCAATGCGTGGCGGACTTCCCTCAGAGCCGTCGAAGCGGAAGGCACCCTCCGGCTCCTCGACCTCCCCAATGTCCATGGACTCGGCGCCCGAGCCGAGTCGAGGCTGGGTCTCCTGCGCGAAGAGGACCCGAACCCGACTTCGGTGGGGCGCGCGCCAGATGCAGAGGGAAGGAAGAACCGAAGCAGCGCCCTGCTTCAGTGCCCGACCACCGCTTCTCGAACTCCGGTCCCGAGGCGCAGGAGGAAGACCAGGCAAAACTGGTACCTCCGCTCTCATGGGGGCGGGGCAGCCCAGGGACGGAACCCCAGGAATCCTCAGCGGACCCTGCGCCAACTCCGAGGGGGACTGGGGCCGAAGCCTCCCCTCCCGGGGGCAGCCCGAGGCGTCCCGGACCCGAAGCCAGAGGCAACGGATCAACAGACGCCTCCAGGCCGAGGGATCGAGCCGGGCTCGGCGATCCCACCCCCAGACTCTCCGTCCCCTGCTCCGAGTGGGCGAGGAACTCCTGGCGGAGACCTCCAACCGACTCGTGAACAAGGGACTTCACCGAGTCCATGTGCTGCTGGAATAATTGCGTGATTAGAGACATGTCGAAACCGCTAGGAGCAGTTGATGGCGACTGACTGTGCGATCTAGCCTTTCTGCCTTTACTTTTGGCTTTTTAGCTTTAGACGGGGGGACCTGGGTCAGTTCCCCTCCCGCCTCTCGCATTTCCCGATAGAAGAGAAAGTCTGCAGCCCGCCTCTTCTGGGCTCGGGGGGAGAAGCCCATACATATCTCGCACGTGTCAGGGGTATGGCCGCCTTTTTCAAGGCACACTAGACACTTATCATGATGGTCTGCACGGGGAATACTCTGCCCGCAGACAGTACAACCCGAGAACGCCTAAAAGCAAACACGCAAGCATGTAGCTAACAGCGGACCAGCAGCTAATATACACGTACAAAACATTGAAAAATATGTGAATGCGACCACGGGGAAGAAATAGTTGGTTAAAAGCGCCAATATTACAACCCGCGTGCGCATAAAACTTCCTGCCATGGAATAGCAACACGCGTCGTAAACCACGGGAAAGTTAAGCGTAAAATAAGGAATACAAAGTCACAATTATGAGACAACCGACCGCCAAAGCTTTACTGTTCCTTTCAAGGACAATATAAAGACCATACATACAGGTGGTGGTGTCCCAGACATCAGTCTCTTAACTTCAAAGAGTTCAGCTCTGCCGCGACACATCCATTATCGGCAGTGACAGCAGAAGGAATGATGATCACGGGCCTAGGTGCTTACCCAGTTGGTGCGCATGCGCAACGGGGTAACTCCACGAGGTGGGGGCCGTATAATAAATAAAAGATTTTTATTTATTGTACAATATTTTTATTCAAAACATTGATACAACTGTCACAGGACATTTTCAGCCCGGAAAATGCATAATATGTACCCCCAAGGACGATCTCTATGGAATGCCGGATCTCTATGAAACTGGAGAATGGAAAGCAGTGGGTAACGGGAAAATGAAATACCCACTCAACATTCATAATACCCACCCCCAAAAAATACAGTGGGTACAGTACCCACATGAGCTAAATCTTATCTGGAGCTCTGCATACCGTGATGATCTGAGCATTAAGCTCTGCTGACAGACATGAAGATTTAGGTTGTGAGTTGAAGAGACCGTGCAGAGCCTGTAGACCACATGAACGAATCATCTGAAAAATAGATCAGTAACAATGGTAACTAAACTAAAACAATCACTTGTCATTCAAGTTTTGAAAGACTGGTCCTAATAGCAGCCAGTGTGAAATATCATAATATGATCCGCAATGTCTTACATGACTCTCAATATTTGTCATCCAGTAGTCATGAATTGATATACATCGTATGTTGGATGAACAATACTCCATTTCCTGTAAAAAGGCACAGCAATATTTCATCTACATGATGTTAGTCAGTAAATAATTATTGAGTCTGGTCTAGACATCTTGTTATTGACATCTTGAGCACCCCGATCTATGCCAATGGCAAACATGGCGTGCATCAACCCCAAAAACAAGCCTCATACAAGTAAGGTTGTTCAAGCCTAACTCTTTAAACTATTTTCAAATCAGATGCATACAAATCTTGAAAAACTGATTCTGATGGCAGGAGAATATTGGACTACAATCAAAAGGACACAACAATATTCCTGCTTTATAACCTCTGCCTGTACATAATACAATCTTGACCTGACAATCCAGTGATGAATATTCTGAGCACCCATCCACGCAGTGTGCATACAGTGACATGCCGTCAACCATGACACCAAGTCAATCCATTATAAATGTCCTCATACAACCAATAGCTGTTGCTCTGAGCCCCGTTGCTCCAACCAATCTTAGCACTAAGACTACCATAAGCCTATGTTGAAGTATAATAGTTACGATCATCTTAGCAAAACATAGCTTTGTGCAACGGAGTCTCGAGCAGTTCTAACCTAAATACCCACAGACGAATCTCACTTACCACGTTGCTCACTGTCATGACCTTGAGGATGGTTTCACAAACGACCTTGACACTAGACTGAGCAAACTCTCCTGTTATCTCCTTCAGCAGTGTCAACACATGTAAGCTGTCTACAGCGTCACCAGTACCTGTAAGGGAACATGGTCGACTTCATCAGCACAGGCACTTCCTGATGAATATATAGCACACTGAATAAATGTAGATCAGAAACACTTTATAAGCCATGGTGCAGATACTATTTCTGTGAACAGAATTTCACGTAACTCAATAGTTGGTTACTATGTTTAATTTAAAATGCAATACATTCCAGCTACATGACAGCAGCAAATATATAATCAAATCTGGACCAGACAAGCCTGTGATTGTTATTATGTATATCTCTTGCCACAATGCACAGGCAGTCAACTATTCCACACTGTCCAACCAGCCCATCCATTTAGTCGCCTTGTTCGACAAACATATGCTTCTATGAACCTACTTCAATCCAGAACCAGGTATGTTTTTATTCTAAATTACTGAAATGAGAAGCTACTACATATCTGATAGAGACAGTACAATTATTTACACGGGACCAGCCTTACCTCCACTCTCCTCAATCTGCTGCACACAGTACTTGGCTGTAAGGGGTGCCACTGGGTGGTGGGGTGGGGCCTCTCCCTGGGTCATACACAGGCTTGCTTTCAGCACAATGTTAACAGCATGGTGTGCTGCCTTCCTCACCTGAGACACAAACAGTGGCCAGGTTAGACAATGAGTCACTCAGACAGTGTTGCTAAAGGGTAACCATGGTTACAACAGTGTTACTGCCAAGTTACTTCAACATTCTACATTGTTAGTTAGGGCTTAACTTGATTAAGGCAGTGATACCAAATGGTTGTTAGTGTAACTACATTGTTACTACAGGGTTACTACTATGTTCAACAATGTTACTACAGGAATCTAAAGTACTACTGCATGGTTACTACAGTTACTACAGTGTTCTATAGTTTTACTAGTGTTACAACAAGGTTCTAATATATAGTATGACTACAGATTTACAAGTTTTCTACAGTGTTACTACAAGGTTACTACATCATTATTTCAGTGTTACTACAGGATTTAATAGTGTTACTAAAGTGTTACTACAAGGTTACAACAGGGTTCTACATCATTATTTCAGTGTTACTACAGGATTTAATAGTGTTACTAAAGTGTTACTACAAGGTTACTATGGTGTTCTACAGTATTACCACAGGATTCCATAGTGTTACTAAAGTGTTACTTCAGGGTTACTACAGTTCAAAACAGTGTTACTATATAGTTTCTACCATGTTTTCACAAGGTTCTACAGTGTTACTAGAGTGTTACTACAGGGTTATTACATAGCTACTACAATAGTACTTCACATACCTTAGGTTTCATACTTGTGGTAATGCTAGAAATCTGTAGTATTAGTATTAAATCAGTATTAGAACACTGTTATTACTGTGACTACTGTGTTACTGTAGAGTTACTACAGTGTTACTACAACATTATTCCAGTGTTACTACATGGCTAAAACAGTGGTACTTCACATACCTTTGGTTTCTTGTGGGTGATGAACGTCTTACTACAGTGTTACTACAGAGACCTACAGGGTTATTACAGTGCTCTATACTTTTATTACAGGGTTACTACACAGCTACTAAAGTGGTACTACACATACCTTTGGTTTCTTGTGGGTGATGAAGGTAAGCAGCCCTGTGTATATTTGTTGTGTGGAGGAATTCGACCACACAGCAACCTCTTGAACTCGCAGAACTGATGCCAGACTTAGAAGCAACTGAAAAGTATGTAATTCCAGCTGTAGCTTACTACATTACCAAGAATATCCATTTGAATCATCTTATCAAATAAATACCTGTACATATCGATGTGAACATAATGAGGGATATCACAGATATTATGGTCTAAACTTATAAACTTCACTGATAATATCATCAATAACCAGATTTCAGTATTTATTTAAGCCCACCCATGTAGAAACCCATTTCTGGTGTCCCCACCTGTGATATTGCTGGAATATTGCTAAAAGCGGTGTAACACCATACCTACTCACTATTTATTTCAATTGAAAACAACATAATTCAAATGATAATGCCATGAACATTCAGAGGCCCAGATAAGCTGCGTACCCGGGGAAAATATGCATAGAAAATTCCCATTTACGCATTGAAAAATAATTGTTACGTACCAATTACGCATTTAAAATGTTAGATACGCAAAAAGTTTAAAACAAATGCGTACGGACTATATTCATAAAAATCGCTTGCATAATGAAAATGACATTGATTGCTATCAAGTTGTACTGTTAGTATAGGATGAGTGATTTCCATTATATTTAAGTTGGTTTTGATTAGGTATGACATAAGGCAGAACATACCTGCTTAGTAAACTTACTCAATGAAATAATACTTAGGTGAGTAAAATGACTGAAATACGCACATATTTGAAAGCAGTGGGTAACGGAAATTGAAATACCCACTCAACATTCATAATACCCACTCCAAAAATGTAATTTTTAGAGTAAAATTTATTAAAATCTAAATATTTTAGATATTTAAATACTTACCTTACCATAGGTCTTATGCATATTACCTCAAGCTCCGCTTAAAGAGATCAGACAGTCGTTGATTCGCCATTCTATAGAACGGCCACCTCGTGTATCGACGAGTGTACAGGCAACGGAAGTGACGTGATCCCACCCCCCGCGCAAGCGCGGTCCATCCAAAATCACTTTTACTGACCAGGTCCGAAGAGCCCAGAGAGGGGAGGAGCATCCAGCGTTGGGAGGGAGTTACCGCCCTATGGTAAGGTAAGTATTTAAATATCTAAAATATTTAGATTTTAATAAATTTTTAACTTACCTTACCATAGGTCTTATGCATATGGATTCGACAGTAGGACGGCGGTGTCGGGCTCCAGAGGACCGTCCCCATGAAAACCCACATGCCAAGGGAAAACCAGAAGAAACTACTGAATCGCCAGACTGTCGCAGGAGGCCCTGGAACAGGAGACAGATAGTAACTAAAGGCAACCCTAAGGAAAACAAATACACCCAAAGTGTAAGTTAACCTGAAGACCAGAAGGTAAGAAGAAGTAGTTACCTAATGGGCGGTAGGACGGTGAGTTGCTGAGCAACCACCAGTGGACCAAACGATTGAAGACCTTCCACGCCCTCGACGGCCAAATCCCATGCAGGTAATGACTAGCGAAGACAGTAGAGGACTTCCAAAACAACCCTCCATGATGGCTGGAACGGTGCAGTTTCTGTGGAGAGCCATGGTGGATGCCAGAGCCCTAATCTCATGCGGATTATTGGCTGTAGGATGAGGCAGATCTTGGCGATCGTGAGGCGGTCAGGATGGTAGTAATGGAGCCAGAGCGCCAAGCCGCATTCTTATTAACTTCACCTTTGGCCACAGAAGACAACGGGATGAACAGTCTCTCTTACGAGACTGCCTCCTGGAAGATGACTTGGCAATATAAATCTTAAGTGCCCTCACGGGACAAAGCAGCTGTTCCTCAGCGCCGTGAGGTCCTAGAATGGAAGACAAAGGAGGGATGGAGAAGATCCTATCCGGTTGTCCCGCAGCTGGTTCTTGGCCACGAAATCCCAAAGCAGTCCGAGATGAACAAGACCATGCCGTGACTGCTCAAACGCACCCCTGGTGACATCCAATGCGTGGATCTCACTAACCCTAGCTGCTGTGGCCAGGGCCAAGAGAAAGGCTGTCTTCCTGGAGAGGTTCTCAAAGAAGCCGTGTCCAAGGGCTCATAAGGGGACCTCTCAGATGACGAAGAATCGGCGCTTTAGGTCCCAAGCGGAGGACGGAGCTTTGCCTTCTGGTCCTCCAGCTTAAACGCTTTGAGGACAGCGATGAGTTCTGGCACCTTGAAATCTTTTGTCGCACTTGACCGCCAGAACGGCGTTAAGAGCCGATAAATAAGTTCCTATAGTGTTGCCCTTGAGACGGGGGACTTCGAAGAAAGAGAAGGAACTCTGCTATAAACTGAGGAGAAGCCTTCAACGGGTCCTTGGACTTCTGTGCACAAAACTTCTCAAAAGAAACCCACTTATCATCATAGAGTGATCTTGTGGAGACTCGATGAGCACGAGCAATAACCTTGGCGACACCCGTGGAGAGAAGCCCTTGGCCTTCAGCCTTTTTGCAGATGATCCAACCGCACAGATGAAACCGAAGTCGGATCGGGATGCCACTGTCGACTGTGGGGATGCCTGAGCAGGTGAGGCCAGTCTGGTAACTGTTGCGGACTTCTTTCGGCGAGACGGCGCAGATCTGGGAACCAGGTTCTGGCTGGCCACCAAGGCGCGACCAAAAGCAGACGAATCGTCTCTGTCCGCTTGACCTTTGCTATTACCGCTGGCAACAGAACTGGTGGTGGAAAGGCGTACACGTCCAGACCCTCCCGACGACAGGACATGGCGTCGACCGCCCATGCCGCTGGATCTGGAATCGGAGACACGCATAACGGCAGCTGTGTGTTGAAGCGAGTCGCAAACAGGTCGATCAGAGGCGGCCGTGACTGTGACAAAGAAGTTTGAACGCTTCTGGATGTAGCATCCACTCTGTTGGAGACGGTTTGCCCGGCCTTGAGAGAGCGCCTGCCAAAACGTTCTTGCACCCTGGGATGTGTCGGGCTCTGGCGCTGATGCCATTGTCGCCCAGGAGACTGGCCAGCTGGAACGTCTGCTCCAACAACTGTTTGGACCTGGTCGCTCCTGATTGTGAATCAACCACACCACCGCGGGAATTGTCCGGACGCTATCAGGAGCCTGGTGTTCCGCAACAGAGGCACCCAGTGTCGAACCGCTAAAATGACTGCTTGCAGCTCCAAGTTGTTGATGTGCCATCCTAGCTCGGTGCCTGACCACAGCCCCGGTGGTGGTCTGGTCGTTGAGGTGAGCACCCCAACCTTGAAGAGACGCATCTACGAACAGTTCGTGATCGCGTGAACAAACTCTGTCAAGGAGACTCCTGCGCAGGCGTTGACTCGACAGTCCACCAACGGAGGTAAGCGTGGAGATGCAGGGGCAAAAGGAACCTCATCTGAAGGTCGTCCGCCTGGATGTAAGGCAACAGGAAGCGCTGTAACGGCGAAGCATCAAAAGCGACCTCTGAGCGTCAAGTCCTGGGCTGAGGTGAGGAGACCTAAGAGGGACTGCCACTCCCTGAGCACGAAGCGGCTGGGATAGACCTCGGTTGGCTTAAACTGACAATCTTTCTCCAGCGATCTAGCGGAATCCTGACAAGGTCGCAATGTGTCAGGAAGAGGCCTCCTATAAACGCCAGTTCCTGGGGCGGCTCCAGGTGGGATTTGTCTATGTTGATAATCCATCCCAGTTGCTGCAAGAGATGAATGGCAAAGTGCATCTGTTTGCGAAGCAACTGAGGGTCGAGGTGGTTCATGAGACAGTCGCCTATATAAGGGTCAAGTCGATGCCCCTGAGATGGAGGAACCGTGTGATCGGGCGAGGTAATCCGGTAAAAGCCACGGGCCGTGGAAATTCCAAATGGAAGCACTTTCCACTGGTAGTGGGACCCGTTGAAAAAGAACCTCAGGTACTTTCTGTGACGGTGGTAAATGGGCACATGCAGGTAGGCATCCTGAAGGTCGAGGCTGGCCAACCAGACCCTGAGGCAAGCTTGGCTCGTAGCTGTTCCAGGGACACCATCGCGGAAGTGAGGCGGTTCGAAGATAAAGGTGGTTGAAAACTGCCATGTCGCGAATCATGTAGTTCCCCTGAGTCCTTCTTTGGGAACCAGGAAGATTGGTGAGTAGAACCCCGGGGACTGTCGGGGTCTAGCACTGTCTCTATAGCTTGTTTGGCGTAACAGAGTGTGGATGCTGTCTGCTAGCAGTAACTGTTGGTCTGGAGCATACACACGTGACTGGGGCGTTGAAGTCAGAGGCGGCGACACGGCGATTGGCAGCTTGTAACCGGGTCCTGAGAATGTTGGTGATAAACGGGTCTTCCAGGATTGTCCAATTGGGCCAGAAGATCCCCAGTCTCCCGCCTACTGGAGTAGGATCGAACCGCACGACTGGGGCGGAGGTCCCAGTCGTGTTAGGGTCGCAACTTCAGCGACCGGCAAGGGCGCCCCTTACCCCTGCCGGGCGCCGGCGTGGGGTCCCGGGGACGATCCTGCTGACGGCGCTGAAAAACAGGTTCGGATCTGCCACGCCACGCCCTCTGCCAGAGGCGCCGCTGGACGGAGTCTCTTCGGGGGACGTAACGGGCTTCCCTCTACCCCTTGCAGATGATCTGCCACGAAAGGTCGAACTCAAAGCTTCAACGTAGACAAAGAAACCTCCGTATTGGTAAGCTCTATGTTCCTTATACACCTCCGAATGCCGCCATTAAAGAGGAAACGAGGCGCCAAAAGGGGCTCTTAACAGTTTCCTTTTAAACTCTTCCTGCCAAGAACAGGGCTCCAGGAAACCCATCCAGCCCGAACAACCGTTGTCATGGCCAGAGCCGCCCGAGGTGCGCCAGCAAATCATGCAACACCTTTGCCCTGCCATTGAAACAGGGTGGTAAGATGTTCTAACCTTTGACGCGGTTGTCTTCCGTCAGATCCCAAGCAGCAGCGGTTGCCGAGGCCAACGCTGATACCGGCTTCAACATCCGCTTTGAGTTCTGCATCAATGGCCAACATCTTGGAGTCCTGCACTCGGTAGGATGCCTGTGGGGAAGCCGATAAAAGCTTGAGGGACTCGTCATGAGCAGCGCCTCCATCGGCAAAAATCCAAACTATG